TCGAACTCGGGTCGCTGGATTCAAAGTCCAGAGTGCTAACCGCTACACCACGAGGCCGCCATTCGGCCGACGCCATACACACAACTCCCCATGCAAACCCTACTAATTCCAACGTCATCATTACTGTCGCGCCACCACACCCACACCCACCCCCACCGAAACACACTAACCATACACACAACACACAGTCAACAAACCAAACACGCACGCACGCACTCACCAACGCAAGTACGCAAGCAATCACCCACCCACCCACTCAATCACTGTCTCACGCACAATCACTTCAATAAAACACCACACAAACACATCGGAACTGTCTTTCTTCTCAATATGTCAGTTGACAGATTTGAAACAATGCTCCACCCCACTAACAAATTTCGCCTTCACACCTACAAAAACAGCCACCGAGAAACAACAACGAAAACAGTGATCACAAACAATAGTCACACGAATATCTGCACCACCAATATCACACGAACACATTTGCACAACATCCAGTACTACCGCACACACAGACTCCTTCTCGCTTTCAATGTCACACACACACACGCACACGCACATGCGCTACCATACACACCCAATCCCACAAGCACTGGCGCAACCACAACATGAAACACCACTCTTGAACAAATCACTTCTCGCCATCGCAACGAATAAAACACAATCCAACGTAGACGTGTTAACACTCAGAAGTGTCAGTGAAAGTATTCATCTGACAAGACAGCGTGGACAAGTGTCTGCTAGACAAAGTCAACGAGTGGTTTCATCCAGCGTGATCATCAGGTGGCTTCAATGACGATTGTCTTGCAGACCTTATGAAGCCAAATCGAGTGATGGGAAATCGGCAGGTAGTATCCAGTCCATGTGGGGAGTTTCGCTCGTCCACCCCTCCTCCAACTCCTTCCAGGATCCACTGGAACAAAAACCTATCTACCGATGCATCAAAATACCACTGGAGATGGGATATTCCGAGGTCATTGTGATGAAGACGACACTGTTGTTCTCAAGGCTACCAGTTGATGATTCGTGGTGTCGAGTATCTCAGCCGACCAGGAAGTGTCAATCTTCATGGTCAATATTGTCGAGCCATAGTGTGTCCTTCGACGTGTGATGATGAATGATGAGGACTTGTAATTGATTATTCAGTGAATCTGTTGACTTCAACGTCAACAAGCGATTGTCGAGTCAAGAAATATGCAGAGATATTTGGTGGCAGTGATTGTGGCTGTGACGAGTGGGTGTCGGTTGGTGGAGTTGGTGACAAAATAGACTGGTGTTTGAGGGATTTAATGTGTAGTTTTGCGTTCGATCACGTTTGAGTGGGCGTGTGTGTGTGTGCGAGTGTGACTGAGCATGAAAAGCAGGTGTGTGAATATATGTCTGTGTTTTCCGAGAATTCGCGTTTATTCGTGATTGTGCGTGTGCGTGTGTGTGTGTGTGTGTGTGAAATGGATTGGCGCTAATTTCCCCACACATGCATAGCATTATATATTAATTAATGCAGCTTAACATGCACGAGGAGTATAGAAAGATATGTTATGCTGATCTACAGACACGCGTGCATATAGATTCAGATACCTATGTGCGTCAGTCAATTTTGTAAGCTGTGCTGAAGGTGCTGTGTGAGGTGGAGTGAATGTGCGTCTGTGTCTGTAGATGGACAGACACGATGTAGCAAACAACCAACCAACAAACCAAAAAACCAACCACCCAACCAGTCAATCCCAATCAATCAATCAATCAATCAATCAGCGTGATTGGATTTTGTGAGTGAAGGAAAGAATTTTGTCTGCTTGTCGGTGGGTGGTTGAATGCGCGTAGAGCGTGTGGAGAAGAGTCGTGAATTGATCGGCGAAAGCGGGTTGACACTTGATGGTTATGCATGTGCATTTGGTTTGAGTGTGGATCAAGCGGAGTGGGGGACGGTGTCTACTTAACTTAACTGTGATCATCTAAGAAGACTGACTGATGACTGACAATCCTCGAAACACACACAGTTGATGAGTGTAGATCAAAAGGCCCTAGTGGACGGAGAAGGCCTCGCCGAGACTCGAACTCGGGTCGCTGGATTCAAAGTCCAGAGTGCTAACCGCTACACCACGAGGCCGCCATTCTGCCGACGCCATACACACAACTCCCCATGCAAACCCTACTAATTCCAACGTCATCATTACTGTCGCGCCACCACACCCACACCCACCCCCACCGAAACACACTAACCATACACACAACACACAGTCAACAAACCAAACACGCACGCACGCACTCACCAACGCAAGTACGCAAGCAATCACCCACCCACCCACTCAATCACTGTCTCACGCACAATCACTTCAATAAAACACCACACAAACACATCGGAACTGTCTTTCTTCTCAATATGTCAGTTGACAGATTTGAAACAATGCTCCACCCCACTAACAAATTTCGCCTTCACACCTACAAAAACAGCCACCGAGAAACAACAACGAAAACAGTGATCACAAACAATAGTCACACGAATATCTGCACCACCAATATCACACGAACACATTTGCACAGCATCCAGTACTACCGCACACACAGACTCCTTCTCGCTCTCAATGTCACACACACACACGCACACGCACATGCGCTACCATACACACCCAATCCCACAAGCACTGGCGCAACAACAACATGAAACACCACTCTTGAACAAATCACTTCTCGCCATCGCAACGAATAAAACACAATCCAACGTAGACGTGTTAACACTCACAAGTGTCAGTGAAAGTATTCATCTGACAAGACAGCGTGGACAAGTGTCTGCTAGACAAAGTCAACGAGTGGTTTCATCCAGCGTGATCATCAGGTGGCTTCAATGACGATTGTCTTGCAGACCTTATGAAGCCAAATCGAGTGATGGGAAGTCGGCAGGTAGTATCCAGTCCATGTGGGGAGTTTCGCTCGTCCACCCCTCCTCCAACTCCTTCCAGGATCCACTGGAACAAAAACCTATCTACCGATGCATCAAAATACCACTGGAGATGGGATATTCCGAGGTCATTGTGATGAAGACGACACTGTTGTTCTCAAGGCTACCAGTTGATGATTCGTGGTGTCGAGTATCTCAGCCGACCAGGAAGTGTCAATCTTCATGGTCAATATTGTCGAGCCACAGTGTGTCCTTCGATGTGTGATGATGAATGATGAGGACTTGTAATTGATTATTCAGTGAATCTGTTGACTTCAACGTCAACAAGCGATTGTCGAGTCAAGGAATATGCAGTGATATTTGGTGGCAGTGATTGTGGCTGTGACGAGTGGGTGTCGGTTGGTGGAATTGGTGACAAAATAGACTGGTGTTTGAGGGATTTAATGTGTAGTTTTGCGTTCGATCACGTTTGAGTGGGCGTGTGTGTGTGTGTGCGAGTGTGACTGAGCATGAAAAGCAGGTGTGTGAATATATGTCTGTGTTACATGTGTTTGTGTTCGCTGGAATGTTTTTTGTTAGGTGTTACTCCCGAAGTCTCGAGAGGGGCACAGTCGGGGAATGGAAGTGAAATGGCCCGGTTGGACAAAAGAGGCCCGGCGGCATGGGTATCACGCATGAATGATTATACGTATTGCAGTGCACCTGTGGCAATGGATATGCTTTTTTGCGATCGTTGATCGCTTTATCTTATGTTTTGAGGTTTTTGATATGTGGAACCTTAATTCGTTTTAGAAGGATATATCGTTCAGGGGTTGTTTTGTAGGGAGGTTTTTTAAAATCTTTTTTTGCAGATTTTTTTGATGAAGATAGGGAATCAGGTGAATTTCTTTTGGTGATAAATTCATTGTAGAGTTGAATGATGTAGGTGTTTGCATTTAGTATAAATTAAAACGAAACTTTTTCCGAAGTATAATTTTACAAAAGAAAGACTTACAATAATCACAAAATAATGGAGTACTCAGAAGTTAACTTTAAAATGAAATAAAAATACAGAACATTTACAGACACACACATTTAGACCAACAGGGAATCAGGAAATTTCCTATAAGAAATAAGTTTACACGAAGTTAATATATTCATAATCTTTGTTGTACTTATCGAAGATAATTGTAGTGAGATAAAACGGATACATATATATAACCCACTGGAAAAGTCGACCTCGTTAAAAATAAATAATCATCGTACACATTAATGAAGGAAAAATAAATTGACTACAGATGAGTGGTTATATGAAAAGAGTTATATGACGAATAAGAGAAAATTCTCTTCACTTTTATCAATTGAGATGATATACATATATATAATCTTTAAAAAATTACAGAGATAAAATAAAATAAAAGTGAGATAACAGCCAAATATGGTTATTTGTATAAGAAAAACAATTCAACATAGAAATTAGTAATCTCATAAAATGACAATAATAATAATAATAAAGACAGACTAACTAAAGAATAATAATAATAATGGTAATTAGAATGAGTGCATAAAAGTACGAAAGCTGTATAAGATATTCAATGAAGAGGAAAACTGATCAGAGAAGAAAATATAACAAGAATTCCACAGCCATAGAATAGAAATGACATAAAGATGTATCACCATGTCATAAAAAAAGGCAAAATAAACAAACAGTCAATTTAGAAAAAGAAAAGATTTCTATATGTATATTGTAGTGAAATAACACAATTTTTCATATTTATGTATATGTAGGTAGAACACACACACAGTAAGAGGATATTTCGAAAGACAAATAAGTGTGCAGTAGTCACAGTCTGTACGTGAATACTGTACGTGTTTGTGTAGTGCATACGGTCGTGTAGATGTCTGTTGTATCTGTGTGGAAGTAGAACGATTAAAAACAACAACAGTAACAGCAACGACAGCGACGGCGACGACAAGAACAACACCAACAATACAATTTACAAACATGCATTTCAATGTGTAACTGATGTTGACAACAACAACAAGATATGCAGTGTACAGTGTTCCTATTTTATTAGATAAAAGAGGTAGAAGTTTATCTGAACTATTATTATTATTATTAACGTTATCGTGATGCAATTGTCTCTGGGAATTCTTGAGCAAGAGATGCTTCTAACGCCAATTCAAGAAGGAAAGTATCATTTAGTTGACATTCAGTGAACATTGGCACCTTTTGTGATGATGGTGATGATGATGATGACGATTCAAGATTTGAGTTATTCTTCAAACTAGAAGAGGGCAATTTAAGAAAAAAAACAATAGTTTTTAATGAAATAGCAGACGGAATTTTCCTTTACCACAATAGTTTTGTGAATATTTGATAAGCGGTGACAATTTCCCAGTATTAGTTCATAGGCATTTGATTGGCTGCTGGTTAGATAACAATGTTTTAAAACCAGAAAGTACTGGAGGGCCATTTCGTCACAGGTTCCGACTCCTCAGCAGTACACGTCCACCGGCATTCGAACCCAGTAACAAGGAAAGCTCGCACACCATTTAGCCAATGACCCATGAATTCTAACTTCGGCCAATTGACGATGCAGATAGCGCAACCACCAGTCGATGCAACCGGAGAGTAACTGTCCTCTTACTTGACTTGGTGGATCCTGCTGGTTAAAACTCCTCACTATAACTCCAGGTAACTTCCTGTAAAGGGCCAGTTGCTAGTGAGTATCACGTTAATTTTCTGGTGTTGGTTTGCAAGGATTCGATCGGGAATATATTTGATCACGAACTGATATCACTTCTCTCGTTAGACGTCTTACACACTAAATTTCGATTTTTCTAAAACGGTAGACGACGAAGACTTCGTAGAACAATGTTCATTTGTACTTTGGTATGTACATCTTGTCTTCAGCGAACCATTTGTACAGATTTTCGGAGTTGTGTTACTTCTGGCCTTCCCACATATTGTGTTTCTAACTATTCCTTTCACGTCTCCCATGTTTCTCCGTAACGTTGTATCATTTGCTTTCTCTGACATTAAATCTATCTCCCTGCTATGTCGATGAACGTCTCTTTATATACTACTGATAAATCTCATCAGTAGCACTCGCCACATGTCCACCCTATGACTTCTACTCACTATAGTTTATTTTGCATGGTTACGCAACTGTTGATGACTTCTCAAAACTTATTTTTAATGTTTACAGTCCAAAGATAACTTATCATCCTAATGTTTTATTTCACAATGACGTTGCTTACTGGAGAACTGATTCCTGTCGATAAACAAAATTATGTTAAAAATATACTATGATTTCTCTTATAAAGTGTTACATGTTTTCCGCAGCTAAAGAAAACCAATGACATACAATCGACGCATATTATTCCACGAACTAATGTTTCTTCTTTCTCTATTTTCAGATATCTCTGTATTTGAACTCTGAGACAGTGGAGAATAAACAACATTTATATGAATGCGATGTAGGTGAGTGGAGATTTTCTCATCGGGTATTGCAGACACATATCCAGATAGTGAGTCTCAAATAGGTCGAAATGCTCATCATGAATTCCACTGCGAGTCAATACCCACCAAATATACATAGCATCAACGTCCATCCTCGGACATCGTCGAAGCATTTGTGCTAAAAGGTGACATGTCAACATGAAAAACAATGCTAGCGAACTATACGTATTATTCTTTACACGACCGATGGTGCTACCTCGACTGAAAGATGAAGTACCTAGACTAGCCACTTCAAATTGTATTTATCAATTCAACTGCGCTTGTGGAGCGAGATATGTTGGCCGTTGCTCTAGGAACTTGATTTTTCGTGCTCGAGAGCATATCCCACTATGGTTAAGTAAAGGTGTAGTTAAAACTATTAACAGCTCGATTTTAGACCATCTGGTTCAAACCGGTCACAAAGCCAGCGTAGAAGAATCCTTCTCTATAATATACCGGGTGCCTAACAAACTACCGAAATCGTCGAAGCACTGCATACTCCAAACAGCAGAGGCTATTGCAATTCGCCTCAAACAACCAGCGCTCTGTGTCCAAAAGAAACAAGTCCAGCCCCTACTACTGCCCTGGCCCTCGGTAGAGACTATAAACTCATGAATTTGTACTATTACCTTTCCTGATTCTCCTGACATTCATTTTATTTTATGTTGATGCTGTTCAGCTGTAATTTATCAATATTATTGATTCGATGTTGTTTAAACATTAATGTCGTTCATAAGACTAATTCATTCATTCATTATAATGTATATATAATTGTAGAACCTGATGATGAATTTATCGAAAAGAGTTCTCTTTGTTCCGTGTCCATTCTTTTGAAAATTTTAATGGGCATTTTTAACCAGTTAAAAACTGACTTTTAAATTGACGAATTCTTAAAAGCACCAGGATTCTTGACTAGATATCACTATATAACTAAAGACAATCTATAGAGATGATTTGTTTCAAAGACACCATAGTTTCAGTTCAGATGATAAAGTAAACACCGAAAAAACACCTAATGCAATCAATAAATTCAAAATGAAATATCGATCAGTTTCACGAAAAAAAGGAAAAGGACAGACTTACCTTTCTAGAAATGGTTTAAGCGCAAAAATATTGACAAGTTTATCTAAAGCCAGTAGACTGAAACAACCTTGATATAGTGTGCAGGTATTTCCTGCAGATGTCATATCAATCCCATTCGACATGTCCACTTCTTGTAAATTCTATACATACAAAGATTGAATAAAAAGGATGGAAATCTCATTTAGAAAAATCATATCCTTTGAATCGCTGTCTTGATTACACAACAATAAAACAGTATCGAAAACAGTTAAAGGAATTAAAGAAGAACGAAAATTTGATCATGACACGCCCGGATAAAAGTGCTGGAACCAATCGGACTGTCTTGAGAAAAATTTCACTAATTCTATTTAATGAAAAAGAATGTCTAAACCAGATGTCTCAGAAAGATCCCATTGAGCGAATGGAGCTACAGATGACTAAGTTAATGAAGAAAATGAAAGATGGAGTAGTTATTACTTCATCAATCTGGTCCCATAACGCGCAAGTATGGCCTAATTAAGGTATATATACAAGGTGTGAAGACTATTATCAAGCCATCCATAATACACAAATAGTAATGTAAGAGAAAAACTCTAAATGATAGAAGTTCTCCACAAGAACGGATGGTTTTGTTAGCTTCTAGCAGCCTACAGTGGACTATGTGTATACTATAACGAAGATTCAACTATTTGATACAGTTGAATTCTTTCCCAGTAGATGACAACAATGAATGCCTATTGATAGTATTGCTATAGCAAAAGAATGACTACACACCAGTGTGGAAACTGTTATAGAAGAAAAATTCACAATAAGACGGCATCATCTCAAAGCTAAAAGAACATTTAATGAGAATGTTCAATCACTGTTTGCTTTGATCAACCCTCAGAGTTGGTACAGGAGTAGGGGGGTTATTAAAATTTCAGACAACTAAAGTCTTTATATAAAAGATATCTGTCAAGAAAAAAATTCACACTTGGCCTTTTCCTACATTACACCTATTTAAATGTAATATTTTCATCATTCTATTGAAGACTTATGTGTTCGGCACACTATTACAAGGGAATCTCTGTAGATGAGGATTGCAGAATAATACTTAATTGCCTGGAAGAAAAAATAAAATCACCTGATTGGACTAACTCTAAAAATAGATGTTCAGCGTCATCTATCCCAAAGTAAATCAAAGAAGGGACTGATCATAAAGTTGATTTCGATAGTGCCTTTGAACCTATATATATATATATAATTATTATTCCAATAGGACTTACTTCAATTTGTGCGAGAACATCGGCAAGAAGAGGAACAAACGATGGCATTTTATGATTGTTTGGTCCAATAGCATTTTCAATATTCTCCTGATTACTGACATCATCAAGAGTGAAGTTCTTAACAAATGCCCATTGATAACTAAAAAAAAATATATATGAAATGATCAGAAGCAAAATCAAATTATTCACAAGCTACATCAACAATGTAACGCGTACAAATTATTAGCATAAATTGATTGTACTACTACTTATTTGTAAGTAACATAGTTTTTTTGATGCATTTTTAAAACATGGGAGTTAGATTGTAAGGATTTAATTGGTTTGACTAAAGATTGGGACTCTTCGGCAGCACACACCCAGAGGGGTTAAAACATTCGCTAGTGGTCGAGCTAAAATCATGAATTGGTAGAAGTTAGAATTCATGGGCCACTGAGTTGGGTCACAGTGGCTGAATGGTTTAAAGAACTTAACTTGTAACCATGAGTTCCTGGATTCGAACCCCAGTGGGTGATTCTACCGGTGGGTCCCAAACTAGGCTGACGAAACAGCTGTCTAGTACTCCTTGGTTTCTAATGTTTCTCTAACCGATATCAATCCCTGGTCAAACTTGAGACATTTTTATTAAACATTTCGCAGGATGACTCGCAAGGAGCAACTCTTGTGAGAACCTCAACACAGCACTTAAAACAAATTTTAATAAAAAAAATTCCTACATAATAAATGTAATAAAATTGAGGTAGGCTGCAGACTTTCGTCAATAGCTGCCTTCGTTCCATACTGAAGGTCAGATAACCACGCAAAAAGGATAAGCACCAAGGAACTGTAGCAGGCACTGAACCTATCGCCCGACAAATATGCAGAAGGCGATAGAGATGGATTGGAAATACACTGCGGAGACCGTTGGGTGACATCACTTGTTAGACCCTAACCCCTTCTCAAGCCAACTCCACATTAGCTAACGGTGCAGGTGATGAACTTGTTTGATATACAGTGCTTTTCGTAGTTAAGGTAGTTCCACATTTGTAGCTTGTTGTTGAATTTGTCAACCACCGGAATGATGGATGGTAACTTGGACAATACAAGGAGGAGAAATGCTAAGGTTATTGAGTTCCACACACAATGACACTTCCATTATCATCTAGATATAACTTCTTGGTTGATGATAAATCCCAGAAGCTTGCATGATAAACTATTCACCTGGACAACCACCATAAAATAATCTTTAATATTAGATAAGTTTATCTGATATAAAACATAGGGATACAGTAATAATGACTGGATGACGTTTCAAATAAAAAAGTAATGATGGACAAGTTAAACTTTAGGCACCAGTAGTAAGTTTAGATGGAGTGCGACCGCACCAATGACCTTGGAACATTCAGTGAGTAAGTTATTGAAACCAGGCAAATAAACCTTACAATCATGAATAAAATAGGCCTAATGAAGTGTTTTGATATTAAACAGGATATGTGGTAAGTTTTGGGTACGTTTTGGAAAGATTATGCTATAACGTTTAAGCTAGGGACATGTTAGTCTTATGGTAAACTAATACAGGAGATATTAGGGTCCATCTGAGTTAGATTAGGGTTAGTTGAGGCATAGTTTCGCGTCAGGGTTAGGTCAAGGACAGATTAGGGTTGGAAGACCTAGATTTATAATGCATAGAGTATGACATCATTACTCTATAATGAAACTACAATCCAAAACTGACAGACATTTCTGTCATACGTCACAGGGAAGTATCCTGCGGAACAGTTTTCTGCCTTTTATTCAATGGTATGCATAAATAATGTCCAGTTTGTACTTTTCATGTGATTGGTGCGTTCAAGGTAATTTCTCCGTTGGCACTTCACTCACTGGTGCTTAAAGTTTAATTCGCCCTATTGTTCATAATCAATATCAGATAAACTTATCTTATGTTAAGTTATGCTCTGCTACAGTGCCCCAAATTAATAAAATAACCTTCTTTATTTAAGATTGATATGCTTATGTATCTCAGATCTTTTCAACAACTCTTTTCTCAGGATCACTGATATTAATAAAACATGTCAAGATTTTAGATCACTTTTATTCATTATTTTATGTATCCAATAATGAACAGTCTGATCGCTGAAACGCTGTTGGTTAGTAGGTGTGTGTGCGTATACACCTACCGGCAGGGCTGTTTCTATTACGTCGTATTCACAACACAAAAATTGCACTATTCTCCATATTGTCTGTCTGTCTGTTTCGACATAGAACTTTGCACAGATGTGCGGCAGTTCAAGTCGCCACACTCCATGTATATATAGACAGTAAACAGAGGTGTGAGACAAAGGAATAGTAATAACGAAGAACAATATAGTTTCATTGGAAATCATAAGTCACAAGGAGTGGATGCATCTGCACTAGCCATTGAGAACGATTTTGAGCCATGTCACCAATTGTTTCCAACCATTGGTTTTTACCGTCCGGAGGACCCCAACCAGGAAGTCTACACCTTCCTACGTGGCTGGCTTAAACTAAGTATTGTAGACTTCACTGACTGGTGCCATGTTTTCGTTTGACTGCCGCTAGCTCTTTTCCAGCCTGACCCTATGTCAGCTAACATTGCCCATTGTCGAGGAAGGTGATGACTAGGCATACGTAACACATGTCCTAACCATCTCAGTCGATGTAGCTTCACAGCCTCGTCGATTGATTTCCTCTCCTTACCTAGCACTCGACGCCTAACCTCAATATTGCTCACCTTATTATACCACTTCACACGGGAGACAGAACGCAGACACCTATGATCAAAGACAGCTAATCTTTTCATATCTTCCACTCTCAATGGCCAGGTCTCACAGCCATAAAGGAGGACGGAGCGGACTGCTGAGCAGTACACCCGCCCTTTGATCTCCATATTGATCTATTTCACCATATTTGAAAAGGAATACGAGTTACAACAAGTGAGTAGTTCATAGCATAGTCAATTTAATGTGAATAACTCTCATATATCTTTACATAATTTCAAACTATTCATTAGTTAGATGAACTACGAGTGCGGTGGAGGTACTTATGTCTCAGATTCAAAAAACTTAGTTTAATTGAGAGGAGAACAAAACAGTTAAATTTATGTTGCATATAAAACACTACTTACTAAGAAAATTGTGGTACTTTACTTTCTGGACACAATAAACTAGTGGCTAAGAATTTACATGCACCAAGATATAAACTCATTTGTGATGCAGACAAAAATGTTAACGAAGAAATATCTGATTTGACTTTCTTTGACTGGATTTTAGAAATACTAAAAAGCAAAAGAAGAAAGTTAAGTGTTACTCATAAAATAGGACAATAGTAATGATATTAATATGAATACTAAAAAGACGGTTACAGCGAAGAAAATTTTCTTTTCGACAAAGTCATCAACTAGGCTGTACATTCGTGTATATATAATAAGTAAATGGGAAAGTTCCAGAATAATTACACTTTATTATTTCTACATAGTTAACCCCTAATTGCATAAACAATTATTCGTTACATTAGTTATGATCCCACTAGGATTTTTATCCAAACATCCTGTCTATTTTTGTTATTTCTGCATTTCTAACCCCCAAATTCCACAATATGTCAATCTTCTCAGTAATTATGATGCTACTTTGTTTGAGTTTTATCCGTCCCCCTGTTTATTATGGCACTATAATTCCTAATGGTAATTTTATAAATTTGACTCTTAACCGGAAATTATTCTGGAACTTTCCCACCCATTTATTATATATACACGAATGTACAGCCTAGTTGATGACTTTGTCAGAGAGAAAATTTTCTTCGCTCCTTTCACCGGGTTCGAACCCAGGTGGATGCGTACTGACGAAGAGTCCCAAACCAGGATGATGTCCAGTACTCCAAAGTTTTCCAATTGTCCTCTCAGCTCATGATGAAATCCTGTAACCAATAAATGTTTTCCTTTTGATCGCATAAAATTCAAGCTCAGCTTAAGATGGTGAACACCGAAACCGATCGATTTCTTGTTATACAAAAACAAAAAAATTATACAATATACATGAAACCAGAACTTAGTTGGCTGTCAAGTTTACTATTTGACTGGACAAAAAAACACACACCAGACTAGTGATGTAGATGTCAATAATGAGTTGAATCGCTCCACGATCTCAGTCTTTATTCCAACTCCGATCAGCAGGCAGTCTGTCATATCGAATATAGCTGGACAGTTAGTTAGGGAAAGTAAATATGCTGCAATGTCACACATTACATTTCCAAATTTAAGAGACAGTTTACAACCCGAGGAAAAAATAACGCACTGCACCTAAACAGTTCGACATGAGATAAGTAAGTGAATATTCAGCTTACAAACCACTGAAACTGTGGGCCAACTGTTGGATTAAGATCAAGAGTTTGCTTACACAAATGTTCGACACAATAAAATCACTTGTAGTGCAATAAATTTAGTCAGACTGTAAAAGTAGAAGACGAGAGATTTGGTAAAGGATTGTTAATTTGGAATTTCCTTCAACGCACCATTTGTACAGATCTTCGGTTTTGTGCTACTACTTCTAGTCTTCCCGCATATTGTGCTTCTCCCATATTTTCCCGTAACGTTGTATCATTTGCTTTCTCTGACATTAAATCTATCTCCCTGCTATTTGATACTTTTATGCCGATGAGAGTCCCTTTATATACTACTGATAAATGCCATCAGTAGCATACGTCAAAGGATAACTCCTTTTGATGTGGTTGTGTTCTCTGAGCTGGATAGTTAATTTGCGAAGCTTTCATCACCCTACTGGGTGACATCTTCAGTGCATACTTCAAATTGAAGTATGCACTGAAGATGTCACCCAGTAGGGTGATGAAAGCTTCGCAAATTAACTATCCAGCTCAGAGAACACAACCACATCAAAATCATCCACCTGAGCTACAAATCTTCTCTATCATATCTACAGGATAACTCTACGCAACAGTCAGATAGAATAGTATTCACATCGCTTACGAAAACGCAGCACACCAAAGAACAATATACAAATGGTTGTCTAATCTATTTGAAATTTGTTTGAACAGATATTCAACACTGCAGTATTGAAAAGTGGATAAGTTGACGTAAAAGAAAAATTGAGAAGTACAACAGGAAAAAGAGATGCATCCTACACAGAAAACTGTACAACAATTCCAATTAACTCACTAATCTCGTATTGCCTGTGATAGTGATTTGAATGTAAGAAACTAGAAAATAAAAACAAACAAAAAAACACAAGAATATGTGGAAGTCATTGCATAGACTAAAATTCATCAGCTCAAAAGTGACTAGTTCAGACGAATACCATCCTTATCAACATATAAATCAGCAAAGAGATATCTTTTCGTAATTCTGGAGCACATTATTACCTCTAATCACTCAGCGTCAGCGGAGAACACATTCAAAGTCATATATAAAGTACAATCAAGCCGTTATTCAAAGAAATTTCTCCCAAATGCAATCGAAGCTTAAAGCGATCAATAAGAAAAAAAATTGAACTTTGTGTTCAGAAATGTTTTATCCAGCCTGTTTTATTACTACCATGGCCTTAGTATCAATTTTTCAAATGCATTTACAATCCCTTGTTCCCTTTTTTCCCATCAAGTATTTACAAATGATTGTTCATCAATTAACTGATTAGTTGTCAACCCTCCAGATTACCTAAGATTACCTACAACTGTTCAGACACTGTTATGGCTAATACAATTTCATTATTTTTGTTACTAACGGATATTAACCACAGAATTTTGCGAACGCATCAGTGACCTTGAAAGCGTACCATTCATTGGATTTCAGAACCTACCGTGTATTCTACATAAAAGGCTCTCTTATTTACGAGAAAAATTAGCATAATAATAATAATGAAACACACTAAAGATGATATTTTATCCTGACATAACTGAAAAATAGTTGCCAATTACAATCAAAGGGGATAAGTTTTCAAGTTTCAGAGCTGTCAAAACGGTCTCATCTGTTTGGACAAGGAAGTAATCTCCTCTCATATATTTATTTATAAGGAAAATACAGACAATGATAAAATACCTTAACCCTAATACTTACCTCAATCATCAACCTTAACCATGATTCCAATCCTATCTGTTTCCTTAACCCTGTTCCTAATCATGACCCTAACCCTGATGTGTTATCTACTCATTATCCAAACAGTGCTTAAAAATGAGATCAGGATGAACTCTGCACCTCGATTCGTACACAGCGTTCATACTGGCGCTGTAGTAACGACAGGTTCTGTAATCCAACGTATGATATGCGTTCGAACTCCGTGGTCGTTATTCCTTACGTTGGCCTAACATGCTTAATAATGTACTAGCTACTCCTTAACTGATTGGTTTAGCTAGCTGTGAAATTAAGCAGACTTAATACAGTGTGGAGAACATAAATATGATTTTATATTCTAGTTTACTTATAAACCTATGCATTAGAATGTTTCATTTCAGTTTGTGAATACCACTTAATATGCAAACAGAGGTGTCAACTGTTTTCTCCCTTCCCCCCAACCCCAGCAACGAATTATCATAGATCAGTGAATATAACCGTCGGAAATTATTCGATAGATAGATAGTTCGTATGATCACGATCCTTATACCTGTTGGTTGGGTGGTTGCTACACAAGTGAAAAAAAATAACTAATTGCAATTAAATACCGATAGATATAACAGATTTGGGAAGAAGTGCGGGTTCTCTGAGATTCGCTTACAATCATAATAAATATTATTATTACTACTTCAGTAATTAACTAACAGTTACACATAGAACGTAGCTATCCGTCACAATCAAGTAGACCAATGTCATTATTCATTCTACACAGAATTCAAGATTTTAGCCAATTAACGAGAAATCCCAATAGAGAAACACAATAACGTGCTATTGAAATTAACGTTATTAGTGTGCTAGATAAATTTCCCTCTATAACATACTAAGATAATTTATAGGTAAGTATTTCAATAACTACGGTAGTGAATAATTTTTAAAACTATACTACTGATTAACTGACATGAGTAGTTGCATACCACTCAGTATCAACCAATAGGGATTGCTAACCAGGTCATCGAAGTGATCTAAGCACCAGACGGCCGTTCCGCTCGTTTGCAGTTCAAAACACACGATTTCTGGCTAGTCAAACATCGTAAGCCCCTGATAAGCTCAGTACCTAGACGACAGAAACAGCCGTCCGCTGTTTAGATCACTTCAATAATCTGGCTAGCAAGCGCATTGCTCACCGATTTGAGTAGTATACACAACTATTCATCTCAACTGATCAGCAGGATACAGTTTTACGCATTTATGCTCGCTTTCTTGATTAGTGGAATTTGAGTATCTAAAGGAAACTGTGGTGAAATATTCCACTTCCTCGAACTGTGTAAATTGCAAATTGTGAATTTGAAAAAAAACAATTTTTTATTATTGGGAAACTATTAAGCCAGAGAGACAGAGAAAAAAAACAAATGCAAAAAAGAAAAAAACTAACCAATTCTGGTACAACAATTGGCCATAAGGAGGTTAATTGTATCGCTGACATACGAGATATCAAAACCCGAGCGAAGAGAAACACTTGAGCATGAACTACGGGAATAATACCTTGACCTAAGCGTAGACATTCGGTAAGACGTTCTATGCATAAGGAGAAGAAAAACAAAGGAAAATAAGGCAGATACATTCAGTGAACACCTGCTAGAAATTAGTTTACACACGAGAAACACTTCATTTCACTTCTTTTGCATCAATTAAGCTATGACTGGCGTATTCCACAGATCGTAAATGTTTACTGTATTGATTTCGGAAGTGTATCTTGTGGGTGTTTGGTGACAACAAATAACTGTTATACATAGTAAAAAATGGTTAATACAAAATACTGATTTCTGAGCTGGAGGATAACGGTTTGCAATATTCGCAGCAAATTCTATACGGATACTTGCAAACACACATATGTGACGCATTCTGGAATTCTCCACATTCAGTGGACGAACGTCTCAATCATACAATCTGACTGAAACAATTCAGTGGTTACAGTTTTTCTGGTGAAACTAAAGGATGCACACATTGGATGCAAAACACCACCTGGAACAAGTTGGGTTCAGGAAAAGTAAATCATGTGAGGATTAAATTGCAACGCTATGCATCATCGTCGAACGGAGCATGGAATGGGAGTAAAATATCTATCTGTCGACTTTGAAAACGCATTCGACAGTGTTCATCATGAAGCGATTCGGAAATTGACTCAACACGACAGTGCCTCAAATCTTTATCATCTTCATTCAACAACTCCATATGACGATGTCACATGTCACGTGATTCACAACATAAAACTCAGCGACGACTTTGACTGTGATGGACTGAAAAATACAAATGACCATTGGGATAGAGCAGACAGGTATACGTTGGTCCGACAAGAAGACTCTACAAGATTTGAACTTTGCGAATGATTTATGTGTGATATCGTACAAACTCAAAGATCTATAGGCCCAAGCCTAAAAGGAAAGACAGAGGTGATGGACATACCTAACCAACAAGAAAAAGAAGCACCAATCACTTACAGCGGTAGAAATTGAAAAGGTCACCACTGCCACTTCTCTAGAGAGCATCTTCTCAAATACAGGAGGCTGGTACGGTTGAGGATGTTAAGGGCAGAATCGGAAGAGCAAAGCAGATATTCATCACTTTGAAATCAGTGTGGAAACCTGCTGTACACAGTTTAAAGAACAGGATTCGAATTTTCGACACTGATGTCATCAAATCAGTGATTCTCTATGGTTCATAGAATCGGCGCATCAACAAAAGTATTTCCAACAGACTGCAGACCACCTTTGCACTATACTGAATATTAGATGCCCGACCATAGAAGATAAGCAACAACGAACTCTGGAAACGCATCAATCAAGAACCTATTCCCCGAAAATACGCCGAAGAGAATGGAGACGGATTTGACACACGCTGAAGAGATCGCTGAGTGACACTGAGCACAAGGTATAATGTAGAGTGGAATCTGAATGGGGAACGTCAAGCTAAGCGTCTAAGAGTGATATGGAGGAGATTGTGTGAGAGGGGGTGAGAGAGACCATCGTTGAGTCAACAATAGAGGACTGCAGAAGATAGAGTGAAATACAGATATGTTGTTGGAGCCGTATATTCCACTAGGAATCCAAGGGAATAATACTAATAATAATAGCGACTATAGCTTATCTAGACAATATCCATTTTGTTTAAAACAAAAGGATACGAAGAAAAATAATAAATAAAACGTATACAATCTCGAAAAACAGCAAAGGCATACCCAATAAATCCGGCATCGCTTTAGCATACTGATCTGGTTCGCTGGCATACACTAAGTACGATAATTTCTTTAGACAAGCAGCACGAAGTTCATATTCCGTTTCTTTATTTGTAAACAGATTCAAGCCACCCGGTTGAGTGAATACAAAACGGGCTACAAGGAGAATAATAATAATAATAGACAGATTACTAAAGACTACAAATATTTATAAATATCCAAACCAAAAATGTTATCAATTTCCTGGAATAATTTCAGCACCGAGTTAGAGTGAATCGCCATAAAATTACTTGTATTAATCCCAGCGTGTTTAGAAAATTAAAACAAGACTTTACTGAACGTTTAGCTGTATAGGAGTTTATGTGTATAGTTAATAAGTGTACCCCTACTTTCACATTTATTGCATTAAAAGTAGTTAAAATAAGCAAGGCTTCAGAGATCAGTGTTTCTTTATGTGAATGAATGGCTGCTTTGGAAAATACACATAAGTTGACAAGTGAAACATGAAGTGACACGAGGCATACAGTCGAACAGACTAATTGTAATAAAGAAGGACCATTCCAACAATATCGAATACAGTTAATGGAACTTAATCGACCTGTCTTAAAAGCTGTGTGTAAGTACTGATTTCTTTTGAAGTCCACTTGATACAGCTATAGGGTAAGTATAAAGGATACACCATTGAAATTACAGTCCGTAACTATTATGCTCAATTGAAAACAGTTCAAACAAATACAATATCTTCACTACTCTTGTTATCCTTGTTTAACACTGATTTTAGATACCACCTGGTGAAAAATAGAAACTTAAATTTCACCTACATGAATAACAATAACATCAGAATGATAGATTCATTTACTCAACATTCATAACATCTCATTTATAATAAACGTCGCGTCAAATGAGAGAAAAAGTGATTAAATTCGATTATATAAATGTTGCTACTTAAAATAAGTAAGTAGTATAAGTTATTTAATACAATTTAACCTGTAAGTAGCCTTAAACTAGCAAGAACATCTCCAAGAAAGGGATAATTGATATTGAATTAGGAACTTCAATTGAAAAAGTGACTTGAAAACATTGGTATTTCGGTTACTGATCCCACACTTAGTTACACAACTCCCCAACTGATTGTGCTTTCACTGAATTTTGGTTTTTAGTGATTCATTTCTGTAATTCAAAAACGCCTGATACTACTTTGTCATTGCGATGTTTGCTAACAATCGAATTTAACACATCTATAAGGGGAAACTTCCAAGTCGACATGGAATGTTTAATAGAGCACAGTGTCTAGTTCAAGGCAACAATATGTGATATATTTAATGACAACCTATGCTCTAAAGTCAAGCTAGACAGAATTATTAACGATAAGTGGTTTCGAATAAAAAGCAATTCAGCAAAAGAGATAAAAGGTGCATTGGTGCTTACCTAAAGCCTCCTTAAAAGTGCTTTTATCCTGTGTCATTAAATTATCAACAATTAAATTCCAACTCTGTAAGGCAACTGGTGTCATTTGAAAGAATACTGGTTCGTAGAATAAGTCTAAAACATCACGACGCCATGATTTACGTGTATACTGGTAACTACTGATAGATGCAATCAATTTACTTGCTACAGTAAAATGATCTGAATTACTCAACCTGAATAAAAGAGAAGAAAGTAATATAACGGGAAGCAGAAAAATATATGCATAAGCACGAATACGCCTGAAAAGATAATACAAAAAGAAGTTCACTCTTTTGAGTCAACTGGAAAACTGTTGAAAATAAACAATGGCATAAGGGTGTTCAGTATAATCTTCTTTTGTATCTTCTGAACTACTTGTTTTCAAAGTTATTTCTTCATCCACAACCTAATGTTAATTCCTCTTTTACCTACTTTATATACCGTTTTCTGTATTAAATTTCATACTACTTATTACTGGTAAGTAGTACGAATATATTCTTTAATTATCATTTCGTAAATCAGCACGAGTTGCTGTTAATTTCTATTGGAACTTATCTCAGTTATTGTGCTAATATTCCATTAGGTGTGGTGTTATTATCCTCTTACTGGTTAAACGGTATTTACTGTGTATTTCTTCTCTATATTCCACTCTCTGTTGAACATTGTTTATTCGAATCCATTGATTCTTGACATGTACATTCGCGCACTGTTTATATCCTCACGCGGACCACCTTTGATACAAATTCGCTCTTGTTTTTTGTTTTCTTATTGACACACAATGACAGTGTATTTGACGACCTTTAGCCTAGGTACTTCACAATTTGAGATTTGTATATTCTATTTATGATATATTTCTGTGTAATATAGTTCGTATTTAAGATAAATCCTGTAGTTCAATTAATCGAAAGTTCCACAACAAATTGGCGTTCCGAACTTCTTAGAAGAAATCTACAATTAGTCTATTGAAAAATCGAAACTAATGACCAAATGAATTGCTAGATGGCGTTGAGCAACAGCGTAGTTACAGATCTCGTCAGTGCTATTAAAGCTGTGTCCGTATATCTGAACCAAATTAATAATAATATATAGGGTTTTATCCTTTACTACCTGTCGAGATAAATGAAAGTTCTGACAAATAAAAACCATTACTAGATGATTTATTTTAGTGTCCATCAAGTATCAGTGATACTCTCACATACCTTAAAGGTTTAGAAAGTCGCCTAGTCTATCACAGACTTCAACCAATCATCTAATACATTCTCAACTAAGAGCATCGTAAGACAAATAAATGTTGTATGAACGAAACCTTAAGCGAGTGAGTACGGCTCATTGAAGGGTTCGAATTTCAACTCTTCATTTACTAACTTGGTCTGATTAAAAACAAATGGTGAATCAGTACAAAGATGACTATTGATTTCTGCTTACTTATTTCAGTGTTGGAAAATGGTTAGTGTAAATCCCGACAGGTTGCAGTTATACATGTATCTACAAACTCTGCTCTGGGGGTGGGGGGTGAGGTGTGGGGAGATATTACAATTCAATAAAAGCAAAGGCATTAGTCATATTTGTAAAGAGACTATTTACGGTTCGAGTACGATAATACAAGTTTGGGTAAAAATGCTTGAAAGTTCTTTTAAAATACTTTACAACAGAAATAAACACATATCAACAGTAGGCAATATAAGTAGACATGAGAAATACAAACAAAAATTGTTTACAACGTACATTCGAACTCGAAGATACGGGAAAATATTGCATAAAACATTGTTTAAAAATGTTGATATACGATCTTTTTCATCACTTTTGTAGACTAAGTCTAAAAATATTGCCATATTCTGGATAAAGTGAAAGAAAAAGAGACAGAGAGGGGAAGAGGAAAACGATGAAATAATGAAAAGAGAAACATTGATATACCCCCTCCCCATAGACATCTTGTATTTATATTTAATAAAACAAATAAAACAACAACTCTAAGGTATTCGACAATATTTTTCTCAGATGATCTCTAAGCAGCATATCAGAGCAACATCTCCTAACTCCTTAGGCTTCAACTGTCTCTACATGCATATACCTATCAAATAAGTAGACTTTGAGGATTAATGACATCCTTGAAACACACAACCGCCAATGAAGAGAAACGTAAGACTGTGTACACATGCGATTCTTAAATATAATGCTATAGACTAAAGGCGATGCTTAGAACGGTTATTTCTACTATAATAGTGTCTTCACACTAGTTGTATGTTGCATTATCTCACATACTTTCTCTCTCTCTCTCTCTCTATATATATATATATATATATATATATATATATATATATATATAACTCTGACTGTACTATATCTATGGCCAAAGTTTCAGCAATACAAATGAGTCGGACGCATACTGACTCTGACAGATTATTTACCAATTTATAGGTAAGTTTATTTCAAATATCACACAGTGATGCAGTATTAATAATAACTGGATGGTGTTTCCAGCATAAATTATTGCTCATCATCATATCAGTTTAGTCACACGGCTCAATGATTTGCTTTATATAAGCATTTTTCTCTCTCTATCTCTCTTTCCCTTGTTGTTTGTTACCACTTTCCATATCTCTGGTATAGGCGTTGCGTCATTTGAACCAACCAACTCTCTCAGAGACAAACTTATATCGGCTTAAGGACCCAATAGATCATCCGATTAAGAAAAATAATATAATATACCAAATACCATTTAATGACTGTGAGGTTATTTACCAAGTTGAAACTAGTAGATCGGGGTCAACTAGACTATTGGAACGTAAAAATTTAGCTAAAAATAGAATGATTGACACTGCTAAGCTAAATGGCCTAGAAAAAAGCTCAGATATTGCATTGCACTCACCTGTATGTAATCACACAATAGGGTGAGACAAAGGGGGGCTGTGAAATAACATCGACTGAGATGGTTAGGACATGTGTTACACATGCCCAGACATCGCCTTCCTCAATGGGCAATGTTAGCTGATATAGGGCCAGGCTGGAAAAGAGCTAGCGGCGGTCAAACCAAAACATGGCACCAGTCAATGAAATCTACAACAGTTAGTCTAAGCCAGACACGTAGGAAGGTGTAGAATTCCTGGTTGGAGTCCTCGGGACGGTAAAACCAATTGTTGAAAACAATTGGTGACATGGCTCAAAATCGTTCTCAATGGCTAGCGCAGATGCATCCACTCCTTGTGATTTATTATTTCCAATGAAACTGTTTTGTTCTTCGTTATTACTATTCCTTTGTCTCATACCTCTGTTTACTGTCTCTAATATGCATTTCTTCTACTTTCTTCTCTTGCTTTGTGTGCTACAAAGAAGGAGTGTGGCGACTTGAACTGCCGCACATCGGTGCAAAGTTCTGTGTCGAAAACAGACAGACAGACAGTGAGACAGAGGGAGAGAGTGAAATTATTAAAAAGTAATATAGTTAGGTGGAGAGAGAGGTTATTCACTGAATCTTTGTTTAACGATTCGACACCACAAACATGCAATCGAAATGACGCAACGCCTATACCGGAGATATGGGAAGTGGTAACAAACAACAAAGGGAAGAGAGAGGAAAGAAAAAATACACATGTAAAGCAAATCATGGAGCCGTGTGACTAAATTGATATGATTATGAGCAATAGTTTATGCTCGAAACACCATCCAGTTATTAATACTGCATCATCACGTGTGATATTTGAAATAAACTTACTTAATATGGAATTACATTCTACCCCAGTGCCCAAGTTTTACACTTGCCTTAAAGGAAAATGCTGTAGAAATAAGGTGGAAGTGGGGCTACAAGAAGTGTAATAATTGAACATATTCTCGATACTGGTCACCTTATCTCTACAGTTTCTTCTTTTAAAGTTATCTATAAGGTGAAGACATAAACCTGCCAAAATCATCATATGTCTGAAGCCTTGACAATTGGAATAGTAAAGCCAGAGCTCTGCATATAGAAAACGTTTGCTCAGCCACTCCTCTTCCTCCTTTCACGGCCTTAATCCATCTAGGCCAAACTATTATGATTCGCATTACTAACATGCCTCTATTTGATGATATTAGATGGCTGGAGGCAATCGGCAGGAAGTCCAGTCTTCGACCTAGGTTTCGTGCTAGTTGGCAGTCACAATTTCAGCAAGACGTATCTGCAACCTTGAAGGAACTCATGTCCCTTCTGAGATTCCAACCCGATAGAATCCAGTCTCCACCAAAGAAAAAACTAGACACATCACGCTAGTTACTCATGTCCAATTAAAAATGCCTCTGTTTGATTATTCGTTTCATTTTCTCAATTTGTATATTCATCCCTTATTTGCTTCGATTGTTATCATCATCAGTATCAATTTTCACTGTTAACAATTTCTGGTATGTTATCTCACTTGCCACGTTTCTTTACTTATTTAGTGCAATTATAATTTTTCACAATGTCGTTATATTCATAGTCATCATATATACCTATTCAACGATACTCTTAGTTCACATAACCACTAACATCAAAATTAATTTTAGTAAACGATGAAACAAAACATTGACATTTTCAAAGCCTTATTGCTATTATTATCATCAATGACTTAAGAAAGCATTACCTCTGTTAATAATTCTATAGCTTGTATTGTAACATCATTACGCATTCGAATACGTGTTATTTCATTAGTCAACATGTTGACTGAAGCTGAAACAATGAGAAAAAAAGGTAGTGAAATAATTAAAAAACTATGCAATATACCCCAGAGATGATATGCACACTAGTGATATTGAAAAAAAGACCTTCAAATTTTCAAGTACTGGTTTGTGGAGATCCTGTTTGATTGGTTGGAGGATTTCATCGTGAGTTGACATCAGTTAGAGAAACATTGGAAAACCATCTGGGAGTACTGGATAACTGTCTCGTCAGCCTAGTTTGAAACTCTTCAGCAGTACGCACCCACCACAGGGGTTCGAACCCAGGACATTCCGGATACAAGGCGAGCGAGCTCGTAGACCATTAAGCCACTGGAACCCCATATATTGACCAGCCCATGAATTTTAACTTCCGCCAATTCACGATATAGCGCGACCACTTAGCAATGTCTTCGACGAGTAACTGTCCTCAACCTTCGACCTGCCAAACCCTACTGTACTTCAAATTTGTTATAAACAAGGTTGACACAAAAGTAAACCCTATATATATATATATATATATATATATATATATATATAGGGTGTACTTTTATCAGGTTATCTTTATATATATATATATATATATAACCTGATATAACATACAGTGAAACAGTATTGATAACTGAATGACGCTTCAACGTATGATATGATTATAAGCGTTAAACTCTACTCAAAACATCACATTATTCACTTTGTGTTAACATCAGATAAATCTAACATAGAATTATATTGTGGTGAGAGCTGGCTGCTAGCCAAAGTTGGTAAGACAGTAATTGACGTCATTGTTTATTTCCCCAATATTGGTGGTGAGAAAATGAGAGCAAAGGCTTTGTGTAGGCGGATACAGTTAGCATATAGATGATCTGACACAGCCACAAAGAGATGCAAGGTTAACTTTCTGTGAGAAACAACCAATCAAAAGACTGTATTTACTACTAACAATAGTCTACAATAATGTACATTAAAATCTATAAATATGTGTTGATTTCCCTTAAAAAACGATCTGTTGCCTGACCCTTGTCTTCTGTTGTTACAATATTATACCACTGTGCCCCAGTTCTACACTTAGATAAGTAGACTGTTGGACGATAGTGTGTGTATTCATCAAGTGGTTGAATACATTTGTGAGCAGCATAGCTATCGTCTAGCAGACATCGTGCAGCAGATATTCCGAAGGTAGTAGAGTAAGTACTACAGATGTATCCATCCTTTAATTACCTTAGAAATAATACCATAAACATCCTGCTAAACAATCTCTCTTTGTCTAACTACTGAACTGATACTATGACTCCACTTTCTTTGTCTATCTTATATATTGACTGGGATACATTGTCGTCCAAATTTACGTAAACAAATTGCATAGTAGTGCTTTCAGTTTTATGTTAACCAATCATATTTCCGGATTAAATGTGAATGACAATTAATAACGATAATAAAGCTTTATTTCAAATAATATGTGAACACATAGTACAGAAATTTTCAGCGTTGCAATAATCTGACATATATCATGTAACGTAGTGTTGTTGCATATGAAGAGAGAAAACCGATTATATATATTTTTTATCTTCATTTCCTTCAAGAATTGCGCAGTGTTTCGTTGAAAGCTAATTAAATATATGAACGTGAGTTCATGTAGTGATCATTTAATATAATTGTTTGATTAAAACAATAAGAAATGCTGAAGATTTTAGGCATTTTTATGGATGGAAAGTCTGATAGCCCAGTGATTTAAGCAGGCCGCCGTTATAAAACAAAACACACAATGAATAACATAGTATTAAGTGAAGATAGCTGTTAGTTGTAGCATGCAGAAAAAAGACGCTATAGGAGGGCATAAAAACTTTGGATAATTTAATTCCAGGCCATAAATTCAAATTTCAGATCAATTCTTTCTTAGTAATTTGAAAATTTCCACTTACACATTTACAGAAAAACAAATTGGGTAAAGAAATATATATATATATATATATATGTATATATAAATCTTCTTTACGTCATACAGTAACTCTCTTTAAGTGACACGTACAAAACCCAATGACTTAACTTGATCGACTAGAGAGACAGAAAGCCATAGAACCATTCAAATCAATATTCCAAAGGGAATAATCATTGTGTAACAAAGTGAGTAAGGGGAATGTGTTCACGAGTAGTAAATCGAAGTCTCCGTTCATACGTCCATATATAATTTTCTCCGAGTGACTTACAGTATCACAAAATACACTGAAGTGTCTAGAAAGTATTATTCTACACAAAGAATTTCGTAGATGATTCCGTAAAAGAATAAGTGCTTTAAGAATTGGAAAAATGGATTTCCCGATATGAATTTAAAACAAGCAATCACTTGGGCACTTCAAACTGTGTAAATCAATTCGAGTGTGTTTGTGGAAGTAAATAAATAGGTCGTGTGGAAAGGCGATTATTTACTCGCATGATGAAACTTTCGCTCAAGTGGCTGGGAAAAACCTGAGGCCAAAGTACCAAAAAGTTTAATAACAAAGCATCTTATGAACATCGGACATAACTTTGACGCTGTGAAGTCATTCACTGTGGTCAGGAGACAAACAAACAAACAAGCAGAAAGATGCTTGAAATTCTGGAGTCTTGTGCAATTAGAGTTTATAAGGTCAGTAATCTGTGTGCAGAAGGCAATGATGGTCACTCTGAATCTACCATAGTAGTATGCCTTACTTATTAACTGTTATTATTATTATTAATATTTTTATTCTGTCATTATTATTCCTGATTAATTTAAAATTCAAGTTCTTTCTCTGATAACTAATTGCTCATTTAAGTGATGTAACTAAACTGTAGTGTATTATTATCTTAATTTTAATCTCTGCTACTACCTTCCTCTTAACTGTATGAGTGTGATTGGTTCACCGTAGTTTGTTTACTTATTACTCATATATCTAGTGGTATATATATTACTGTATGTAGAGTATTCAGCTGAAGAGTTCTGCCGAGAATTCACTAAATCCTGCTTTATTAACGTTTGTTACTTGTTTTAAAAGAACAGATCACTGTTTGAAATTCCGCCATGATAAACGTTTTGCATCAGTAGTATAAATAATTATCCTCATTATATTGGAATACAATACAAACATTCGATTGTGAAACAAAAGCTGTCTCAGACGATATAACTGAAACTTTCCAACTAAATACTTGTTGTTATTATTATTTAGATAAAGCATATTCCTAAATGACTCCAGAAACAAATAGAATCTTCAGAACCCATTAATGGTGAGAACAGGAGACCTAGCTCTTCTATTGCGAAACATATTATAGAGAGAGGACATAAAATTGACTTAACAGTTCTTTTAAACCTATCTGTAAAACGTGATTGGGCCGTATCCTAAAGTCTGTGGAAGCCCTAGCTGGCAATTAGGAAGTTTAAACCACCTTTATGCGTTCAAAAACAATTCGTCATCACATCAAACCTTCCTTGGTAAATTTTGTTTTGATACCATAGCAGATGTACTATTACCTCTTTCATTTGGTTTAGTGGTCTTCATTCTTATTTTGACCTCTAATATGTCCTTTTAACTTGACCTAAGTCTATTTTCTCACCTCTTAACTCTTTATTAATTTCATATATATGTACTCCTATGACAAGTCCGTATGTGATCAGATTGTTTGAAATGTGTTGCGCAAATACATTACACGATTCAGACAAATTACGTCTTCTTATTGCTTTATCTAAATTCATAAAGGGAACTAATTGTTAATATTATTATTATCATTTGGTCCTTAGGTTAAGAGTAGAACATAGGACTTCACTAACACATTTTCAATGTATTTCGTTCCCAGCAATTAAATTCATTTGGCCCCACGATTGCCCTCAAGCTTTCATTTCTTCTTCATATGATCTTCTCCACGTCAACCTCGGATGCCTAATGTATCGATTCTCATTTGCGTTACACTCGAAAACCTGTTTAGCGTATGATTTGACTTGACGGTCTCCTCCTCAACGTATGTCCAATCGCGCTCCAATTCCATCTACATATTAATTGGGGGTTCGTTGTCAGAGTTCCATGTTGCTCGTTCTTTCCAGATAACCCTGTCAACTTCAGTTTCAGGCAAAGGCAGGTGTTAATGGCAGTCCTCAGCCTGTTGCGAGTGCTACTGCTAACCGACTTGACAGCAGTGCCAAAAACCAGGATCTTTTTTTAAATAATTTTAAAATAATAATAGCTTTATTCCAAACAGTATTTGTGGTACAGGTATGGAATTTTCAGTGTGCATTACAATATTGCATCTAATTATCTCATAAATTTTATATGATTTGAAAAATAAAAAGCAACAACAACAAAAAGAAAAAAAGACAAATAAAAGAAATAAAAAAGAACAGCATTGCATTCACATATTTAAACAATGCACCACAGGATATGAAATATAAAATTAGTGTGTAATAGAATATGTGAGCAACAATATAATAGTAACAAAGAAAGGAGAACAAAAGCTAATGGGAACTATTTGTTAGAGTGCCGTAGTAAGTTGACCATGTCATACCTAACGGATTTCTCATCACATAACAGCTGTGCCAGATAAGGTATTGTGGAGTTTTTATACTTGGTAGTCCTGGCATATAGCTTCCTATAGTTGCTTCTAGTTCTACCAGATGAAATGCAAGGAGAGAGCTGCATATAGAGAGGGTGTTCGGGGTCTGACAATATAGAATTCTCTAGTTTCCTACATGACATTATATGTCTATCCACAATAATGTTAACTAGTTGGTTTAACGAAATCCCACTTCCCCTACTAACAGCTTTTAGTGCCCTACGCAGCAAAGCAAAGTCTTTCTTAAGTAGTCCAGGAAAGATTAATGGGGAGCAGTGAAGACGGATGGTTAGAATACAAGAGTTGACAAACTGAGAAAGCAAAGACTGCTTTATACCAGACTGCCTTAACTTCCTAACGTAGAACGTTAAGCGAAACATCTTTCTAGTAGCTAGCAAGATGTGAGAGGACCAGGAAAGATCGAAGGAAATACTCAGTCCAAGGTACTTGACATTAGATATAGTCGTCAATGATAGTGGGACCATGTGAGCTAGCTAGTTGTTGTAGGTCACGTTTTCGTCTGAAAGTAAAATTTACTACCTGACATTTAGACGGATTCAGCTTAAGACCGTTTGAAGAGGACCACTGACTAATTTCCGAGAGAAAGTTATTTAATTTGGAACAGTCTGACTGAGAGTTGACAGGCATAGAGACAGATAGGTCATCAGCATACTTGACAAAAGTGGCTACATCAGAACGGGGCAAGTCATATAAGAAAAAAGAAAACATTTAGTTTCTTATACCAAGGTCTGTAGATCTCAACACTGCCTTCCTTGCTTTCCCGACAATTGCTGACTAGCTTTGATATCCTCATCTGTGATGCTTAAAGTTGAAATGATGATACCTAGGTGAGTGAGAGAGATGACTATCTTTAGAGTACTCTCAGTGTTGATGATCAGTGGTGTTTCTTGTTGGTCGGGTATCTTAATCACCTCTATATTCTATATGTTCACCTAAAATCTTGTCTTTTCTTTATGTCCGCTTCTAACAACTTGTTGATTTTCACTAACTAACCATGTAGCAATACTGTAAGTGTTGAGTTTTGATGCATTTAGTAATCGATGATTATTCACGCTAAATTATATATACATATATATAAACATTGAATGTAATCTGACTTACAAAGACGCGATTTTGACTGATATAATGACGAAGATGATGCTGATGACTGCAATGTTGGGCTGAAATTATCATACAACACTTCTTTAGTAGAGTATCCTGAACTGTTTGATTGTTGTATTGTAGAGAAGTGTGAATTAGTTGAATTACTTGAATTGCCATTTCGATCAGATTTGAAAGAATACTCATAAATTTCAGATCCAGGAAGAGATATATTATCGCATAAATCAGAGGAATTCACTGTTGTACTGCTTAAATCTGTATCAAGTTGGCGTACTTGCAGTGTTTTACGGAACCATGAAGGTTGATGCAAAGCAGATGCTGCAATAGATGCTGTCGTTTCAAGAAGTCGATGACATAGTTCCTAAGTGGAAAGCAAGAACAAACAGAGCTTATTCATAATTCATATGAACTGTGATCAAGATTTAGTCGAGTACTTCCAAAATAATTGGGGGCCGAGTGAGAAATAGACATTTGTAAAAACTATATTTCAATATAGCAAAAATATTCATTCAGACATCTATAAAACACAAAATGATTGAGTAAAGAATATCCTTTTCGATAAATTCCTCTTCTGGCTCTCCAATTATATACATGTCTATATACGCAATCTGATAAAGTGCTTGGTTCACAGGGCAAGAGCAATTTACTCGGATGAATATCTTGATGAGGAACTTAATAATATTAAACGGTTGCTAAGTGAAAATGGCTATCCAGAAAAGTTTATTGATAAGAATATGAATCTAAAATCAAAGCAGCCCAAGGTACCAACAGTTCCAAAAAAGGCCTTGTTCTTACAGATGCAGTTCCTTGGGGACAACATCAGCGAGATACTAACACAGTGCCTTAGAAATGTGGTAAAAAGAGCATTCCCTGCTGCCAAATTACGCTGCATCTTTAAAACCACTCCTCTTTTGCGTTTGGGAGTAAAAGACAAAATGTCTAATTTCGCCTTTTCCATGTCTATCTACCAATTTAACTGCTCCTGTGGAGCCAGTTACTTAGACCGTACAATTAGGCGTATTTTTCGTCGAATTTCCGAACATCATCCTGTGTGGTTAAGCAAAGGAAAAACAAAATCTATTCGCAGCGCTATTCTATCTCATCTTGTGGATACAGAACACAAGGTTGGTGTTAACCAGGCTTTCAGGGTCATTTACAGCATACCTACGAATCTCAATTTCGCCTTAAGAGTTCGACTACTAAATATTGCTGAGGCTGTTGAGATCCATATTAACAAGCCTAATTTTTGCATCCGAAACAAGTTAGTTCAGACATTGTCCTTACCTTGGCCATCCAGGTTCGAGTGATCCTGAATTGTTGTTGATATTCTATTTGCTACTATATCTTTATTATTATTATTATAATTTGAGCATCTTTAATGAACTGTAGTTCCATTGATCATACTTGACAAATCGATATTATTTAAAAAAACGCTAATATTGTTACTGACTACTAATCTAGAATATTCTATGTATATAATTGTAGAGCTACAAGAGGAGGAATTTATCGAAAAGGATATTCTTTGTTCAATCATTTTGTGTTTTATAAAATTATATTTGTATTATCGCAGCTAAATTTAAATAAGTAGTTTCGACGGTTATATGAAACAGACATTAAAATATAACAAAAAAAATTGCGTGAACTGTGGTCAAAATTTGACCTCAGATTTACAAATATTAGTTGGAAGATTTCATCATGAGCTCCAAGCAACCAATACTTACAAATATTAGTCTACTTTTGTCAAACACATTAAACAGTGTGTACTTTTACATCAAATTTTTTTAGTGATTCCCTTCGACTAAAGTTCATAGTTGTATTAATATCAGTAGATGGTTGTAGATAACTGAATATGAAAAATACATATGTATATGCGGTGTACAATGGTGTGTATGTATGTATGTATAGGGCAACAGTTGTAAATCATTTATTAGACACTCCGCAAGAAAATATAGATAATCGGGAATTCACATTAAGTATGATAGGTTACTGATGCATATGCATTTCTCTTTATTAATCAGGACTTGCCATGCATCAGCTAACACCATACTTTCACGCCTGTTCAAGTTCTTGGCATTCACCTATATATGTAGTGCTTCTGCAATCAGTCTTTGTTTATACGAACCAAAACCTTTTTGTACACCATTGTTCCTACCAAAGTCGATCTTGTGTCTTATTTCCATTGAGTGTAGTGCGATGACCAATCTGTTTTTTAGCTTCTTCAAGTCTACAGACGTCTTTGGAACCACCTTTAAACAATATTGTTCACTTAGATGGATTGTTCTAATTAAGGGAGTGTAGGATAAAAGCTTGTCTAGAAAATGTTTAGCTGTATGAACTTTCAGAATTCCAAGTTTGTATGCCACAGCCAATAAAGGTAACATGCTCAACCAAAGAAGAAGGAATATTATGCAAAAAATATTCTACTCTGGTTACTAACTAACTAGTGTCCAATCAAAAGTTTCCAATACAGTCAGTCCTAAAGAAGGTCAATCGCGAGCCGGGACAGCTTAGTAGTAACGTCGCCGACTGCAGCACTGGGTGACCTGGGTTCGAATCTCGGAAGGGACTTGAGTTCCTTCAAAGTTGCAGATACGTCTTGCTGACTGACTGGTGAGTGCCAACTAGCACGAAACCTAGGTCTTATCGATTTCTAAGAAACTGTTTCACCTAACCTACTACATTAAGAAGTTAAAATAATCAGGTATCACTCAACCTCTACTTTTACAGTTTGTTAACTCTTACATCTTACTTATTGTTCTTTATTACCCTTCCTTTATTCCTTCCTGAGATACTCAGAAACGAGTATGTCATATTTCGAAGAGTATTAAAGTTTGTCAGTAAGGCAAATAGGTGGGCCACTGAGTCATCTCGTTACTGCTGTAGTCAACAGACATTTGAACTTATGCGAGAAATGAGCCAAATCCATATGGTCTGACTCTCTCTCTATCCTCTTTATTCATCACAACTCTCCTCTTGCATCTCATCAGGTAGGACTTAGCGTCATCATAAAAGAGTATATGCTTATGCAACTAAGTACAAAAACTCAACGATACCCTATTTGGTCCGCGTTCTACGTGGTAGAGATAGTGTTGAGTGTGAAACTTACAACTTACTATGTAGTTAGGAAAATAAATCGGCTTTTGTTTTATCTTTTTCTTTCTGTAATTTATGGTGACACTGTTTCAGTTATGTTATTATTATTATTATCTTAAGTTTTTTTTTTTCACATTTTTGACTTTACTGTCACTGCTAATACCAAAACGCTGTTATTATAAATTCTGGTTACCTACAACACTCTGTAATATAATTTTGTTATTGTTCAGTAAATCAGATGCAATATTGTGCCAAATGCTGAGAATTCCACACTGTATCATGTAAGTACTGTTTTGGAATACGGCAAATTATTATTATTATTATTAATCTTAGATGGTAGTAACTCCAGTTAACGATCATTAGTTTCTAACTTCTCACAGAAATGAACTTTCATCTGTAAAAGCCAGCTGAAGACAGAAACGTTATTGTAAAAGAAATTTACTACTGTTATCCAAATCTTAGTTGTATAAAAGATCACGGGAAAAATAATCTAGAAACATCACTCCAGTGATAAAAGATAGTCATGAGCACATGTACAGTCACACATCAGTGTCACGTTTGCAGTAAGGCCAGCATGCTAAGTGATTCAGCATCGCGATGCACACTGAATTGATTGATGTTAGACAATTGGAGGCAATCGGCAACAAGACTTTGACATAGGTTTCGTACTTGTTGGCACTCACCAGTCAGTCAGCAAGGCGTACTTGTAATTCTTGAAGGAACTCATGTCCCTTCTGAGACTCGAAGCTGCATCACCCAGTAGTGTAGTCAGAGACGTTACTGCTAATCTGTATGGGCTCACGGTTATTGGATACTTTGAGTTTTCACTGAGTATTAAGCAATGTCATATGTCTAGTCCTCGGGTCGGTGCAAAGTGATCACCATCCGTTCAAGGCGTCCTACAGATTGCCTTCAATCATCCAACAGATATTAAGTTATGTTTATATGTGTTGTAAAGCTAGAAAAAAACATCTTCAATTAATGTGAAATGAATAAATATCAAGCTTTTCACCACTTTAGGTGACTGAATGTATACTACACCTTGAAATGACACCAAAAATACTCACCTGTAATTCCCTCTGTTCCCGTTTATCATCACTAGAAGTAGCTGTGTCCAACAGCTTGCCAAAAATTCTACAAAAATTTACACAATACAGAAAAAGATATAACGTGATGATATAAAACTGAAACTCGAAGACGTTCACATGATAAGGAATTCAGCAGATTCCCCACCACACTTTAGAATTTGACAGTTAAGACAATTTCAGTAGCAATTAAGTCGTCAGATATGTGTGTAGGATATAGGGAATTTCAGTTGGATTGTTTTTAAAGAAATAAATAAATACTGCAATATATTCAGTAGCATAGCGACTGACTAGTGTTCCCAGTGAATAACTAATCTCCCCCCCTACACACATGCGCATGACTTGGTTAGATCCACAGCTTTGATTCTCCAACTGACGTCAGTTCGTGATCAAAATCGAAACCAATCAAAACCCTACAAGCTAACTCTTGAAAAATAACCTGACACTTGCTAGTGACTGGGCTACATGATGCAGTTGTCTGGACTTCTACTGAGAAGTTGTGACCAGTGGACTCCATTCCATCATGTCGGTCGTGAGGACAAATAGTCGCCGCCGATGATATTGGCTGGTAGGGGCTGGAATTCATGCACTGGCTATTGAATCAGGTCCCAGTGGCTCGATGGTCAACGAGCTGGCCTTGTAACTTGGAGGTCCTGGATTCAAACCCTAGTGGGTGTGTACTGTTGGAGAGTTCCAAACTAGGGCGAAACAGCTGTACAGCACTTCTTGTGTTCCTAGTGGTTCTTCAACTGATATTAATCCATGGCCAAACTTGGGAAACAAATCTAATCCCTACAACCAAATCTTAATTGGAAATGAAACATATTTATGAGTAGATGCGCGATCTTATCATTCTGGCTTCTGGTGAACATTACTGTTAAAATTTGCTGCACAGAGTATTCTTCTCAAAGATATTGAAATACTTCTCTTAAGGTCACTGGTATATGCATATATATACATCTTTCGGTCGAACTCTTACGTCATATCACATTTTCCCTCGTTTCTATGTACATTCTGACTACAACTCATCCACTATGTTATTTATCTCATTAAGTAATTCTAACATTTCTATTAAACTCCTATAATGTGTTGACTAATAATAACAACTATGATTATGACACCTTAGCGCTTTTGTTACTATCATCTCTTATGGGCTAACTGTAAATAAATGCGACTACACAGCTAAATAAAATGAATTTACCGAAATGAACCTCTTCGTTGAACTGATTTTTTTGTTTTTACATTAATGCCTGGATGGTGATTATTCATGAATTTAAAAGAAAAATTCATCAGTTAATGTTGCACACTTTACAACGCAACACAAAGCGAAAGAGGAGGCATATATCTGCGCTTTGGTGACACCAACGATTTCTTTTTTATTCATTCACGTTCCCAGTGAAACATAGGGCTTCAAGCTAAGGGTTTGAAGTTTCAGTAGCAGTTATGTTTATTTTTACGGAATGGGGTTGCTAGCCCGCCTCATGCCCAACCTTCCCTCTTTACCAGTCCTATTACTGGCTTAGTGAGGTAAAGTAGTGCGAGGATCGAACCCCATAACACATGCGTGGTCGGCGAGCATTCTACAGCTGCGCACCACTGAAGCGTTGACACCAACGTTAGATAATGTTATCAAAATTTTCCCACAATTGATTCTTAACATATAGATTTCTCTATTCAAGTTCATGGACATACGAAGAAGGATTTCATGGATTAATGTCACACTTTAATTCGATCCCACTTTACTTTCTCCTAATCTAAGGTTATTTCAGTTATTATGGGGTCATCAGCACAAGCCATTTTTCTCTTTGGTAACATACACGCGTTGCAGTCCCTTCAAAAATTAAAGGCGTACAATCGCACATATAAGAACACACCATTTGAATAATGTGCAAAATCAAAATGAAACAAAAAAGTGGTCACTTGATACACATACATGATTTATTTTTAACCTACTTGATGAGAATGAATATTGCTACCGGTGGAAGACCCGTTGTCGATGATGCAGTAGAAGTAGTAGTAGTACTGCTATTACTACTGGGAGGCGTAAAATTCGTCATCACTGGCATATTGATTAAATCTCTTACCAAGATAAGCAATAAATCAGCTGATATAAAATCTGGTTTCATAATAAGCCATGCATAGAATAAGTGCAATAAACTGATCTGTACACGAATAATATTCAGCCCAGGATTAGAATTTACCTAATAATAGAGTAAAACACACAAAAAAAAACAAAAAGAAACATGAATGTGATTCAGAATATTAGCTCTCATAGACAAGACGGAGGTTATGAAAATTACCAACCAACAACAACAACAGCAGCAGCATCCAGCGCCAATCATCATCAACGGGAAGGATTTGAGAGAGGTTACTTCATTCACTTATCTAGGGAGCATTGTCTCAACTACAGGAGGAACAGACGAAGATGTCAAATCGAGAATCGGGAAGGCGAGAAACACATTCATCAACCTGAAACCAATCTGGAAATCTTCGTCACTCAGCCTGCATCAACAACAAAATTCGGATTTTCAATACAAACGACGTCAAGTCAGTTCTTCTATACAGATCAGAAACTTGGCGGGTCACCAAGAATATTTCCAACAGCCTGTTGCAGACCTTTATCAACAACTGTCTTCGCTCTATACTAAAGATCAGATGGCCGGAAAGAATCACCAACAAGAAACTATGGGAACAAACAAAACAAGAACCAATCGCTCAACAAATATGCAGGAGAAAGTGGAGATGGATTGGACACTCGCTGAGGAGGCCGCTGGGTGATATCGCGCGTCAGGCCATAGCTCGAGTGGAACCCGAAAGGGAAGCGGCGAGTGGGACGTCCAAGGGTGACATGGAGGAGATCGTGTGAAGAAGAGTTGAAACAGCATGGACTAACATGGGTGCAAGTGAAAAGTACAGCAGAAGACAGGAACAAGTGGAGACGTGCAGTTAAAGCCCTATGTTCCATTAGGAACCCAAGGGAACAATAATAATAATATAGTTATTTACGGCGGGAAACGTAGAACAAGATGCACCATGTATTACGAAACACAAGTGCTTCTAGCGGAAAAGTGGTGAATTACTTTAGGTACTAAATTTCTATTGAGGAGTGGAATAATTACTTGTCCAGTGGAGATCCGGGACGTCTCGGAGAGCTAATAAGCTTATCACAATGGTCATCGCTCATTACGAAGTGAACACAAACACTACATAGCTAAGTAAATAACAATATGACTCAATAACCTAATGTCTGCTTTTTCTGTACTAAAACATGAACTATATTTGATATCTTACAGATGATAACGTTATTCAGTCATCCAAGTCAAAGTGAAGAGTTTTAAAGCTGATACCTGATAGTTGGAAGTTTAGCGTTTCAGCCAGTGAGCTATACTATTTCTGCTGCGACATGTGCTACTGATTGGCTAAATCAGTAGTATATAAAGACACACAAAAACATCAAATAGCGGAGAAATGAATTTCACGTCAAAGAGAGAAAATGATGAACCAGTATTGTTGTGAATCATGGGAGACACAAAAAGAAGTCAAAGAAAGGGCAGAAATAGCACAACACAGAAGATCTATGCAAATGACGATTTGCATATAAGGTGCACATAATTCCCCTATATAGAGATATCAAATTGAAAATAAACATTCAGTTACCGAGTCACTTGTCTTCTAGCGTTACACTAAACCAAGCCGGATGAGATAGTTACTTCATACTGTTGTAGTAATGTAAACATTCCAACCATGAGAGGTATCAACAGCTCTCAAGACTACCTCTTCAGAGATTGGATTACATTCCAGCTACTTGGGTTTATAAAATTTGAAATGTACTCATATCCATTTCTACATCTTAACGTATTATAAATTTGATTGGAGTCTAGATGTGGTATTCCACATGAAGGGTGAAACAGCTTCTCGACAAATGAAAATTCACACATATATCAGATAAAATGACTGACTGTTGGCATATACATGATACTGGACACAGTTAGGACACTGTGAAAATAGAAACTGCTTAAGTTGATACAGCGTTCATGCACACGTTATTATTCAGGAGGTAATATGAAGGGAGATGAAAATATGACAGTAAAGTCATTGAAAACCCTAAAATAAACTGACGGAGAAAGTATTTAGGTAAACAGAGAAATTTGACAGAATGATTCTGGCGGGATTACATTCTGATTAGATTCTATCAGTGAAGTTTGCAATGTGGCCAGCATGTTAGGTGTCTCACCGTCACGACAGACTCTGAATGGTTGTTAAACAGTTGGACAAAGAAGGACTAGACACATGGCATTAGTTACTTACTAACTCGGTGTCCAATAAGAGTATCCATTAAAGTCCTACAGGAGGTCAACACTCGTGAGGTCGAATAGCTCAGTGGTAACGTCTCTGACTGCAACACTGTCTGACCCAGGTTCGAATCCCAGGAAGGATATAAGTCTCTTCAAGATTGCATATGCTGGCGAATGATGAAAAACATGGAACATAGGTCGAAGGCTTTGTGCCGATTGCCTGCAATCATCTAACAAAACAGTACATTCATATTACTGAGGTGAAAATGTCACAATCATAATACGAAAAAAGGAGATGTTTGTGTTTTTATTCACCAAATGTTAACCATAACCTAGAAATAGGTCAGTCAGCTAATTTGAGTGAGTAATACTCTATTTCACCCTTAATTCAACCACGGAAAAATGATGAAGACATTACACAGAAAGCAGACACAGTAGTAACAAGAAAGAGCAAGTATAATAATAATAATGATAATAACTGAAGGCTTACACTTTTACTCCCACTACTGACCGATGTCGCATACACATCTTGGAATGAAAAGCCTGTAGTACTATTGGAAACAGCATTAATTACAGTTGACAAGAATGTATTATTCATTGGTCGACGGATAGAATCACGTAAATTATTGACTAATACTGTTGCCGGTAGTATTGGACCATAATGTCTATCATTGTATGTTCGACCACTTATTAAATCCAACAGATTTATCTGTTTTTGATGCAAAGGAATTGAGTATACGTCTGAAATTAGGAGGAGGAGTAGGAGACAGAAAATACAGATAAAAAAATATAACTTAATAATTTACTCTTATGAGTAAAATGTGAATAGTCAAAACAAAACAAAAACACAACAACTATGAAAATGGATACATAGCATAAATATATATATGTACGCATGCTATTTGATGAAAAGCATGTCTCTAGACAACCTTGTCTGGGTTTATAGGTATAGAATAGGAGGAAAGTGAGACAGAGACATACACGGAATGAATCCCTCTAATACAACATGAGTGATGCTCTGTTACGATTTCGTTTCAAAATACTTGAAGTCAAATACAGTTTATATTTTTTTTTCAGGAAGTGTTAGTCTTCTGTGGTTTCGTGCTACCTGCTTAAAGGAACGCTGTAATCATATGAAATATACATCGCGTTTGTCTGTTTTACATTGGGCGTACAATTAGGCAGTTTCATCGTCGTATTTCTGAACATCATCCAGCGTGGTTAAGCAAGGGACAAGTAAAATCTATTCGTAGTTCTATTTTAGCACACCTGGTTGATACTGAGCACAAGGTCGATGTGAATACTGCATTTAAAATTATTTATCGTATTCCAACTAATCTTAACTTTGCTCTAAGATTTCGTCTTTTACAGACAGCTGAAGCAATTGGAATCCACCAGAAGAAACCAAGCCTATGTGTACAGAAGAAATTTGTACAGCCACTTTGCTTACCGTGGCCATCGTTACAAGACAGGACTACGTCGCCCCCCTCCCCCTACTAAATTATAATTGTCCAAATTATTTTTATTTTGACTTCTTCTTTAATCACGTGTTATTCTTGTAAAATTAAATTATAATTGTCCAAATTATTTTAATTTTATTTTTACCACTTCATCTCTAATTACGTGTTATTCTTGTAAAATTAATTTATTCTATCCATTTCTACCTTTTAATTGTGTATTAATTTTCTTCCTTAATTATCTACCCATTGACATTTTGACACTGGTTAATTATTGTTAACAATCATATCGCCACGTGTTTGGTAAATTGTTGTGTATTGTTAAAAAATGCTATATATATTAGAGTAGAGCCATAGAAGAGGATCTAATTGAAAAGTAAATATTTCTTCGCTCAATCTTTCTGTTTTTTCAAATGTTTTAAAGATGTTTTTGTCAAGTGTTTTTTAATACAGGGTGGAATATCTGTTGTGGCGTTTATTATACAATGCACGAAAATACCTTTTGACAGGCTCTTATTCTCACCTATCAATTATCTTTCCAATGAATAAAATATGCTGCTCAAGTTGACATGGTTACAACAAAAACTAGTTGGGTACAGCATGTCGGATGTGAGGAAAAATACTCGCTAGTGATGATATTAGCTAGTGCCAGTCGAGCTGGATCGTGAATTGAAAGAAGTTTGAATTCATGCACTAGATAGTGAATCGGGTCCCAGTGGCTTAATGGTCTACGAGGTTGCTTGTCTTGTAACCGGGAGGTTCTGGGTTTAAATCCCTGTGGAGGGTACGTACTAATGAAGGTTCCCAAACCAGGCTGACGAAACCGCTGTCCAGTACTCTGTGAAGGTTTTCCAATGCTTCTTTAACCGATGTCAGCTCATGATGAAATTCTGTAACCAATGTAATTTAATCCCTGAGAACTAACACTTGAAAAACAACAATACCAAACGAAAATGATGCTCGACCTGGTTTTTCGAAAGATTAAACATAATAAAATCAATGAGATAAATACCATCTTCAGATTGGATTGTAAACCCTTTAAGGATTTTTACTGGTATATAAAAGTATAATACTTAGTGAAATGAAAAGATACACAACAATGAATTCCATCCAGTAGAAATTTACAAATAAAAAAAAAATAAAATAAAAAGTTAACACGCCCTAAATGTGCATCTGTAGATAATATGACTAAGCCTATAAAGTGAAAGCTAGGCGTATGCTTTTTTGTTCTTTTAACCTGCTTTGATTAACAGTTTGCTAATTTTTTTTTGTGATTATTCTTTTATAATCATGATAACAGCATGCGTAGTAAAACTGTTCTCTCTAATCTTGACTAACATCAATTACAGTTAGACAAAAGAATCAATTATTAAATTGTGGAAAATACCCATAGGAAAATTAGGGGGAAAAGGCCTAACGCAATTATTACTTATTGACACTTATTCATAAAATCACTCACTATTGACTATTGGTTATGCGTCATGTAGAATACTTGGATATCAACTAACTACTTATTCAATTATACTCTCGCCTTATAGACTTATGCTGCTCATTCACTTGAGTACCATCCTTCAAGTATTGAAGTTTCAGTAACTGTGGTGTTTTTCCATTTTCTTACGGGGTGGGGTTGTTAGCCCCACTCCCAACCTTCCTTTTTACCAGCTTAGTGCATCGGCCGGACATCGAACCCTGGACCACGTAGGCGTTTTTCAGTGTGCCGACTTAAAATGACGTACTCCAGGATTCGTTCCTATGCTGATGTATACACACACACACACACACACCGTTTTCTCCTACTATTGTAACATCTGAGGTGGAAGGCACTGAAAATGGTTGTATTTATTTATTTAAAAAAATTGAATTGGAATAACCTTAAATGGATCCCATTGTATTGACACAGAACTCTTAGTTTTACATTAAATCAATGCTTTAAATTCTTTTTTTTTAACCTTAAATCGTCCACTAAGCCGATTTTGGGATTTCATGAAAAAATAAGACCATAGGAAGAACAAACATACGGTGGCTGCAAAGGAAAAAATACTTTTATTTTCGACAAAGTCATCAATTAGACCGTACAGTGTGTGTATCGTGATCATCACAAACAGCCTACTTTCTCAATATAAGACGATGACGTGATATCCGGCTATCGATTAAAGGGCGTGTACGCTACTCTCAGTAGTTCATTCCATCCACCTTTAAGGTTGTGAGAAATGGACCTTGAAGGTTGAAGATATGAAAAACTTAGTTGTCATAGGTGTCTACGTTCTATCTCCCGTGTTAGGTGACATAATAGGGTGAGTAATATTGAGGTTATATGTATTGAGAGAGATGGTTACGAGATGTGTTACACATGCCCAGGCATCGCCTTCCTCAACGGGCAATGTTAGTTGATACAGGATCAGGTTGGAAAAGAGAAAGCTAGTGGTGGTCAAACGAAAACATGGCTTCATCAGTCAATGATATCCACAACAGTTAGTTTAAGCCAGTCACGCAGGAAGGTGTAGACTTCCTGACTGGTTGGGGTCCTCGGCATGGTAAGAACTAATGGCTGGAGACAATTGGTGATATGGGTCAAAATCGTTCTCAATGGCTGGAGCAGACGCACTCATACTTTGTGACCTCTCATATGCATTGAACCCTACAGTTTTCCGATGGGAATATTCTTTCTCATTCATATTTCTACTTATTATCATGCTTTCGAATATCTTGTTTCTCATTCACCTTCTTTGCGTGCTAAACAGTGCGTGGCAACTTGAACTGCTGTACTTCTGCACAATATGATGATGAAACCAGTCAGTGAGATCTTGAATATGCTTGTAAATTACGACAGATAATTGCTACAAGAACAGTACACCAACCAAAAGTATTATATAATTTCTGATAGCTATGATTAACAATAAGGCTGTTACGTAAACTGCAGCTTACTTTTGTGCAAAACGTCAATCGCCTAAACAGAACTCAGATTATACACTTTATTTCAGAGTTTAATACTGAGCACATGATGTTTTTCAGACCTAGTCACAAGTACAATTGTTTGGTTTCTATTTCATGTTGAAATCAAATAATAACTTCTTGTATTTCAGAAACGAATGAAGTTTGAAGACATAAGTCCCCTATGTTTTAAATACAGTTAAAATCAGACTCTATATCGGCGGTATTGACAATGACGATTGAAATCTTGAAACTATCACATAATGTCTTTCCACTTTTTTACTTCCTTACTTTCCCGGCGGAACACAGGGCTTCAAGCTAGAGGCTTGAAGTTTCGATATGGGGTTGGTAGCCTCATGCCTAACGTTCCCTCTTTACCAGTCTTATTACTGGCTTAGTGAGGTAAAGGAGTGCGACGATCAAACCCCGGACCACATGAGTGGTTGGCGAGCACTCTACCGCTGTGCCATCGACGCATATGTCTTTCTATACTGAATTCAAATGATGCTTTTATGAAACAACTTATTGCTGAATAAATCTTATTCACCAAATACTCACTCTGCTGTGTGAACGTTTTACGTTTTTACTGTTCATTCTTTAATAATAATTAGCCGTCTAATCTCAGCCATGAGTTTACTCCCCACTTAAAACTCAAAAATTAACGCTAATCTCTTTAAATATCAGGGTGCTAACCAGCATCCTGTTGCGCTGTTTCATTGGGAAACTAAAGACATCTACATACAAGAAGGTTATTATATACCGTAATGTGATTGACCGATTCCGACCAAGTGCTTCATAATAATAAGAGACTGTGAATTAAATTATTAGACAGACAATCCTGGAGTAAAACTGGTAAAGAAGGGAAGTTAGGCGTGAGGCTAGAAACCCCATTAAAAGAAAAGGAATTTCTATGTAATGAATTGGAACAATTCTACACTTTGCACGCCTTCTAATAGAAATGAAACGAAAATCTTAGGGCTTTCAGCGTACAACATTTCTTACCCGATGCTCCACTATCATTTCTCATTCGAATAGGTATAAGCATATCCAATGGGCCATAGTTCAATAAATTATCACAACCAGAAAGGAGACCACCATTTTCATTGTCAAAAATTGTATTCGGCCAAGCTACAGCTGTAGTCATAAGAATTAAGTCTGGATGTTGTGCAGCAATAGGTTTCAGCAATCGACGAATAGCACCGCGTACAAGACCAGCTGAACCAAGACTAGTCAGTGAAGGCAATCGTTCAGATGGGACAGAAATCATTGATGCTGGCCAGTGTTCCTTTTCTATGTAATTAAAAGAAAATGAAACATTTGACAGATGCGTGGAACACAAAAGACCAAAAATAAGCACAAGATAAACATCCTGAAAACATCAAAGTCTAATAACTTTCTTTTCTAAATAACTCGAAATTCGAGCACATAACAAGTGATCAAATTTAGGTGGCTTGAACAAACCGCACTAAAGGAAATGCTTGATGGAGAGAACTGAATATCACTGGCAGGTAACAACACGCTTAAACTGTATATAATCTAAATATGTAAGGTAACCGATTATGAAGAATGAATTATACATTTTTTAACATATCTCCTTTTTATTGGGAGACCGTTATTCAAACACATTGATTAATTAACGCGAAAACAAAACATGGACATGTTTGATCGGACATTGGGTAGTAACTAGTGTCATACTCATAGCCCTTCATTTGGTGCAATCTGAATCCTACCATTCACGGTTGCAATGCGACCACCACGTAGGTGACTCACCATCACGATCCACTCTGAATTGTTGTTAGATGGTTGGAGACAATCACGACAAAGCCTTTGACCAACGTCCCGTGCATGTCGCCAATCGTCAGCAAGGAGTATATGCAATCTTGAAGAAACTCACGTCTGTTCTGGGATTTAAACTCGCGTCACCCAGCAGCGCAGTTAGATACGTTACCACTGAGTTCTTCGGATTCACAAATATTAAGCTCCTGTGGGACTGTACTGGATAATTTGATTGTACAATAGGTTATAAATAATTAATATAATGCTTCTAGTCCTATTAATATATATGTGTAAAACTTGGGCACCGTGGTAGTAAGTAATTCCATATTAGTTTGTTTATTAGATTTATCACACAGTGAAACAGTATTATTTACTGGGTGACGTTTCGAACACAATTTATTTATTGTTCATAATCATATCAATTGTAATCACACGACTTTGACTCTTGAGTTTTATAGTTTTCTTTGTACTCTCCCATTTGTCGTATGGGTAGTAGAATTTTCCAGATATCGGGTACAGGTGATGAATCATTCCTATTACATGTATTTGTAGTTGATTCGATAAACAAAGCTTCTGTTATCAATCTCTCCCTCCATTCACCCTGTGACATTAGATTTTAAAACTGTCATCCTATCCCATCCTATTGTGTGGTTGTGTGTAACTGCATGTAGTGCTATCTACGGCTGAACTATTCTCTAGATTTCTTATCTTATTCGGGTCAACCAATCTAGATTTTGCTAGGTTTTTATGTTCAGCTAGTCTGACTGACCCTGTTCTACTAGTTTGACCTGACGATCATTCATGCAGGGTATTAGATAAACTAAATTGTTTTGTTTTATTGGCTCCATAGGATCCTTTAACCGACAAAGCTTGTTTCTAATTGAGTTTGTGGGTTTGAATGCCGGCCACTTTTATTCCTGCCTTGTTAAGAATTCTGCGTAAGGTTTCCGAGGTTCCTTCCTTGAATGGAATTACTATTGATGATTTAGATTCCTTATTGTTGGTATTGTCTTCCGCATGTTTGACATGCATGTCGTCATTATTATTATTATTTATTATCACTACTATCATTATTTATTTTATTTTTACGTTTCCTTACATATTTCCTGACTAATTTATCAGGGTAATTATTAAGTTTCAAGGCAGGAAGTGATACACATGAAAGAAGCCTTGAAACTTAATAATTACCCTGATAAATTAGTCAGGAAATATGTAAGGAAACGTAAAAATAAAATAAATAATGATAGTAGTGATAGTGATAAAAATAATAATAATAATGACGACATGCATGTCAAACATGCGCAAGACAACACCAACAATAAGGAATCTAAATCACACATATGAGTTAATCTCATATGAGAAATTCACCCACTTAACTTTACAACAAGGCAATATGAAGATTTCAAACAATGTGAAAGAATGCAATACGGCGATATTATTTTGTTCCCCTCGGGGGTTAGGCGGAATTCATATCTAGTAAAGAAACTCAAAACTTGGGAAAAACTGCTTACAAACAAAATCCAATAAAATTCATAAAAAAGGAGTACAAGTTCAATTTTAAAAATGCATAAAAGGCAATAACCTGGATAACGATTTGTCAATAGAGCAGATGACTGATAGAAATTTGTTCTTGTGCATTGACTTAACGGTGATTGATTGAATGCATTCCATAGTGTTGCTAGGCTAGTGAATATATCAGGCATTAAACGTAGTAATTCTGATTGAGCTTGAATAAACGGATGATACTCAGGATTTAGAATATCGTCTTTGATATTGGTGCTTTGAGAATTCTGAAAGGAAAGAGTTAGGAGAGAATAAGGAAGCGGCTGATTAATTTAAGGAAATAGTTTTCACAACAGCAGACCAAAATAAACCCAGAGAACTAGGAGAAAAGTGATAGGAATTAGTTTGACAAGGGCAAAGAATGAGCACTTACCGCAAGACAGAGTCAAGCTCAGGACTGTCAAGTCGTGTGAAGAACACATAACTATTCAACTGCTACCAACATTCTGTGATAATTTTCAGCTCTAGATAGTTATCTAGGTGATTTGATTCAATCAAAAAAAGAGCTGGGTAGTGTGCTCAATGACCGTAGTGAATTTAAAACATCGGTCTCGGAGCTCAGTCAGCAGAGCCTATGACGACTGGCACCCCTAGAGACCACTTATTCAAATCCTTCAGAGGAAAAAAGCTTTCACTCTGTATTCGATCATAATTCTCTAACATTTATCCTTACTCATATACTATTCAGTTACTACTAATTTTTCAATTAAAATTCACAATTTTCAGTTTACACAACTGGAGGTGAAATATCACCACAGTTTCCTTCGGAAACCGAAACTTTTCAGATCATAATATGTGATCTGCTTGAAACGATAAATGACTATCAATCATGATTGCAGGATGCTCTATGCTACTGGTTGAATGAGTAGAATGATCACGTACCACTCACACCAACCATTAGTGCTTGCTGGTGAGCCAGATCAAAGTGACCTTAAACACTAAGCGCATATATCACTCGTTCGGGGCCGATATTATCGGCGATTTACCCCGTTCAACTCAACTCAGAGAATAGAATGAGTTCAAACCTACAAAATTCTGAAAAGCACTACTGGTTGGCATAAGTGGCATCCAATTACTCATATCAGTCAATCAATCACTAGTGCATAGCGTCACTACTCATTCTCCTTTAACTTGAATAACCTCCAATTCTATTAATGTCCTAAGTAAAGTCTGAGAAGAAAGAACAATTAAATAAAGACTTGTGAAAATTTTCGGGATTTGAAAATAATTAGGCATGAATATCATCTATACAACTGCAATAAAAAGTCTCGGGTCATATTAAAAATTAAGTGTAACCACTGATTCTCAACGTCGCGATAACCTCATCTAGATAAAGTAAACGATTCAAAACAACAAACCAGTACAATTCAGTGGTTTGATCATCCTTAACCTTTTCTTAGTCAGATCCTGTTTCATCTCATTGTGGCAACTATCAACTAATCGTTGATAGCTTAATTAGTCATTCATAAACTATAGGACCTTTATATCTCGAAATATACTAGCACGAAACCTAGATCCAAGGCTTCCTGCCAATTGCCTCCAACTATCTAATATCATCAAATCAATGTGCACCGTGATGGCGAGCTACCTAGAATAGTGGCCACATTAGAAACCTAACTGATAGAATTCAGTCTGCAGCGAAGAAAGGACTAGACACGTCACACTAGTTACTAGTGTCCAATCAAAATATCCACTACAGTCCTACAGGAGGTCTATCGCGAGTTCGAATAGCACAGTGGTAACGTCTCTGAGTGCAGCACTGGGTGACGCTGATTCGAATCTCAGAAGGGACATGAGTTCCTTCAAAGTTGCAGATATGCCTTGCTGATGAGTGCCGACTAGCACGAAACCTAGGTTCAAGGCTTCCTGCCGATTTCCTCCAACGATCTAACATCGTCGAAATATACCTATTAATTCATAAGGAAAAACAGTTTTTTTGTTTAGCGAAGAAATATCTCTTTTCAACGACTTCATTTTCCAGCTAACTGTACAGTCGTATTTACGGAAAAAGGCATTAAGTGGCACTAGAAATTCCTCAGTCAATGTCGCACATGTGATTAAAATGATGCACTAAGGGGGTAGAGTTGAAGTGGATGAATTACAAAACTTTTAAAGATTATCAAATAAGTGAACTGGCGTAAATTTTCTGTAGTTTGGTTTGTAAGGGTTAGTTATGTTTTTACGAGTTGATCACGGATTGATATCAGTTAGAGAACCATTGAAAACCAGGGAGTACTGGACAGCTGCTGTTTCATCCTAGTTTGGGAATCATCGGCAGTACACACCCACTGGGATTCGAACCCAGGACCTTCCGGTTACAAGGCAAGCTCGTATACCATTCAGCCACTGGGACCCGATTCAATGGCTCATGAATTCTAACTTCTACCGATTCGTGATTTAGCGCGACCCCAACCATTGTCGTTGGTGGAACATTCATCCACACAGATTTTAAAATTGTAGGTCGAGTGTTGTCTGAAACGCTAAGAGTACGATGATGATAACCATAAAGATTACAATAAAAACGGAGAAAGTGAAGCGAAATGGGATGAATTCAAGTGGTAAAATAGAATAAAATAAAAGAACATTACTACAACCAAGGTAAAGAAAGGGGTTTGACAAAACGTTCTTAAATTTTTTTAGGTTTTTATCCATGTATAGCTAGAGCTTCGGCTATGCATAAGTGGAGAAAATGCAAGCTTTTGGAGTGATTGCATTCGGTCCTGTAGATAACTTGAAAGGATAAATCACGTGGGGTTGAATGACCTGATTGCAGAATGTGTTCGCAGATAGAAGACTTTATCGTCCTTTGCTTACCTTTCATTAACCAAATCGGGTAGTGCTCAGCTACGCGTTTACGGAGATTACGCTTACAACGGCCAATGTAATCAGCTCCACACGAGCATGTGAATGAGTAGATGCGCATAGAGGTGGACATAAGCGGTAGTTTATCTTTGATGCATTGTCGAATCATATTTCGGCTGGTAAATACTAAATGTCAGCTGCATAAAAACAGCCTTTAATACATCTAGATAAACGGCTTCTAATTACTTCAGAAATACTGTCACTTTTGAAAGCCAAACTCATAAACAGTGTCTTCTTTGGCGCTGTGATTTAGTTGAGGACGGTTTATTTCTTGATGTTTCTATCGATAAACCTTCTAGAATATCCATTATTTAAGACAGTGGTGCGAAGGCTTTCTAATTCTAAGTCGACCGTATCTACAGAGCAAATTTTCCAAATTCTGGAGCATAGAGAACGGATAAGATTTCTCTTCCTGCCTAGAGGTACCCAACTGTTGAAGTTAGTGTACTGACCTGTAAATGTTGGCTTTCGGTAGACCAACTGTTTTAACATGCTGTCCTCTCTTCTATCGAGCATCACATCTAAGAAGTGAAATGCGGAGTTCAACCCTTTAATATCTGCCACTACTACAACATGCTGTTGTGATTTTGTTATTGTCTAACTAATTAGAAGGCTGTCCAATCATTCGAACAGTAAGCTTAAGGAAGTATTTAAATCAGATAAATAATTATATATTAAAACACAATAATGCATATACATACTTTTACACGATTGAGAAAGATTACAGTTGTATTCGGAGAATGAATAGGAGCCTCTTTTGTTTCAAGTTTATCTTCATTATTCCCAGAATTTAAAATAACAGCTGGTTCATTAGTTGCAGCACCATTCATGGAGGCATTGACACCAGTTGGATGTATTATATTTGAACAATTGTCCACGTTCTCTGTTAAAGGAGACGGGAATAAAGGATCGAATACTGGAACGATATTAGTCACTTCTGTTGTAGGATTTCCACTAGAATAATTTCCAGGATTCAATTTATGATGATGACTGAGTATTTCAGCAATTTCTACAGCGCATTCAATTGAATCAGGTAGACCAGACAAGTAACTAACACTGAGTGGATTACCACGTAATGAATTGGTTGTTTGAAGTGAAGGTGCTTTACGAGATAAAGACAGTGCAGACAGAATAGCGTTACCTCCAGGGAGAAGAAATGCATGACAAATTCCTTGAATTAAAGCCAATGAAATTAAAGTATAATCAGGTGGTATAAGATTCCATTCTGCATTGCTGGATACTTGTGATTCTTTATTTAAACTAAAAAGAAAACAAACAAAAAAGTGAACTTCCACAGTTAGCAATATAAACATATTGTGTACTCCCTACACGTCTGTGCAACTGTGCACTGGCCCTGCTTGTTACTCTAATAGGATATGAACAAATAAATATGCATCCGAATTTACCCACCGGTTTCAACAGCTTGCATGGAAAGCCTTACACTGACTTAGATTTCCCTCATAAGAAAGTGAACTGTCATACTAGGCAAAATTCGTATAGCTTTTATACTTAAAAGATTCACTTGAACTTAAATACACAACTGTAATTTACTAAAAAGCAGAAGAAAACCTTTCAAAGAACCTTAAGAACAAACCAAGTTAGTTTGGTCAGTAACTATAAGTGTGTTCACTTCACTTAGTTGAATCACTTAAGTAATATATATATATGCACCAGCAATTTTTAACGTTACTAGGAAAAAGCTTAAAACAGAAATGGGAAAAACAGACCATATTCCTAAGGTCAAAGAATGAACTGCAGGTTTCGCTGTGATATCCGGCGGGCGGGCGGGCAGGCAGGCAGGCAGGCATTTGCTGAAGTTTGTTGTCATGAAAAAGTGTTACATCCTGCCCCTCAAAACACAGTGCCAATCGCTTTCAGACTAGCAACAGATTACTTGACAACCACCAATATTTACTTAAATTCTGTTATTTATTATTCCCCTCCCTTAGGTTCCGAGTGGAACACAGGACTTCAGTAGAACCTGTCCATTTCATCCTGTGCTCTGCAGTCGGCTTTAGACGGCTCCACGATTACCCATAGCTTCTCATCTCCTCCATATCACCTTTAGACCCAAGACCAACTCGTTGTTTACCATTCGGGATCCACTCGACGGTCTCCTCAGCGTGTGCCCAATCCATCTCCGCTTTCTTCGGGATATTTGTCCACCAATAGGTGCTTGATTAGTTCGTTTCCAGAATTCCTTGTTGTTTAATTTTTCTAGCCGGCTATCTGTTCTTCAGCATAGAGCGAAGGCAGCTGTTGATAAAAATCTGAAGCTAGGTGGAGAGGTTTTTAGTGACACGCCAAGTCTATGAACACACATATAGACCATAGAGCCTCCACCACTGAGTGCTTGTTATGCTTTATGGATTAACCATCATCATTCAGGTTATCATTTTTTTAAAAAATGTGAAAACCAACTTGGTGGTTAAATATGAATGAGGCAATTTATAAAATCAATAAAGCAAAAAATGAAGAAGACAGCAACACCTCTGCAGAAATCTTACCTCGTAGTATTTCGCTGTTGTATATCATTTAAAGCTCGATCAGAGAATTTATTTAGACTTAAACACACTTGCTTCATAGTCACACGAACCAATGGTCCAACAAACCAACCCCAATACGATAAACTATTAAATATAAAACGATACCACAATGGATGTAAATCTAAACGTGCTGTAAGAAAGCTTGGAGTACTTGCATAATCGGTTAGGTGTTCCGGCGGTGAAGATAAACCAATAGACAATAATTCTGTGAATAAACTAGCTTGATCTCTTTCACTGCCTATATTTGAACATTTAGGAATAAACCAAAGTGCAGTCAGACAATTCGTACGAAACAATGGTTCACAGTTAAGCGGTCTAGGCAGTTTATTACAAGCCTTGGACCATATATCTGGGATAAAATTAACTGGTAACTCATAACTGGTTGATTCATTATCCAATAAAATATTTTGAAAGACTGGCCATAATAAACTGTTGTAGAATAACTCTGTTGTTGTTGCTGTTGCTGTTGATGATGATGAGGATGATGATGATGGATTCTGCTTCACTACTGACATACGATCAGCATAACCGTACCATGGCTTTAAATGAAGTATTCTATTGAATAGTTTCAACAGAATTTGTAGTTGTGTCGTATAGAAGGTGTTTGGTAAGTTGGATAGTAAATCATTCACAAGAACTAATTGTAAACAGGTAGGCAGTTTCCTAAATATAAAAAATAAACAAAACAAAAAGAACAAAGACAATCATTATACAGAATGAACTTTCTACTTCTCGTATTGTACAATACAATTTACAGCTTCATATTATAAAATACTAACTGAAAATTTGTTTTATTTTACTCATTCAGATACAAACTTGGTAGATTATGGGTACTAAAAGATGTCTGAAACACCTAGAGGACCGGACCGAAGCAGGTGATTGTCTCAAGGAGGAAATCTCAACCCCTACTCCCAAGCTTTTAGCTTCAAATATGATCCACAAGGCGGTGGAGCTACATTCCTATGGATCTCGGTGACTAAAACAGGTTCATACTGTAGTGAGAGCTGTCTGCTAGCCAAATTGGTAGACGGCAATTTACGTCAATGTTTACGTCCCAAATCTTGGTCATGAGAAAAAACAAACACTTTGCGTGGGCAGATACGATTCGCATATATATGGTCTGACCTTCAGAGAAACAGCCACAAAGAGATGACAGATTAACTTCCAGTAACAAAACAACCAATCAGAAGACGCTGTTTCTCTGTTAATAATTACGAATAATAATTTACATAAAAATATATAAGTATAACTTGATTTCCTCAATAAACTATCTGATGCCTGGCCATTGTCTTCTGTCGTTACAATACACCTTTCGATCCTCTCAGATTCTAGGGCCCATGTAAACCATAGGTTTGGAATCAGGGTTTTCCAGCTCCCCTAGGTCGACCAAGATATCCGCCAAACGGGTTGTAAGCACCATACCTCCACAAGCACACTTTCACTTTTGTAAGGAACATCCCCATCGGGTGAAGGCAGTGAATAGAACTTACCTGGGAGGTGATATGATTATGAGCAATAAATTGTGCTCGAAACGTCATCAGTAAATATTACTGTATAACACTGTGGAACTACAACTATGATCATTTCTATAAGCTAAATGTTAAAAGATTGACTGTCCTTCACTTTCACACGGACATGCTCGAAGCTGTTAGCAATGGTGTTAGACAATCTGAATATGTGGTACGGATAGCACGAAGTGAAATGGGAATGTATATAGAAGTACAAGCGTGCAAAGCAAGTTCAGAGTCACTAACTTGAAAAAATTTGGACATCGAGTACAATGATGCTCATCATAATTAGAAATTTGTATTTTTCAATGAGTGAAAAGCGAAACGGTAGTAGCTTTTCTTCCCTGACATTTCGCCAATTAATGCTACTAATAAATTTATTATCGAAGCAATAGTGAAGTAGAATTTACAAAATTTCAGTTATATATATATATATATATATATATAAGATAAATCGGTCATTATTCTCCTGTATAATGTAATTCTATGTTGTGGAGTAATTGACCTAATGAATAAAGCAGACATATGCAGATTGTTGGATTCGATAAATGTGTAAATTATAAAAACCATATATTTTTACGTAGTAGAAATTGTTTAGATAAAATAAGTTAAATAGCGGAATGTCAGTGAAAACAATATCGTTTTATTTCTCATTCATTTGGAAATAACAAATTTCTAGTATCTTTGTAGCGATTTGATTTGTTTTTCAAGTTTGCCCACGGATTGACATTGGTTAGAGAACCACTCTAAAAACCAAGGAGCACTGTACAGCTGTTTCGTCTTAGTTTAGGACTCATCGGCGGTAAGCACCCACAGGGTTTGGCACCCAGGACGTTTCAGTTACAAGGCAAGTTGCATCTCAGTGCCTGAATGGTCTACGAGCTTGACTTGTAAGTGGAAGGTCCTGAGTTCGAAACCTGGTGGGTGCGTAACGCCGATGAGTCACAAACTGAGAAGAAACAGCTGCTCCCTGATTTTCAATGGTTCTCTAGCTGATATCAATACGTGGTCAAACTTGAAATTTCTAGTAATTAAGGATATAGAAGTGATCAACACCGACGGTTTATCAGTCTAACATACGGAGATGTGGCCGACTGGTCAAAGTGCTCGACTTCAACTAGTGGTCCAATTCTTTACTATTGATAACAACTAACAATAGGCAAACAAATTAGACAACGAATTAATAAACAGGTGATTATATACCTTTATGTTTGTTGAGATGAATAATTTAACCGAGAAGAGATCGTTACGCTGACTGACGTTGATATATTAAGTTGTAAGGAGAGGAAAAACATTTTTGATATTTCTTTCAAGAAGGAAAATTCATACAAATACGGGGTTCTGATTCTCAAATACATTTCCATCAACCAATTACGAGTAAAATAGAAGAATAGTAAGTCTCAATGGTGTTCGCTGATGCCAACACTCAACTTTCAACCAGTTTAATATGCAGTCAAAACGGCCTAATTTTGTGAATTAGAAGCGTTTACTCATCTAGTGTACACATCTACTTTTAATTCGTGAATGGCACATTGCTTGTTATAATCTTTTATAGAGGTGGAGATGCATATTTTCAGGTATGTTATCATTACATTAAAAAAGAGTTAAGAAAAAGATGAGACATACACATTGAAAACACAAACTTTACCTTATTCCACTACAGGTTGTATAATCAGACCATAATTTATTAGTTTTAGGCCAATGTACTTTTGTTACACAAGAGGCTAGACAATGGAGAACCACCGATGGCAAACAAGTACGATACAATGTATTTTGTACAAGACGACGTTCACTAGCTTGATGTAGTAATGAAGCAGGATGTGTTGATGATGAATACATCGATGAAGATGATAAGGATTCTGAATTTCGTACACCTGAAGAGGAGGAATGATGTTTAGCATTTGATAAATTCCCGGAAGAAGCATTCCCTTTCAATAAAGAAGAATTTATACATTCACCTTGTATACATATCAATTCCTAAAATGCATAAGAATAAATACATTAATAAGTTCATACTTATTTCATTAATATAGTAGTATATCGATGATATTACATTTTAACAGAATACACTTAAAAAAAACAAGGCTAGAAAAATGATGATGTACACAGTTCACAACTACTGAAAGTAAGCTGATGTGCTACTATCTCAAGATAGAAGAAGACAAAAGAACCAATGAAAACAACAAGCACTCCGTCAACATTCTCATTATTCCATTAGAGACAAAAGAAATCCATTGAAATATATTTAAAAGACACACTTGTCCTGCATAGTTAAGCAAGCGACAAAACAAGATCTTCAAGTATTGGTTTGTAGGGATTTGGTTTACTGGTTACAGGATTTCATCATGAGCTGACATTGGTTAGAGAACCGTTGGGAAACCTGGGAGTACTGAACAGCTGTTTCGTCCTGGTTTAAGACTCTTCAGTGGAAGTCGTGACCAGTAGGGTGCAGCAGGTAGGGTTGCGCTATGTCGTGAATTGGCAGAAGTTAGAATTTATGGGCTGGCCATTGGATCGGGTCCCAGTGGTTTAATAGTATATAAGCTCGCCTTGTAAGCAGAAGGTCCTGGGTTCGAACCACAGTGGGTGCATGCTGATGAAGGGTCCCAAACTAGGACGAAACAGCTGTCCAGTACTCCCAGGTTTTCCAATGGTTCTCTAACCAATGTCAGCTCATGATGAAATCCTGTAACCAAAACAAAATCTATTCATAGCTCTGTTTCTTCTTAGCACACCTTGTGGATAATGAGCACAAAGCTAATATTAATAAAGCATTTATCGTATTCCGACCCATATTGATTTTCCATTACTAGTTCATCTTTTACATACAGATCAGACAGTTGAACTTGTGTGTTCAGAAGAAATTCGTGCAGCCAGTTTTCTTACCTTGGCCATCATTACATGAATGCAAAACACTGACTCCGCTTACATGGATATACACCTACACAGTAGTGGGTCGAAATCTACTTAGTGAAATCAAATGATAACCTCTGGATATTCATGCATCTTATCGTAAGGTGAAAGTAAGGTTAGAACTTGTCACTTAATGACTTAGATAAATGATTTGTACTACTATGTTGAAAAGTAGTCATGACACGAAGTCCACCTAAGCTACAAATCTTCTCTACTAAGAAGTCAAAGTATACTGTAAAAGAGTTTTTAATTTTAGAACAAATGAATTACTGTTTAGCAATAATTCTAGCAAGGAGATTCATCGTGCAGAACAACAACAACAGACAACGATCAGCATAAATGGGAGGAACCTGAAAGAAACAACCTCTTTTACCTACCCACCTGGGAAGCATCGTCTCAACTACAGGCGGAACTGACGAGGATATCAAAGCAAGAATTGGAAAAGCAAGACAAGCTTTCACTACTCTCAAGTCTGTGTGGAGGTCAACAACACTCAGCACCAAAAAGAAGATCCGGATTTTCAACTCCAATGTGAAGTCAGTCAGTGCTACTATACGGATCAGAGACTTGCACTGCGCATCATAAAGAGCATCTCAAACAAACTACAGACCTTCATTAACAGTTGTCTTCGCTCAATACTCAAGATCAGATGGCCGGTCAGAAAAGATCAGCAACAGAGATCTCTGGCAATGAGCGAATCAACCAGGAACCAATTGTGAAACAAATAGGCAGGAAGAAATGGAGATGGATTGGTCATACTCTAAGGGAACCATCAAGTGGCATCACTAGACAAGCCATTGCTCGAGCGGAACCCGAAAGGGAAGCGGCGAGTTTGTCGTTGGTGCGAGGGTGACTTGGAGGAGTTCGTGTGAAGAGGAGATGAAAAAAGTGAGGACAGACTTGGAGCCAGGTGAAGACTCTAGCAGAGAATCGAACGCAACGCAGACGCACGGCTGAAGCCCTATGTTCCTCTAGGAATTAAAGGAAACAATAATAATAATAATTCTAGCATTTTTATATTAATAGTTACTGCATACACGAATTCCCTTTTATAAATTTGAGCAGAGAAAGAAAAAAAACACTGGTGAACAATAACACGGATACATTTTATGTCGCCTGTTCTCATCCGCTGCGTACAACCAGTGTACAATTTCAACATACTTTTGTCTAGCAACAAACCTACTGTGAAGACGTCATAGTGAAATAAACGTAGGGATGATAAGGTATCTGAAGTATTACAGTGTATATACATGTATACATATGTATATATTTATCCCGTTAGCGACAAGTTTCTCGACAAGTTAATTGACAAATTTGTTGTTAGGGTGGTAACAAAAGTTAGTAAGCATCACGCAGTTAGATAAAAGATCAAAATTCGTTCTGCAGAATGTAATACAGTGAGTAGAACACAAAACGGCCAGAAAAGTTATTTCTTAGAGAAATCAAACGAAAAAATAGGGGAAGTAAGAAGATAAGCTAGTGAAATTAGAAAACAAAGACTTAATAAGTAATTTCAGTGATTCCACTGACTCATTCCTCCTATCTTAAAATTTGTAATATAAAATATTTTTTCGAGGCAATAATGTGATATTAAGTTTGATCATGGAATGACTTCAGTTGAAGAAACTTCACAAACCAGAGAGAACTGCTTAGTCCTACCTCGGAAATCTTCAGCATTACACCCCTATAAACCCCACCAGGCATCGTTTCCCAGTACCTTCGAGTTTCGAGACGAGCACTTTGACCAATTTAAGGCCAATCGTATGGAATTCGATGGCTAATGGATTCTAACTTCTGTCGATTTTGGACAGACAATGTTGTTGGAAAGTATATGTCCTCATGCTCACTCAACTTGGTGGACCCAGCTGCTCACAAATTCCCACTAGAACTTCAGGCGATCTCATCCTGTAGTCAGTCACTAGTACTCCCTAGTGTCCAACTGAAGTCAGTTCATAACCGATATTGAAATTACTTAAATCATCCCTAAATCAACACTTGAAAAAGAAATCATATTATAGTCCGAATTAATGCTGGTCAAAATTATAAATTAACGCATTAATAACTGACTTGACTTACCTTAACAATTAATTCTAAAATTTGTGCAGCTGTATTTTGTACAAATTGATTAGCACGAAATTCACGTCTTGAAAAGCCGTGACGATGACCAAAGTTAACAGTTGTCTTGTCGATACCGTCTACAGATGATTTTGTATTTGAAAGTGTAGAAGCAACATCAGCCGGATTAGTGGTGTCCATAGTAGTTGTAGTTGCTGCTGTTGTTGTTGTTGTGGTAATGTAAGGCAGATAACTACACATATATTGTAAGCATAAATCTATAATTAATTCCAATAAGTTTGTATATATTTGTAAAGAAAAATTTAATTCATCTACACTAGCAGCTAAATAGAAATTCCAACCGCCTAATGAACGACGATGTCTAGATAGTAATTCAATAAAATTTAAACCATAGAAATTGAAACACGACAATGAATTGATTGGACACATTGCAAGTGAACGAACAAATAAACCAGGTGCTATGCACAGAATTGCTCGTAGACGAGAAAACGCATAAATAACCTGCAAAAGAAAAAGACAAACACCCGATTAGGAACATAAAAATACAGTCAACAGTGATCTAGTGAAATGAAAGAAAGTAGGTGTGAAACTTTTGATAACAACACAGTCTCTCTATCCAGACACGTTCGAGCAACTTTTCAACGGTTTCGCCTAAGATTTTTGTTCCTGTTTCTGTTTTTTTTCCTTCACGTTCTCCAGTGGCACATAAGACTTCAAGCTAGTGGCTTGAAGTTTCTGTAGCAGTGGTGTTTATTTTACAGGATGGGGTTGCTAGCCTCATACTCAACCTTTCCTCTTCACCAGCATTATTTCTGGCTCAGTGAGGTAAAGGAGTGCGTCGGCCGGGGATCGAACCCCGGACCATGTGCATGGTCGGCGAGCGTCCTAACAGCTATGCCACCGACACCCCTGTTTCTGTAGCAGTGGTGTTTATTTTGTACCGGGTAGAGTTGCTATCCTCACACCCCACCTTCCGTCTTTACCAGGCATGTTACCCGCTAAGAGAGGTTCAAGAGTGAGTCGGCCGGAGATCGAACGCTGGACCACATTCATGTTTGGCGAGCATTCCACCACTAAACCACTGACCCTTAAGAATTACAGTCTGTTATTCAACCTATATTTTACCCTTCAGACAAATCTCGCTAGAATATATGGAAGTATTTTAGAATGTATTAGGCGATTGCAAACCTTGGAGATTTCAAACTAAAACACGACATTTATCTTACAACCCTGTTAGATAATTGAAGGGTTATTAGGTAAACTATGAGAACATAAGATTAGTAATGCCAAACAAAATAATTCAGATAATAATTCTAGGGAATGTTGGTCGGAATCCTGTCACAAATCAAGGTAATCCTTCCGTACTCAATCATTATTCTCTTAGGACAAATACGTTTGCAAAACCAAGTTCAATCAAAAATGTATTCTACAAAATAAACTCCAATAAAACAAGAGATCTCCTTCCTAAAAGCGAATCCGTAAAACATTTCAAACAAATGGGTATAAGGAATCATAAGATTATTAAAAAGAATAAATTATAATGTGATTTGCACGTTATTGCTTACTTGATTGGAATCGTAATTCTGTAGATAAACTAATAAGTGTTCATTAACCGGTAACATTGAAAGTGAATTAGAATCTAGGTAGGGCAGAAAAAACAAACATAGATCATTGGGAAACTCTGCTTTAAGTAGCTTCAACGATTATATTGATCAATCAAATGAAAAATTCAGATGAAAGCAAAGTAGTTCCTCTCTGAAGATAACTGTCATTCTTATGACAAACACGTAATACTCTATTACTGACCAGTATTCGACAAAGTGATATCATTTAGCTTCAATTACCCGGAAGTGAATTTTTATGTACCCAGATAAGTGTCACGCTTATGGTGTGAGGCCTAATGATACAACCAAGTTGCCCGTGGTGAAGTAAATGGAGGAGGGTTCGAACCCATGACCCATCAACTGGAAATCAAGTCTTTAAGCTAATGAACCATATCTCCACCAACAAAATGATATGAACTATCAAATAGGAAACAGAACAGTCTAATAACCACTTGGAAAGAGTGAATCGAAAACGATGAACACAAACTAAAAAGGGGGTAATATTGAACTGACTAGCGGAAATAAAACTACAGAAATAAGAAGGCGATATACATATATTGCAACAGCCAGCCAATATCATAGGCGAGTCAGTGACCTCTTACCTGACTTGGTGAACCTCGCTGGTTACAACTTCTCACTAGAACTCCAGATAACTTCCTATATAGAGCCAGACACTAGTTAGCATCAGATTAATTATCAAGTATTGGTTTGCAGGTTCGCGGACAGGCAGAAGTTGGAATTCATGCGCTGGCCATTAGATCGAGTCCCAGTGGCTGAATGATCTACGAGCTCACCTTATAACCGGAACATCCTGCATTGAAACCTCAGTAGATGCACACTGATGAAGAGTCCCAAACTAGGACGAAACGACTGTTTAGTACTCTCAGGCTTTCGAATGGTAGCTTAACCAAATGAAGCTGGTGATGAAACCAATAACTAATCAAATCCCTGCAAACCAACACGAATTTCTTCCCCGACGTTCGAACCCAGTGTTGAAGTTACAGACGTGCATAGAAACTTCCAAGAAAACTTCCACTTCTTTGAAGTTGAAAATAACATCAATTCAAAGTGCATCGCAATAACGATTCAAGGAGCTTGAAGTTCATTAGTTAGTTAATTAGAACTCATTTACTCTGTACCCAGATATCAGCTATACACCTAGCTCGGCAACAATATTGTGAACCTGACGGATAACATTCCGTCAGCACCAATATTAAGGAATAGACATGTGACAGTGGTTGCTACCCAGTAACCAATTAATGTAGTGATGTTTTAAAACATATTCACACCACACCACACCACACCAAAGCAAAAAAGGACATGAGTATGGAGCCAACATCTCACTATTAATGTAAAAACTTCAACTGCTCGAAATGTTAGGCCTAATAATACACACTCTATGCCTCTATAGTTGACCGGCAAATGAGAAGATTTTCATGAGGGAACTTTAATATATCATAGCTAAAGTGAAGCAACTATAAATACTGACGGTTAAATTTACTCACGAAGAAGAGCACATCATAAGTTTTAAAAACAAAGTGTGCAGAAAAACAGAACTGCAAACAAAATAGGCTGAAGCACCGTTTCACTAGTAAACCAACTTTTATTAATCATTTAGAATTCTATCGAAATAGCTATTTATATGAAGTGTATGTGAAGTAATCAATAAAAGGGAAAAATAGCATACCTTGATGCCAGTCAGTTATATAATCTAACGGTGAGTGATCCTCTTCTGCTTGCATTAAACGCATTGATAATACAGAATTAAGAACAGCTAAAGGAAAGGAAAATAAACATGATAAAAAGTGAAAGGATCATTAGGTAAATATTGGAATTACACTAAGTGTATTGTTACAAGCGATTTTACAAAGCTATTAATGAATAGTCCAGTCGTACTAGTAGGAGTGTAGCTGATCAGAAGTGTGGGAAAAACAGACTGGAATGTGCTAACGATTATGAGTACTCTAGAAGTCAAAGGTGTTCATAACATAAAGACTGAAAACACATCTAGCCAACTACGTAGTCTATTCGTACTATCAGCTAACCACAACATAAAGTGTAAAAACCACCCACCATAAAGCATGAAAGAGAAGATTTAGGACTTTGAAGGAAAGCCGTATCCGCCTCCGGTTAACACACCTGAATGCCTAGATTAATTATGACCTTGTCTAAGAAAATGGTTACCAGTAAGTTTATAAACACCTAGTAACCACATTAAACAGAAAATCTTGAGAAAGATGGGGAAAATGAAGTGATAAGTTACGGTACAAGGAAAAAAAAAGACACGACATGATGATTAAAACTACATGTGAAAAGTAAGTTAGTAGTATAGGTAGAATAGGGGCTCAAAATATCTTGTAACTTTAATGGTGCTCGAAACCGTATCTATTGTGTGTGAGTGAGCTAGGACCACATATTGGTTCCATCAACCTAGATCAGAAGCAGACAACTACCAACTACAGGTAATGCAACCAGCAGTACTGTACAGATATTCATCCGGCTTTCATCAGATGTTTTTCAAAAAGGCACATCCACACTCATAACAAGTCCTTAATTGCTTATTCACCGAACTAGGATGGATTTATTTCACATTCCATTGATGGGTACTATAGCACTACGACAGTCATTCAGAGGGTTGGAAACACGAAACCTCACTTAGTGATGTTTAGGTGGCTAAGTAGCATCAACAGCTGTTATTTATTAAACGCTATATTAATTACCAAATGAAAGACGTACACGTAGTTTCCAGTTAAACTCTACGCCTAGTGGCAAGTGATTAACAACAGTTCTTGAACTTAATATTTTCCCGATACTTCATTCGAGTTACATATTAAGAAACTGATCAATTTGAAATATTAATTGTCTAAATTCAGAAGATCAACTAATTATTCTTATAGATCAAGTAGGAATTATATTAAGTGCTGACAAAAAAGCATTTACTTTATTTACTTATGAAAAGAAAAGCCTTGAAGCCATATTAGTATACTGCTTGAAAGAAAGATTTGTGCGAATAAAAATATTTACTATGAAATAAAGTAACAATAGAAACGGTAACGTGCACCAGCATACACGGAATGCATATGGTATCTACATTTTCAGTGCATCTCAAGGAAGAAGGCAATGTAGTTTAACTGATCACTTATCCTCTAGGCATCTGTCAAATATATATATATATATGTCTGGCTGTCTGGATTCAACATAGAACTTGGCACCCAAGTGCAGCGGTTCGAATTGTCACGTCCCAAATAGCACACAAAGGTAGACAAGAAAATGAGTGAAGAGAATCAATAGAGTTTTGACAAGTATAAGAGTGAAACAGAATGAGTAATGGTAGAAAGGAATATGAAAGATTACAGAGACTGAATACATCTGCGTAGGCCATTGACAACGATTTTGAGCCATGTCACCTATTGTCTCCAGCCATTGATTCTTAGAGTCCCGAGAGCGGGCCCCAACCCGGAAGTCTGCATCTCCCTACCTGACTCAGTTTAACTGTCAGGGATTTCATGGATTGATGAGGCCATGTTTTTGTTTGGCCAGCACTTATATCAGCTAGTAATGCTCGTCGGGGGAGGCGATGGTTGGGCATGCGCAGCACGTGACCTAGCCATCTCAATCTATGTAACTTTATAGCCTCTTCGATTGATTTTCCCTCTTTGCCCAACACTCTACGCCTAACGTCAACATTACTTACCTTATTATGCCACCTAATGTGAGAAAGAGATCGTAGACATCTATGATCAAAAACAGTCAACTTTGTCATGTCTTCAATTCCTATTGGCCATGTTTCAGAGCCATGGAGAATGATGGAGCGAACTGCTGAGCAGTACACACGTCCCTTGGTTGATAGCCGGATGTTATATATATATATATATATATATATATATATGGACAGACCTATCCATTTAGCTGTGAATCACACTCAAGTGCATAATACGACTATTATTACAAGTGAGTTTACCAAGTCAAAATTATTAACAAGGGGATAGTAATTGTCCTACATTTCATTTTTATTATTGTGAACCATTCTGGTTATAGAACGATATCAAAAAGAAACTACAAAATGATATCATCTTGTGATATTTGTCTCCTCCTGAATGGTTTATTTAAATTTACAAAAGGGACGAACTGTTTCAATCACACAAGAAGTTGGTAGTTAAAACCCTGGGACCAATAAATAAAGGCTCATATTGTAGTGAATAGACAGCTTTATCAAACGGTTGACTAATTTAAGGAAAAAAGTGTACTTTCGATGAGTATTGATGCTACCCTAAACAGAAGCAATCAAAAACAGCAGATTATTCACCGAGAGGATAGGGTTATTGATTTTACTTTCGATGCACACTGACTTCTATAAGTATGGTTTGTCTCATATCATGACCTGAGACAAGATAAGTCAACAAGAAACCATAGCAGAAGAAAAGGTATGATCGTATGGACAGAATAGATTCACTGAATGTTTCATTGATTAAAAGAATCAAATAAACCACTTTAATGTCGAATTCTCTGCCAAAAAGCCTGTTACACAGTAAGTTTGGAAGATGTGTGACGATTACCCACAAGTTCAAAAAGTCTATGAAGCTGAGTTTGTCCTATTGTAACGACAGAAGACAAGGACCAGGCAACAGATCGTTTATTGAGAAAATCAAGAGATATTTATAGATTTTTGTGTACATTATTATTAGCGCTGTTAGCAGAGATGCAACGTCTTCTGATTGGTTGTTTTCCTGCTGAAGGTTATTCTGTACTGCTTGTGAACGTTTCTTAGAAAGTTAAGTCATATATCTGCAAATCCTATTAGCACACGCTAAGTCTGCTGTGATTTCCTCAAGGTTAGGCTTTGTTATTGTTCTTTCTCATGACCTCGATTCGGGACGTAAACATTGACGTAAATTGTTGTCTACAATTTTGGCTTGCAGACAGCTCTCACCACACTATAATATGATTTCACAATAGAATACGATAACAACGTTAAATAAAAATGTGCAAACATATCACTGACTGAGATTACTTCCACTTCCATAATTGATAGCGCATATGGCGACAGAAGCCAAAGAGTGGAATTCACAACTCTATTAAAACTTGATGACTTAATGTAAATACATTTCCAATCTTTTTCCAATAGTCTGACTACAACTTGAGTCAAAAGTGCAAATAATTAATGTTTAACTATATGTAGAAGCGGTTACTTTTATTTTCCTTCACGTTCCTCAGTGGAACATAGGGCTTCAAGCTAGTGGCTTGAAGTTTCTGGAGCAGTGTTTATTTTACAAGGTGGGGTTGCTAGCCTCATACCCAACCTTTCCTCTTCACCAGAATTATTTCTGGCTTAGCGAGGTAAAGGAGTGCGTCGGCCGGGGATCGAACCCCGAACCATGTGCATGGTCGGCGAGCGTCCTAACCGCTATTCCGCTTGATATAAGATGGTTGGTGGCAATCGGCAAGAGGTCTTGGACCTAGGTTTCGTGCTAGCTGGCACTCATCAGCAAGGGACTCATGTCTCTTCTAAGATTCGAACCTGCATCACCCAGTGCTGTAGTCAGAGATGTTGCCACCAAGCTATTCGGGCTCACGATTGACCTCTTGTAGGACTGACTGTATTGGATACTTTAGATTGGACACTAGTTAGTAACTAGTGTAATGTGTCTAATCAATCAACAATCCATAGTGTATCGTGATGGCAAGCCACCTATAATGGTGGCTACATTGCAAACTTGACTGATATAATTCAGTCTGAGCCAAACGAAGGACTAGACACACATTACACTAGTTACTAACTAGTGTCCAATATAAAGGTATATATTGTACCGGAATATTATTATTCCCTTGGGTTCCTATTGGAAAATAAGGCTTCAGTGGGACATCTCTATTCTCTGCAGTCCTCTTCAAGCCAACTCCAACCCTACCCCACCCCTCGATTGTCCACAATCTCTCATCTACTCTTCCATGTTCACCCTCAGACGCCCCAATATTCTACCGGTAGTCATTAATAAATTGTTAACAATTTGTCCATCTAAAAAATGGTTAGCACAAAGGAAAGAGACATATATGCCCCACATTGAAAAGTATATTCCGGTAAAATTCATGTTTATTCATTCACATAAGATAAAAACAAGTATTGACTAACCTTCAGCAGCTTGTTGTTTAGTATTGTGTAAATCTTTTAAGTTTTTGTCATCAACAGCTTCTTCATCTGTAGAACAACGACGACGAAATTTAGCATGAATTGAATTAATTAGATTGTTGAATTTTTCTGATTGCACAGTTTGATTAGAGTGTGAAAACTGTATGAAAGAAAAAAAATTGAAATGCATACATATAAATATGAACTGTTTTACGTGAGTACACATATTTTCAATACACTCCTACTTGTTTCTGCTGCGTATCTCTAATATACAGATATTCTAGTACAGAAAGGTGGATACGGGTTATGAACACAAGACAAAGTGATTCAATTACTGTCGATGACACATTTGTAGTGTGTGACAATAAAAGTCATGCTTCCCACTTACTCAGATTATTCAATGACGCACATACCAATATTGAATTTACTATGGAACATGAAAGTGATGGAAAGTTCCACTTCCTCGACATTGTCATGTGACGCCTAGAAGATGGTAGTCTTCAGAAGTCAATTTACCGAAAGCCTACTTAGAAAGGACAATACCTACATTTAAATAGTTTTTGTCCAAATAGCTTTAAACATGGACAAGTCAAGACTCTATACTATAGAGCTAGGAGATTAGGCTCTATAAAAAAATTAGAGGAAGAATTTATTTTTTTTCTCGAAAAGATGCTGAAAAGCAATGGTTACCTTCAAAGATTCATTGACAAGTACGGAAGGTCTGAAGTCTCAAATGTCAAACAAATCACAGTGGAGAAAAAGCCAATCTACATTCAAATTGAAAGGACATATCTACGATTTTCTGAACATGTACCAAAAGGTTTATGTCTAGAGGGAACAAATGCTTTAAACAGTGCTATTGCCAGGCATCTCCTTGACACGAGTCATGAGGTGCACGTCGCAAGATCGTTCAAAATCATCAATAGGCAAAAGAGTTCAATTTTCCTCAAATGTCCCAAAGTGTTCTCCATCAAGCGCCTGAAACCTGATTTATGCGTTCAAAAAGAAGCAGTTGTCAGTCTTTCTTTGCCCTAGTAACTGGATATTTTCACCTCTCTTTCATTTGATAACGTAATGTCAAAAGTTTCCATTGTGCATGATAATTAATGTTCAAAATAGTGTTTAATATTATATATATATATATATATTACTGTATGTATATGTTGACTGATTGATTTTTGTTTAAAAATGACATCCGGCTATCAATCAAGGGACGTGTATACTGCTCAGAAGTTCGCTCCGTCCTTCTCTATGGTGGTGAGACGTGGCCATTGAGAGCGGAAGACATGAAGAGATTGTCTGTTTTTGACCACAGATGTTTACGATCTCTTTCTCGCGTTAGGTGGTATAATAAGGTAAGTAATGTTGACGTTAGGCGTAGAGTGTTGGGCAAAGAGGGAAAATCAGTAGACGAGGCTATTCAGTTACATAGATTGAGATGGCTAGGTCACGTGCTGCGCATGCCTAACCATCGCCTCCCCCTCCCGACGGGCATTACTAGCTGATATAGGTGCTGGTTAGAAAACAGTAAGTGGTGGCCAAACAAAAACATGGCCTCATCAATCCATGAAATCCCTGACAGTTAAACTGAGTCAGGTAGGGAGATGCAGACTTCCGGGTTGGGGCCCGCCCTCGGGACTCTAAGAATCAATGGCTGGAGACAATAGGTGACATGGCTCAAAATCGTTGTCAATGGCCTACGCAGATGTATTCAGTCTCTGTAATCTTTCATATTCCTTTCTACCATTACTCATTCTGTTTCACTCTTATACTTGTCAAAACTCTATTGATTCTCTTCACTCATTTTCTTGTCTACCTTTGTGTGCTCTTTGGGACGTGGCAACTCGAACTGCTGCACTTGGGTGCCAAGTTCTATGTTGAATGCAGCCAGCCAGCCAAAAATGAACTCTGTGCACGTATGTTAAAATTATTTCTGTAGATATATTTAATAATGACTTTGGCATGTAAGCAGCTGATGAGAAGCCAACGAAATAAATGATGGTACTAATTTATTCTGCAAAAACTGTTGTTCTGGCTTTATTCAAAAATGCTTAAAAAGCATAGGAGACGCAAGAATGGCATTCATCATTACTTTGATATCAATGTGGAGATCTACTGTACTCAACAATGGGAACAAAATCTGAATTCTTAACTTCAATGTCGAGTCAGTCAGTCACCCAGTCAGTTAGTGCTTCTGTATGGTTCAGGAGCTTGGGGCACTGCGAAAAGCATTTCTAACAGGCTGCAGACTTTCATTATTAACTAAATGCCTTCGCTAGATACGGAAGATTATATAGTCGACTGGAAAGGAGGAGTAATAGGGAATTAAGGCATCTTACTAGTAGGGAAGAATTTATTGTCCCAAAAGTATGCAGGAAGAAATGGAGACGGCTTGTACATATACTGAGGGGAGTGTCGAGTAGGACCCAGAATGGTAGTGACGAGTTGGATGTCCGAGGGTGATATGGAGATCATTTGAAGAGGAAGCTTGTTAGTAGTCATGAGGCTAGCAAAACAGAGTGAAATGGAGATGTCATGCTGAAACCGTATATTGCATTCGGAACCCAAGGGGAGAATGATAATAATAGTAATAATAAATCAATAAAGGTTTTCAATCAGAGATTTCTCGTATACGATGGTTTGGTGCAGTATGTCAGAAGGGACGTCATAGGCATTTTGTTTTATTTTACCCCACTAACTAATGCATGTTACACCAGACTATAGCTAAACATATACAGCACATAAACCAAGCCATCTCAGTTGATTCACAATTGCATAAGTTAACTTTATTTTGACCAACTTTAGTACTGTTCAACTTCTGGTATTGCAATATGCTAATTATTCCACAAAGAAATCCCTTTAACTTATTTGATATTATCCAACCTTGAAACAATCAACTGAGCTCTACAGCTGTCCCTTGATTATCAGGTAGCATTAATAGGTGAGTCACGAATGCACGTTTTGTATTAATAAATCAATAGTCTGAGTACCCTCCCAATGTTCTGAAATCTAAGTAATTAAAACAATAACAAAACCATCTCATAATAGTTGTACCCCATTGCCTTCCATATTAATATGGCTACTATTTTGAAGCAGTTAGTCCCACAGATAAAATGAAATGAAGGAAGTCAGAACAAAAATATTAGAAGGTGATATCATTTTCTCCTATTCCTTTACTTTCCCAGTGAAACATAAGGCTTCAGGCTAGAGGCTTGAAGTTTCGGTAGCAGTGGTGATTACCTTTACACGATGGATGGGGTTGGTAGCCTCATGCCCAACCTTCCATCTTTACCAGTGTTATTACTGGCTTAGTGAGGTAAAGGAGTGCGTAGGCCGGGGATCAAACCCCGAACCACCTGCGTGGTCGGCAAATACTCTATTGCTGTGCCAACGACGCATTTTCCCCCTCAATCGCATTAAAACTAGCACGGTTGAAAAAAAACGAACTGTTTGAGAATTAACTAATTAATTATATGAAAGTAAAGGGTAATAATAAGTCAGAACGCATAGAATGTTCCCATATTATCAGGAACAACACACACTCCTAATTGGTGATCAATTCACACCAAAAATACAAATGCACTTAATCGGAACAAGACTCCAATATCATCCATCCACTGCCAAATATCTATTCGCTTCTGGTCAAAAAAGCAACATTAATGACTGTTTCTCAACTATTTCACATATTTTTTTAATTCAAGGCTATGAAAAGGTGATGGAACCACCTTGGATTAATCACGTGCAGTCTAAATTATGTAAAAAGAAAGAAAACAACAACAAGAGATTTCAACGTTTGCCTACCCTGGACTAAACTTAATCTAATAAAATATTATTGGACCGATTATTTCATATTACGAATTAATTATCAAACATTTCATGGCTATTAATCCCATATAAGTTGTTAGCGGAATGCAGAGAAACCACGAAACGATACTATCTCACTAGGTCCGTCTTCAGAATTCGTTATTTAAGGACAATATAAATGTTGTATGAGTAATATTACACCAGTGGTAAATCTTCGAAATAACTCAGTCTGCTGAAATAACATATATATATCAATTACGAATTGATCACGCATTGATGTCAGTTAGAGAACCATTAAAAACCAGGGAGTACTGGACAGCTGGTGTTTCATCCTAGTTTGGGAATCATCGGCAGTACACAGAAGTTAGAATTCATGAGCCATTGAATCGGGTCCCAGTGGCTGAATGGTATACGAGCTTGCCTTGTAACGGGAAGGTCCTGGGTTCGAATCCCAGTGGGTGCGTACTGCCGATGATTCCCAAACTAGGATGAAACACCAGCTGTCCAGTACTCTCTGGTTTTCAATGGTTCTCTAACTGATATCAATCCGTGATCAACTCGTAAAAACATAACTAACCCTTACAAACCAAACTATAGAATATATATATATATGAAGCCAAATACTTGTACGGCGTGTGAAACTAACAATGTTTATGAGATACATAGCACAGTGAGACTATCCTAATTGATGGACGCTATTTCTAATGAAAGACAGATAATTGTATTGAATTGAATTTTCAGAGTTTGAAGCCTTTACATTTCTTATCTGGAATTATTTAAGATACCCATCATCTTTTGGACAGACAGTAAAATTTATTGATTATACTACCATTACTCTGATAAACACGTATTACGAAAAGACGTTTTAGTCACGTTTGCCGGTCAGGATAACACTCTGAGTTACGTTGACTGGAAGACAACAAAAGCGCTGTCCTACTGCTAATAACTGTTTTAGTATGTGGAGAGTTGAGTGAGGTTCTTAATCGTCAACTGTTGTCCGAACTAACAAAGAGCTTTACTACGACAGTATGGTCTTTCTACTCTGAAATCAACAATTTCAACTAACGCAGTGTGCTGTCTATCGACGAACAGATATTATTGTTTCATGGGTTAAGATATTTAGAAGTAGTAAATATCTTAAAAAACTGAAAATGTTGCCAAGTAAAACCAAAAGATTTAAAATGAAACGTTCAGACAGGATGATCAATTTACACAGAGTAAACAATGACACAATGCAATAATACATCCTGTATTTGTGTGTGTGTGTGTGTAAACAACCCTTAAATCTCATTCTGGCATCAAATTTCAGAAAAATAATCATCACAGGAATTATTGTTGAGTGATGATGAAATCATAACAAGGTAATACAGAAGAATACTGGTGTAGAGTGAATGTGAGTACAGTGACAAATCGATAACTGATATATATATATATATATATATATATATATATATATAAAGATACTAAGAAACAAGGAAGTATTAATTAAATGAATGCATTTCGTCATATCTAATGGATCAGCTGTTCAATGGTAGAATACTGGCCAATCAAGCACGTGGTCTGTGATCTATCTAACTCATTAACGTCACCAAGTTTACCAGCCAGTAGTCGGCCTGGAAAAAAGTGAAGGTTGAGAGAAAGGCTAGCGACCCCCAACCCGTGAACAAAGCACCACTGCTAATGAAACTTCAAGGATGAAGCTTGAAGTTATATGTTTCACTCGGAATGCGAAAGAATGAGAGAAAAAAGTTAGTCCTACATAGGCTTTATCGCAGAATAACATTTGAACATGCGAAGATGTAACCTCTGTAGGAATTTATGCTTACAACAATACATATCAACGAAACGTTAGCTCGACTAACTACTAATTTTTTCTTCTTCTTCTTCACCATCAAACAGTTTTAGTTACCGCAAAAGTGATACCAAGATGTGTTACTGGTATTCATCAAACAACTATTTGTTGAAGACATGAAAAGGTTGTCTGTTTTTGATCATAGATGTCTACGATCTCTCACTCACTTTAGGTGGTATAATAAGGTAAGTAATTTTGACATTAGGCGTGGAGTGTTGGGCAAAGAGGGAAAATCAATCGACGAGGCTATAAAGTTACATAGATTGAGATGGCTAGGTCACATGCTGCGCATGCCTAACCATCGCCTCCCCCGACGGACGGGCATTACTAGCTGATATGGGTGCAGGTTGGAAAAGAATAAGTGGCGGCCAAACAAAAACATGGCATCAATCCATGAAATCCCTGACAGTTAAACTGAGTCAGTTAGGGAGATACAGACTTCCGGGTTGGGGCCCACGGGACTCTAAGAATCAATGGCTGGAGACACTAGGTGACATGGCTCAAAATCGTTGTCAATGGCTTACGCAGATGTATTCAGTCTCTGTAATCTTTCATATTCCTTTCTATCATTACTCATTCTGTTTCACCCTTATACTTGTCAAAACTCTATTGATTCTCTTCACTCATTTTCTTGTCTACCTTTGTGTGGTATTTGGAACGTGGCAACTCGAACTGCTGCACTTCGGTGCCAAGTTCCATGTTGAATCCAGACAGATATATATATATGAACAATTTCAAAGCGCTTATTCAATAGGTGAGATCTAGGTGGACTCATCGTATTAGCATCCAGTTCACTAATCTGTTGAATCCCGACAGCTAACTTGATAAAAGTCATGGTAATTTGGTTTTGGAGATACAGAAAAGTCAAATATTGATTCATAAGAGAAACCGCTTTCACAACAAGTCTCTATCGAAAATAGTACTTAACAACAGACGACTCAATCGTACTCGCGCATGTAGTAAACAGTTACTATCATTCCTTGAATGATACAGGCGAATTCGTACACGTAAACAAACTCATCAATCTAATAAACCAGCTATGTCATTATACATCGTAAGTGACACAAACACACACACACACACAAACGAACGAAACCAAAAACACCAGTATTAAAGCTAGACTACACAAAAACACAATCAACCAACGAAACAAATACAATTAATAGCTAATATAAGTAGTATATTTATTTTTAGAAAGTAATGTTGAGCAATATTTTCGTTTGCGATTGATCTTGGCGTAAAAATGATTACGTCAAGAGGAAAACAAAGGCTTTCATTTAAACAATTAGGATGAAAAGAAGGAGCAAGTAACAAGATAGTAAAATAAATAGCTTAATACATTTATAAGACACAATGATATCAAAAAGGGATCGATATGTTGCCTATTCTACTGACAAGATTTATCAGAGAGACGTAGAGACGTTCATCGACACACAAAAGCATCAAATACCGGAGAGATGAATTTGACGTCAAAGAGAGAAAATGAACCAATATTGCGATGAAACAATGGGAGGCACAAAAAGAAGACAAAGAAACACAATATGAAGAATAGAAGTAGCACTACACTACAAGGAAGATCTATGAAAATGACTATTTTAATGCTTGGTATACATAACTGTGCGTTAACGGATGCATTGCGATTGCTGAGTTTTCCTTCAAGTTATCCATTTTCGTGGGACCAATCATTTTACACTTAGCCAAGTGCTTATATACAGATAATCTGACTACTCCCAATCTATTGATCCGACCTATGTAGTTGATTTTACAGTTATTGCAAAGTATTTTGCAGATTACATTATTTTGTTTAATTGGATCAATAGGATCCCTTCAGTCAACAGAGCTTATGTATGATGGAATTATATCCTACCACAGTGTCCAAGTTCTGTGCTCATACCAATCATGGGGAGCAGTGGACAACTGCTCCATCCCAGTTTATGACTCTTCAGCAGTGCACACCCACGAACCCACCAGAGATCGGATTGGATATCTTCAGGCTCCTTGACCAATCAATTACTTGAATCGGAATTCAATGATCTGTGGATTTCAAATTTGTCAATTTGTGATATAGAGTTACTTCTACATTTTAAATGAATGACAGTCAGATACTGAGACCGGTCTCAGATATTTTAAAACTCTTATCTTATCGACAACAAAATAAAGTAAACGTAACACCTCCCAATATTGTAATTTGATTGAAATCTGAGATTATTATCTTGACTTCTCGTTAACTTTCGATGCCATTTAGAGCATATATATTCACCTTTGTTTTATGTCACAGCTAATTATTTCTCCCTAGACACGAACTTACGAAAAAAGGTTGATGAGAAATACTAGATAAGATGATTATCTATTTTGGAAATGAGTTCAATCCTTACAGAGTTATGAATACTTACAAATGCCTTCTACTCTATCATTTTCCCTCCAGTCGTGAAATAAACCATTTTGCCATTTAAGTAAAAAATACCACAAAAATAATGAAAGTAATTCACACTTACATCCGATTTAGAACTCGATCGTTTCATCTTCGCATCATACGTTTCATTGACAGCCTCTTCATATGAAGGGAGTTCACAATCAGTATCTGCATATAAATATTTACAAGAAAGCAAAGAATGAAATGTCGATATTGAAAATCAAACTGTTATATTTATTATCTGTTAATAATTAAGTCTCTTTGATAGGAAATAGTATGAATCCACATATTATATACCATTAGTGTCACTACTGAAATAGGCGAACCGCTTTACACTATCGGTATATGTTTCATGACTGATTACCTCTGAATACCAAAGCTGAAAATACCATCCCGTTAAGAGTTCAGAAACACTGCTGTTGCCTGGATCTGACATACATTTTTTTACATTCCTTAGGCGTTTCCAGTGGAATATAGGGCTTCAACCTTGAGCTTTGAAATTTCAGTAGCGGAGATATTTTCAACACGATAGGGTTGTTATAGCGTTACACGCCGAACCTTTCTTTCTTGCCAGTATTACTACCGGCTAAGTGAGGTTTTTAGGAGGACGTTAGCCGGGAATTAAAACCGGATCACGTGTATGGTTGGATAGCGCATTCTACCATTGGACCACGAACTCATGTATTACAACTTCCTGGTGACCACTATTGATTTTATTCGTGTGCTTTTGTGTTGTTGCATAACATTACACTCAATTTTAATTTTGATTGTCACTGTTCACTGAGGTGAAATCATTATCAAGTTTTCGAATCTACAAAATTGTTTTGTCTATGTTATAATTTTACTCTACTGTTCACCTCCACCGTCTACAACTCTCCATCATAATATGTATAAATTTGCTGTTGTTCTGTCTTGTATTTTGTCTCTAGTCTACCCTTGTTTCCAAGCGAAATCTAAACGCTATCCGAATCGTCTAATTATTGCATAAATAGTTACTCTTTTAACAGTCTACTTACATCACCTTTGAAACTATGTTGCCTAAACTTTCTATTTATAATTCGAAGTTATTGTAAAAAGTATGTTCAGCAATTTTGTAACTTTTAATTGATATTGTTTAGGATGTACGCAGTTGAAGAGAATGCACAAAATAAAATGAGCACACATTGTTCTGCAAATAGGTTCGTTCTTTCTTTATTCAAACTAATAAGAAGAACCGGTTATATGATATTGCCTAATTGTTGACTGAATCGTATTAACAAAGTCAGCAAGCTGATCAGGAATGTGAGAGACTTGCTAAAGTGACGCACATTTCATAAGTGTTGGGTACATGAAGACAATCGAAAACGAGTATAAAAAATCCAAAAAGAACTGTTATTGAGCACGTTATTGGAAGCTCGAAGAGCTAAATGATGACGTCCGGTAACAGAGACGGATACATACCACTGATTTGCTGAAGGCGCATCAGTTTTGTCAAGGCTGACAAGTTAAGAATGCTTGGTTAAAATCTTCCAAATAAATGAGATAAACGATCAAGAAATTCAAAAGTAAACCATTGGAGATGACTCTTCGTACTTTTGATTAAATTTTAAATACTTTATATATGTAGTTTATTTCATAAGGATCAAATTTCTGAGATAGTCACCTTATGACATCTTAACAATCATATTTGTAGGCCCATACGAAAACATTAAATACTTTCATTTACTATTACTATATAACTTCGAGGATCTGTTTATTTTCCGTTTCACTTCATAGGATTATTATCATTATTCCTTTAGGTTTCGAGTGAAATATAAGGCCTCCGTGGGACATCTCCATTTCTTCCTCTTCTCTGCAGTCCGCTTTAGATAGCTCCAGGGTTACCTTTAGGCCCTAATCACCTTCTCAGACTATCTCTTTCATGTCACCCTTGGCCCTATGCCCAATTCATCGTCCCCCAATCAGGTTCCACTCCACAACCAAGCGCCCGATTTCACTCAACTATCTTCTCAGAGTGTGTCCGATCCATCTCCATTTTCTTCGGCATATTTGTTGGGCAATAGGTGCCTGGTTGGTCCGTTGACAGAGTTCCTTGTCACTTATCCTTTCAAGCTATCTGATCCTCAGTATGAAACTGGCGAAGACAGCTGTTGACGGAAGTCTGCAGTAGCCTGTTGGAAATGCTTTCCAAGACGCTCCAAGTCTCTAAACTATATAGAAGCACTGATTTGATATTAGTGTTGAAAATGCGAATCTTGTTCTTTATGCTTAGTGAGATAGACTGAATTATTGATTTCAGATTATTGAATGTTTTTGTTGCTTTTTCGATCCTGCTTTTGACATCCTCATCTGTTCCGCCTGTACTTGAAACGATGGTGCCTAGATAAGTGAAAGCAATGACCTTGTTCAAATTCCTTCCGTTGACAGTGATGGGTGCTTATTGTTGTTTTTATTGTCTCATTTAGATTATTTAGAAATCCGCTTCCGTACAGAACCACATGATGTGAGTCCAATCCACCCAAGACAACCACTGACACTTTAGATTATTGTCAGTTTGCGTCACATTCAAAAACGAAGGTAAAGAAATATTTCTTAATCGTAAAATGCCATGCTTAAGAAAATGAGGTTCGTTGTCAGATTAGCAATCACGTTAAAGTAAGTATAAAAAATGGATTACTAAAGCGCTGAGCGAATTAAAATTTGCTTGCTGAACGACCTCTGGATCTCCAATGTGAAGTTGTGAATGCTTAAATAAAACAGAACACACTTTCACAGCAGTTTTCTAACTAACGTTGATATATGAAAATCTGCTATGTGAAATTAAATAATTTCTCGTAATCCCCAATCAATCAAAACTGTTTTAAACATCCTGAACACATTTAGTAAACAGATTTACTCATACATTAGTAATTCGATCTAGAAAAACATACATTAAGAAATATGGACATTATGTGGCTTAGAATTTGAGGTTTCGCAAGACTAGTGAAATGGAAATGGATTTAAAAAAAACTAGATCTGTTGGCATGTAGAAAGTCAATCAACACTACTTTACCTAATGTTGTATACGGTTTTTAGGTTTTAAAGTAAATGCGTTAATAATTCAGGCGCCTGACAGTCGACTATAGAAATATGAACTCAACCACTGTTCCATCCAGTTTAGCATGTGGAGAGGTAGCTCATTGGCTTAAGAGCACGGTTTGCAATCAAAGGATCACAGCTTCGACTACCTCTCCGGTTACTTTAGCCTGAGAAACTGGGCAGTATCACCAAATTTCAAGCGATAAGTGTGGTTCTTAGTCTAGCGCGCACATGAAAGATCTGTTTCGGGCAATTGAGTTCAACATGTCTACATGTTCTATATAAATTAACTGTAGATCATCAGTCTAAAGATGTGAACAATTGATTTCGAAAGAAAATCACCTAGAATTCCTCTCAAATGAACCTTCAATTCTTACGCAAATCTGATAATCTAGTAGTAAAATGTAATAAAAAATTAATAAATAAAGAACACATTTTTCTTGCCTTTTGTAGAAGCTGATTTCGTCATTGCATCATTCATATCATTACACGACGTTTTGCTTTGTTTCACTGCTTTAACTTGTTGATAGCAATGCTTTAACACGTGGGCTTTAAGACTGATTCTAGCCGTTGTTGGATGCAATAATGCAGCTAAGATTGGTGCTATTAAACGATCCACCTGGCCAGTTTGTAAAGCTTTCTCCATCCATAGAACTGATTGTTCACGTAAAATAGAATTGCAAAAACTATTCGGTTGATCGACTTGACCATAATCTTCACAAGTGTCTTCTTTTGCCTCACATCTACTACCCAGAGTATGTAAATTAGGATTAAGTTGAGATGTCTGTGAGTTAACCAGGCCAACGGAACCAATTGAACCAACTGGACCCCATGGAGTGTCATAGTCCAAATGATCCAGTAACAATTGGGTACATCTATGGATTAAAGATTATTGAGTCAGTAAGTAAGTGAGTGAGTGAGTGAAGTAACTATAATAATAATAGTTATCATCATACGAAATAATTATTGTAATATGCTCTAAAAATTGGACTATTGTTAACTAGACATTGGCTAAATTCTAACCGAGAGAAAGAAAAACATGTTTCAACTCAAAAGTGTACAGAATAAAGAAAACAAATAATGATCCAATTCAATAACTTGCCATTGATTTGTGTACAAGAATATGAAACGCAAACTGTGTTTAGCAGCTTATCATTTTCTCTAGTTTCTCATGTGAAAGTGTACGGCACTTAGTTAGAACCTACTATACTTCGGGACACATGCCTGATTGACTGAGTCTCAACATAGAACTTTGCAAAGAAGTGCAACATTTCAAACTGTTACACTCTATGTAGCACACAAAGGTAGAGACAAAGAGAAAGAAGAAATTTAAGAGGGTCATACTGGGCAGAAATCTATGGAATAAAGAATAGTAAACATGGAAAAACATGAGGATATAGTGGATGGAAATGAGTGAATGAGTGAATACATCTGCGCCATTGAGAACGCTTTTTTGAATCATGCTACTAATAATCTCTAGTCATTAGTTCTTAGAATGTCGAGGGCTCCAACCAGGCAGCATACACCTCCCTCTACGTGGCTAGCTAAAACCAGCTATCAAAGACTTCAAGGGTTGATGACATGTTTTGGTTGACCACCCCTAACTCTTCCCCAACCAAATCCTTTGTCAGCTAACATTGCTAGTGCCTCCAAAGCCTCAGGATGGTCGGGGGTGGGTGCCTTGCTCTGCGGGTTAGCCACCCTTCCGCACACCTCTTGAAATGCTCCCATATGACCGGGCGTCTTACATAGCCTCTCCTGAGGAAGTCCTACTCACTGCCTTCACGTGGCGGAGGTGTTTTCACCAAAGTGAGAGGGCGAAAGCGAATGCCCGGCGCTCTTCACCGGGTTGACTGTCCATTGGATGACAGTCTAGGGGAGATGGCTAAACCCTGATTCCAAACCTCCAACGACTGGCGTATGAAGCTCACTGGAGCTCACCGGCAGACGTATGGACAAAGGGCTTGTTGGATGTCTTGTATGTCTGGCCCCATTCAAAAGGCGTATGAACCGAAATCCGGCCACCGGCTGCCAATGGATAGTGGACTCCCTACTCCACTCCTACTGCCTTGTAGGTCACACTTGGTTGTGTAAAGGCTAGAGCTGCACTCTCAAACAAAAGGCCGAGCGATTCTGGGGACATCACTCGTACCAAATTCCCATGAAACTTCATGAACTCTCAGTACAGTCAAGCCTGATATGGAATGCCTGGGGCTGCAAACCGTCTACGGAATCCGTCTGTGGAACAAGAATTGGATAACCCTGTCGCAAAACCTTACATCAGATCGCCACGCCTGGGCAGCGATGATTCGAGATGTTCATGAAGCCGGCTCATCCTCCCGTAGGAGATAGCCGTAGTAAATTAAATTAATTTAATTATTAACATTGCTAGTCTGGGAAGCCGGTGGCTCGGTATGCGAAACGCATGTCCTAGCCATCTCAATCGGTGCAGCTTCACAACGTCATCGTCTGACTTCTCTTCCTTAACTAGGACTCTATGCCTAACCTCAATACCACTCACCATATTGCACCACAACACGGGAAATAGAACATAAACCGTTCGGTCTGAAGTAACTGCTTACAGCTCTACATACATTGGGTTATTGTGAACAGTTCTATCAGAATTCATACCGTCTGATGATTAGGTTTACAGAACACCACTAGTTAGAAAGCAAACAAGATAGATGCTCCCTGTTTAACTTTAGTCAGTCATTATTTACAATAATAATGAATGATAAAAACTACAAGAGACTAATTGGTGTACCACTATGATCTTATAAATGACAGTTCAACTGATGATAAGTTAATCAAGTTATACTCATCAAAATATGACCAAGATGCCAACATCTTTACAAGGTTAACATATTTTCAGCATGTTTAAACTGACAGATAAGTAAAGAACTTTGTATACAGCGAATCACTCAGTGATTATAAATGAATAAATACATCTACATCTCTATAAAGGATTATTAGCCATGCCCTTATCTATGTAAATGTTATGAATGTTGCTTCACTAACATACTAGGCGAATAACACTAGCTAGGGAAAGTATAAATTGAGAAAGAATTAAAGGTGATCAAGTGAAAACATGTTGCCGATTTATGGCCGAAGCTACATGATGAAATCCTGAAACTAATCAACCAATCCCTACAAACCAACACTTGAATATCAATCTGATGCTCACTATAGAAACTGGCCCTGTTGAGGTAGACAGTTACCTGGGTTCTAGTGAGAATTCGTGACCAGTGGGGTACAGAAGGTCGGATGTGAGGACAAATACTTGCCGCGGATGACATTGGCTAGTGGTAGCGCTATATCGTGAATTGGCAGAAGATGAAATCCATAGATCATTGGGTCAGGACCCATTGTCTTAGTGGTCTACGAGCTCGCTTTGTAACCGTGAGGTCCTGGGTTCGTACCCCGGTGGGTGCATACTGATGAAGAGTCCCAAACTACTCTGACGAAACAGCTTTCCAGTACTCCCAGGTTTTCCAATGGTCCTCTAATGGATGTCATTTCATGCTGAAATCCTGGAACTACATAAGGTTCTAGTGAAACTCTTTCTGACATGGTTAGAAATCATTCAAAGTAGTCCAAGTGAATACTCTTCAAAATCCTGAATATCCTCTTTACGTTTTAGTAAACTAATCTCACCTTGATGCATGCTCATCAATTGTAGTGTTAGTCTGCTGCTCTTCTCTTGTTTTATGAATTTTTTCAAAGGTTGATGTACTTCAGTCCAAACTTTTAAGCGTATATTATAGTCAACTCTACTATCATTGGGTGGTAACAGTATATCAATAGTAATACAAACAGTACAGGCAGATTGGTTAAATATAACAACTGGCAAGTTGTCTGGACTAAATACTGCTCTGTAAGACACTGAAAAATAATCAATACTCACTATAAAACTGAAACAAATCTTGTTACAAAGTCAAAAATGTAATAATTAGAAAAACAGATAGTTGATATATATATATATATATATATAATATTTACCTGTAAAAAGGAATATCATATAAACCTTGCCCAGGAGATGAAGCAGCATCAGCAAGACCAATTTTCTTAACACCAGATGAAACAAGAAAACTACGTCTCCAGGATACAGCTGCTATTGAACTAGGAAATGGATTTATCATTTTAAAAGAATCTTGTTGTGAAGGTGGATACGTGATCCGTTTATTTAAAGTATTATATTGTTGAACTACTGAATTTGATTGAACTCGTGAACCATAATATCTCATTAAATGCCATAATAATGCATAACGTGAATGTGCATTTATTTGTGTGTCTATATTTGATGAAAGCATTTGTGAAAGAATAAATCCTTCAATACATGAACTGACAGTAGATGAAAATTTTGATGGACCAGGTGTTGAAAAATTAACACTACAAGTAGATTTAGGCAAAGGTGGAGCTAATTGATGTAGACGTACTAATAAACTGACAGTATCTTCATGAAATGCAGACTGTTCTGGGGAGAGATAATTCCACAGTGAAACACCTAGATACTAAATTGTTACAAAAAAAATGAGAAAAACAATAATGATAATAAAAGGAGTCGTATTAATTCACACAGAAATACTTCTACAGTTGTACTATTAACTCAGTTTAACATTGGACATGTTTGCAATAGTATGCACCCAGCCAACAGTTATTTTAAAGAAATTATAGTGTACTAAAATTACATGACTACCTGTGAAAGCAAGTAGAAAATTAGAATAAAGTGATACTCAACAATTAGGAACATATTCATGTATTTGGCATCCCTGTAAACGACTTAGTATGGTCGAGGGTGGGTAGACTTCGGCCATCCTCTGGAAATGCTCTTATTCGGCCACGTATTCATAGTCTCTGCCAATTAGGTTCTATTCATTGCCTTCACGCGATTAAAGTGTTCCCCACAGAAGTGAAAGGGTAAATTCAAACATCTGGCGCTTATAACCTGACTGGTGGATATGCTGGTCGACCTAGAGGAGCTGGAAAATTCTGATTCCAAACCTATGTTGTACATGGCCTCCAGAATCCGAAAAGATCGAATGGCATATGCACTAGTTTAGGACACTGGAAGCCAAGACAATGCAGCTCATAACGTTGCTCCACTGCTTTGTAGATCAGACACAAAGCCAAGGCTTCGAGGGGATTAGTCCCTTCAGACAACCACCTGCTTCAGTGTGAGCATCCTTGCAGTAACCTAACCCTCATACAAACTATGACATTTTGTTTGACGCATCTCTTGGGGTTCATAATTTCCCAAGTTTATGTTTCAATAATAATACATAATGTATTTTGGCAGTGACCTACATCTGCAATCTGGGGAAGTAGAACAGCAGCTAAGTGCACAAACCTGGGAAAGTCAGGTGTAATGTAATAGCCACAAGAACAATATTGAAATAAGGGCTACATGCATGGCTGTTTGCAATGAAATCGGGATGAGTTGGAAGACAACGAAACTTACAACAATTAGTTTCACAACTAATAAAGTGTACAAAAATGGAGTCTGAAAGTGAAATTATACCATTGTGTTTACCGGAACGCAACAGTAATAACGTGTTTCTAGAAGACAGTAAGCATCTCAAGCTAACACTGCTTTCATTAAGTTGGGAGGAAGGGATAAAGAAAGTTAATTAATATTTATCCTATGTTCCTATTTGACCAGAAACCTAGTTGCAGTGGTATGAAGCTTGTTTGGCACGGACTCAGTCTACAGAAGCTATGCCGTTGGGATCTTCAATCATTATCTAAAACTCTTAAAATCAATAGGATTCCGAGAAACATTTTGATAGCCTCATCAGTTTATGAGTTTATTTATCCGCTGATGACCACTGCATCTGAATACCAGGCCTAGTGTATCTCCAGCTTACTCTTCCAAAGGAATCTCAAATTTCTTCAAATGAGTTTATGATCTTGACTGTTTGCATACCAGACAATCATCATTGTAACATGTGAATATCTCCTTATGTTTCCAGATGCACTAAGCGATATGGTGAGCAGATTATTCGACACAGTCGGGCTAGCTTTGCCACAGTCTAAGTCTTTGAGGTAAATTAATTACACAGACATTGATAATCAAGCGAATAATAATGAACAGAGTTTCAATATGAGTTTAAAACTATTAAATATCATTATTCCCTGGCGTTCCGAGTGGAACATGGGGTTACAGCAATACATCTCCATTTCATCCTGTTCCCTGCAGTCCCCATGATTGGCAATGAGCTCCCATCTCCTCCTCCATATCACAATCACACCTATGCTTATCTCTTCATTTTTCCATTCGACGTCCTCTTGAGGGCCTGGCACACAATGTCACTCAACGTGTGTCTGAGCCAAATTAGCGAACCCATGAAATTAGAACAATAAAGTTATGCAAGTGCCTTTTAGAATTTAGACTTCAGCACCAAAATCAATCAACTTGATGATAGGGAATAACGAATTTAACCCATGTTTATTAAACAATATAACCGAAACTAATTCACTGACTAATAAAGTCCATACATAGAATTATGCTTACTGTGAATAAATTTGTTTTCTGACAAAGATAAGCCATTAATTCTCCACTTAATACTGGAAATACTAAACGCATTCCATTCTGCGTTGGTTGTTCTTGTTGTTGGCTTTTACTCTCTTCCAACAGACTGTCTAATTTACCTTCGTTATTTCCATTATCATCATGGTTAATAACAACATTACCATCATTATTATTCTTGTTCATATGGACTGGCTGATGATGATTATCATGATTGTTTTTGTTGTTACTATTCTTTTCCATAGAATGATTAAATTCTGTATTCCAACCATGAATAGAGACAGCTGCATGGAATAATTCAATTAACGTGTACAAAGCGATTGATTTTATATTGAAATTATCCAATTCAGCTGATGCATACAGCAGACAAACAAGCCATTGTGGTAAAATAAATTCACCTATATGTAAAACATGCACAGGAAATTAATAAATACACAAATGAAAGAGTAAGGACGATTATATAACACAAACACACACACACAGAGTGTATTGAAAACAATGAAGGCGTATTAAAACATTACTGGATAATGTGCACTCACACACACACATCAGAAGAAGAATCAAAACATACTGTGCAGTAATTCAAAATGTGCGCGGGGATGTGCGTACGCATAATGATGATAGAAATAGGAGAAGATGACTGAAATCACTTTAATCAAAAAAGCATCAAATTCAAGAGAATTCCATCTTTATGAACAGGTGAACATCTCCAGTTTCAGGGGTCCTTGAAATCTGTTTCAGCAAATTATTCTCGTGGAGATTTTGATATTGAAAATTGAAACAAAGATGAATATTTATAGTAATAATAGAAATGGTCTTATCAATAATAAGGATGAAAAAGTGAGGCAATCTGTGATAACACGAATAATGAAAAACAGCATGATTAAACGAACAATATTGTTTTCAATTAGATCTCATCAGGCTTAACTCTAATATATATAAGTTTACAAATAAAATTCAAATATAAACCAATCATGGTGTTTTGTCTATAGGATAATACGATGGTGAATATAAATTGTGCAATTAGTCATAATAGTAGTAATGATAATAATAATTATAGTAATAATAGAAATGGTCTTATCAATAATAAGGATGAAAAAGTGAGGCAATCTGTGATAACACGAATAATGAAAAACAGCATGATTAAACGAACAATATTGTTTTCAATTAGATCTCATCAGGCTTAACTCTAATATATATAAGTTTACAAATAAAATTCAAATATAAACCAATCATGGTGTTTTGTCTATAGGATAATACGATGGTGAATATAAATTGTGCAATTAGTCATAATAGTAGTAATGATAATAATAATTATAGTAATAATAGAAATGGTCTTAGTAATGATTGCATAATTTATATTCACCATCGTATTATCCTATAGACAAAACACCATGATTGGTTTATATTTGAATTTTATTTGTAAACTTATATATATTAGAGTTAAGCCTGATGAGATCTAATTGAAAACAATATTGTTCGTTTAATCATGCTGTTTTTCATTATTCGTGTTATCACAGATTGCCTCACTTTTTCATCCTTATTATTGATAAGACCATTTCTATTATTACTATAATTATTATTATCATTACTACTATTATGACTAATTGCACAATTTATATTCACCATCGTATTATCCTATAGACAAAACACCATGATTGGTTTATATTTGAATTTTATTTGTAAACTTATATATATTAGAGTTAAGCCTGATGAGATCTAATTGAAAACAATATTGTTCGTTTAATCATGCTGTTTTTCATTATTCGTGTTATCACAGATTGCCTCACTTTTTCATCCTTATTATTGATAAGACCATTTCTATTATTACTATAATTATTATTATCATTACTACTATTATGACTAATTGCACAATTTATATTCACCATCGTATTATCCTATAAAGATGAATATTATCTACTTGTTGGGTTGATGACGAAGAATTTATGGATGTCAGAGTACTTTTCAGTTTTCCTCAACAAACTCTCCTCCAGACGAATAACAACACAGTGCAGTTGTGGTACTTTACTTTCAGTCATTAGGTCGTGGACACGAAATTCTCAGACTAACTTCACACTCAGGAGTATTATTATTCTCCACACACTAAGTATAGCTAGTGGCCTGATAAATAAATAATGTGTTTCAGGTAACTGACTTTTAAGTTCAGAGGGTTTGACTACAAAAGTTTTTTTTAATGAACAGATAGGATTATACATTACCAAGCCATATCACGAATCGACATCCTGACTGAATTGGTTGATGGGTAATAGGTCTACCACAAAACCTAATGACCATAGAATCAATTTCTAATAGAACAAGTGATTCTTACACCCCCAAGGATTTCAATCAAGGATGTGACAACTATATCTCTTCATTGCTCCTGAAATGTCGATAGTACTTTAGAGCATGTCAATTCCTACAGATATCTACATTGAAAAGTTACTATATAAAAAAGTTTAACTTTCAAGTAACAATGTAGGTAGAAGAAAAATAGGTAAATCATACACGTACAAATGGATAGTGAGTTGATTAATATTACGCAGTCAGCGTGCCTAGCGTGCATAGTCAATTAAACACGTGATTTTCAAACGACAAAGAAAACAAACCCCATATTCACAGCACACAAAATACACAATCAAATAAAGTAAAAAGTGAAAAAGAAACGTTGTGCACTGTAGTAAAATTTTTTTAAAACGAGATGAAAACTCCTGAACTCTTCACCAAAATAAATACTGCCTACCTGGAAAAAAGGACAAACTAAGTTGTACGCATGAATCAACCCAGAAATACAGTGTCAGGTAATCACGTCACAAACAGCACACACACACACGTGCACGCACAAACAGATAAGAAAGCAAACAAACAAACATAAATGTCACAAAAGCAGATATCTCAAATTTTTTTTAAAGTTACCTAAACTATAGTAGTAGTTACAACAGTTATCTCTTGATAACGTTGAATGATAACCATCAGTAAGAAACATTTCAGCTAAATAGCCTACAACACATGAGGCATATAAATGTATCAGAAAAACATTAAGAGTTTGAGAAAAAATGATATGTTATGTATTTTACAAAATGGAAAAGAAACTTCATCAGGCGAAAGGTCAATCTGTCCATGAATCAACATTACCTTAACAGCCGTTGATATTTCCTCCTAAGGGTGGAGATGATTCATAAGTGTGAACACATGGTGTAGCCTGTAGGAAATACACCAGGTTACAAAGCAAGCAACTCCGCCAAGGTATTTCAATGGATTTTGTTGAGACGTGATAAAACCGACCTACAGGCCTTCATACAACCTAATAATTCGTGACCAGTGGGGTACAGAAGGTCGGGTGTGAGGAAAAATCCCCGCCGCGGATGACATTGGCTAGTGGTAGCGCTATATCGTGAATTGGCAGAAGTTGGAATTCAATAGCCATTGGATCGAGTCCCAGTGGCTTAATGATCTACGATCTGACCTTGTAACCGGTGGGCCCTGGGTTCGAACCCCGGTGGGTGCGTACTGGTGAAGAGCCTCAAACTAGGCCGACGAAACATCTGTCAAGTATCCCTAGGTTTCCCGATGGTTCTCTAAATGACATCAGTTCATGATGAAATCCTGTAACCAACAATTCCACGGAATAGCTGATACCATTATGACTTCAAGAAGCTCAACAGTAACTGCAATCAGGTAATTCATGCAAAAGTGGGAACTAAAATTCCAAACAATCACAATTTAATCCGCTATTCGTTGGCTCTTTCTGTGTTATTTGACTTTTTAAATAAAAAAGAGAGAATAACTCTTTTTGACTATGATGTTGACTAAATGAAGCCATTAGCCTATATCATAACCTCGAAACGTATTGACTTCATCTCCATAAATTCCTTCACTGTAGAAGGATTTCGCAAATTCTAACCAATTAATTAGATTCAAAGTTACCTATGCAGAAATAAATGAACGACACTTAAAGGATAACATTAGTACCAACTGCGCATGGAAGTTTACAGCTTGTCAACTTCTGGATTTAAATGCGTGAATTGACCGGATTGTATCAAGAAAAGTATTAAAAAATACCATAAAACTGACAACATAAGTTCTACTGATTAGCTGACTATACATTCCAGTAGGATATTTTAAGTTTGATTAGGGACTGACATCAGTTAGAGAACCACTGAAAACCAGAGAGTACCAAACAGCTGCTTTGTCCTAAATGACGACTCTTCAATAGTAAGCACTCACGACCACACTAGAGATCAAATCTCGTTAACTATTCAACTGCTTGGGCCAGAATTAAAACACCTGTGAATTCTAACTTCTTTCAATTCGCGAATTTAGCGCTAATGACATCCAATGTCATTGGCTATTGTTTGTCCGTAAACCCGACCTCAACAGTCATGACTTCTCCCTGTAGTCAGTCAGTAGTCAATACAACGTTCATTTTGAAGTCTTAGTTTTTAGGGATTTGATTGATATCAGCTGGAAAATGATAGAAAATAAGGCGTCATAGGTGTGTACTGACGAAGAGTTCGACACTGTGACGAAACAGATGCCTAGTTCTCCCAGGTTTTCATTGGTTCTCTGTTATCAAACTTGCAACCAATCAAACCGCTACAAATTAACACTCAAAAACCAAAATATCTGACCCATAGTGGATAACTTAGTTTCAAGAATAACGCCAGTTATTTCCATAATTACTACTGTGAAGCCAAGATTTTAAACTCTATTTCACCTACTCAGGTTTAGATAATCAGATAGTAATCTTTCAGTCCCCAAATAATAGAAGGTGTGGTTCATGAATCAATATATATTATAACATATATTGATTTTATTCTTCTGTCTATACGGATAGCAGAAGTCTACAAAGATTGATTTAAATCGTTCGAGGTCGTCATCAGTGTAACTCTTAATCAATTACAACTGGGAGCACTATCTTTTGGACGTAAATTTTGTGATATTCATAAAGATGTAAGTCAAATAGGCACCAATGTACACTATGAGAATCTTTAAAGACAAACAGGTGAATTGGTTGCCTCCACTGATGAGTGCGTCAAATGATATATTTACTAGGTCAATTCTCTTCTTTTTTGGAATCGATCTAATGTGTTGCTGACTCAATTACAAATTACAACTTTCAACATGAAGATACATTAGAGAACCTTGTGTTTGGTGTACTGTAGAGACAGAAGAAATCATCACACATACGCACAAACACACACACACACAGCAGACTAATTCAATATATTTTATAAGGATTAATTAATTAATAGACACCATTATAATACACAAGGCTGACGAATGCGATGATATTTGTTAGTATAATTGTGTTAGAAATTAGAACAATTTATCTACCTTGCTCAGTATCTTTATTAAAACAAAAATTATAATAAAAGATTATAATTAATTAACAGCATATACAGAAACTTAATCAATAATTCGTTAGTGTGTATGCATGATAAAGAAGAGAGGTACGTACACACGTGATAGAAGTAAACACAGCTACCTATGAACGCCCTTACTTAATATGCATTTACCAAAAATCTATCTATCTATTGGTCTGAACAAGAAAGAGAAAGAACCTTAAACCATTAAAGAGTATTGACTATTTATCAATTAATGAATGAATTATATGATACGAATACTGCAATGTAAAACGTAATAATATAACCAGGTAATAAACTGAAGGATTAAAACAAAACTAGAAAAAAAAGAAAGAAAAACAACAGAAAATCTACTTCCACTTCACTGAGACATTGGAATGCTCACTTTGCAAGTGAACTTGATAAATTTGCAGCTGAATTTTAATTATTTAGGAGGCATAGTGAATGTGATATAATAGTTGAGTGCCTACTACATTTACGTACGAAGTACTAATCATTGTTTTGTTTTTTTGGTGGTTGGGTTTGTGGGTGGTTCAGCGATAGAGTACTGGCCAACCCATGCACGTGACCCTGGGTTCGACTCCCGACCACAGCACACCTTTACTTCCCTTAGCCCGAAAAAGAGTTAAGGTTGAGAGTGAGGCTAGCAACCCCACCCCGTATAAAAGCACCACTGCTACTGAAACTTCGAAGCTGCAGCTTGAAGCCGTATGCTCCACTCGGTATGCAAAGGAACAAAATAAATAATCATAGTTTAGGTGGTTGGAGACGATCGGAACAAAGCCTTGAACCTACGTTTGGTGTTTGCTGGCGCACTCATCAGCAACGCATAGCTGCAATCTTAAAAAAACTCATGTCCCTTCTGAGAATTGAATCCGGACCCAGTGGCTGAAGTTAGAGACGTCACAACTAAGATATTCGGGCTCGAGATTGACCACCTCTTGTAGGAATTTAACTGAACTGTTCATTATCCTATAGAAAGTAAATTGAAGCCGCAGTCATCCTATGCAACAAGAGTTTAAATTTACAATAATTTATTACATTCTTCAGTAAATATCCCACCTACTATGTATTTTATTATGGGACTGAAATCCCATTGAAAGGTGTCATTCTTCGGTGGTGTGCGTGTGTGTGTTTTCTTTTCAATAAAAGGAGATCTTTGAATGATTACGGAATCTATCGACCGAAAATGTATATGGAACTGACAAATAATGAATTTTATAATTACGGTCCTACCAGAGGAAAAAGTACTGTAGTCTATTCTCTGACCTCCAGAATTTAGAAAATCTGTATACGAAGCACTTCAGAAGGTAGATTAAGTTTATGCCGCTTAGTCACTTAAACCTGATACAATTTCACCAACCAAGTCGATTACAAGTGCTACATTGACGCAACTGTCAAACTTCTCTGCTGCAATGAGTCTTGTCTTTTATAGAAGAAGTATAAATAGTATTCGGAATACGCAATCAATGCAGTAGCATTACACTCACAAGTCATTAGAAACACTAAATGTGATCAATATCAACCAATTTTCCCCTGGTTTTGAAGATCATTTATACAGATAGATAGACAACGTTAATACGAATTCAATATGCATTTCAAATATCACAATAAGAAGTAACACCCTTAAGCCAGTGCGTCGGTGGCATAGCGGTTAGGACGCTCGCCGACCATGCACATGGTCCGGGGTCCGAACCCCGGTCGACGCACTCCTTTACCTCGCTGAGCCAGCAATAATGCTGGTAAAGAGGAAAGGTTGGACATGAGGCTAGCAACCCTATCCTGTAAAATAAACACTGCTACAGAAACTTCAAGCCACTAGCTTAAAGCCCTATGTTCCACTGGGGAACGTGAAGGAAAAAAACCCTTAAGCCATGTTGACCACCAGAAAGTGCCAATCACTTATACACTTTCGACAGGAAGTCAGTGTTATTTCTAAATTATCCTAATCAATGAAATAATGTACGTTTTGCAGAAAGACTAACATAATTCACTTAAGTGAATGAAGAATTGATTTTCATAAAATAAAAGTTTAAACTATTTATCTTTATCACACTGTAATCCTAAAAATGATGATGATGATAAGAATAGTAGTCAATACTGAATGAATACTCATTGATGATACCGCCGTATATGATTGATTTCTCAAAAGCCTTTTCTGCACACTTGAAAATTATGCCTGAATCATAAGATAATAAAAAGCGAATCCTTTTGATTTTTCCCGCAATCACACTTGTTTTATTTCTTTAGTCTTTGTTAGAAAATTATTCTAATAATCATAACGATAACAACTTGATTCTAGACAATATATTAGCACCTAATATAGTAAAGGATCTTTAAACAAAAACGTGCTCAGCAGTATAATTACGTCATGCTGTGTTCTTCCATCTGAAACAATATCTGTACTCCTCTACGATATTTTCCTTCATTTTCTTTGAGAAGTACTTTGTATCACACAATGACAACAAACTAAAACTGTGCGCGAGTTCACTTATCGATCCAAAAAAATTAGAATTAGATGATTAAAACAGTAGAAAATAGAGAGGACTTCAAGCACTATACTGGATGGAAATTTAGGTAGCCTAATGAATTGGGTAGGCCATCTGTGGCATAACTACTACTACTACTACTACCAATATTTGGGCCTTAACACATCTAATACTAACCTCGCCAAGTTTGTTAGCTTGCTAATCTTCTAGCCGGTCCAAAACACAGGTAAAGAAGGAGGGTTGGGTGTGAGGCTAGCAACCCTACACCACTAAACTTATCAAACCGCTAGAGAAACTTCAACGCACAAAAAATGTATTAAAAATACAAAGAATTCAAAGAACGATCTTATTCTCCGCTGGAATCGGGGAGGCAAAATGACACAGAGGGCTGGTGAAAGCCTCCGGAAAGCCAGTCAGCCAACTCATGTGTCTTTTTTCGATGAAACCAAGAATAAGAATGAAGAGGTGGAAGGTACGTACAGTGTATGAGGCTGGGAAGGCTTCTCACGTAACCAACGAAATGCGAAGTTATAGCATAGAAGTGCTTGGTATCTACGAGAGCAGATGGAATGGATGTGGATTGTCAAAATTTTCAACTGGAGAGTCAGTAATCCACTCCGGTCTGGTCACCCAGATGACAATCACGAGCACAATGAGGCAGTAAGTGGCTATAATGATATCACCGGTGGCAACCAAAGTCCTAATGCAGTGAGAAACAGTTTCATCCTGCAGGATCATGACAGCAAGATTCAACCCAAAAGGAAGGAGGATTACAATAATTGTAATTATTATCCAGCGCTAAGCACAACGCTACAAATAACGCTGAACAGGAGAAGAAGGAACATTTTCACAGACAAATACAAACAGTAAGGGACAACACTACAAATAGTGACATCAAAATCCTCATTGGAGATATGAATGCCAGCTGGACTTGGGGCAGATTATACAGTAAGGGATCGTATCATGGGTCGAGAAGCTCTCGGAGAAACGAATGACAACGACGAATTATTCGCACACTTCTGCGATTTCAATGATTTGATGATCGGAAGCAGCACGGACAAGCACAAGGATATACACAGAGCAACATGGGTTTCGCCTGACGGACACACCACACACCAGATAGATTTCATCTCAATACTGCTCAAACAAGTGGAGACGCAGCCAGCCTGCTGGACACAAAGTCGAAAAGGGGAGCAGATGTGGGCTCAGACCACCATCTGGTCCCGCGAATCTTCAAGGTGAAGCTGAAATCTTCCAAATCAGCTGGAGATAGATCTAAATTCAAGTTCGACATTCAAAAACTAAAGAACAAAAGTATAGGGGATACCTTCACTACAGATCGGAGCAAAGTCGGAGACACTACGTGTTATCACTGAGGAAACCTGAGCGGAAGAACGTTGAAACTAACTCTCTGAAGGTGATGTTAAAGGAAACGTATACAACTGTCCTAGATAAGGAATAGCTCTCAACGGATACCTGAAAGCTAATAGAAGAGAAGAGGATGGTGACGGTGATGACTCAATGCAAAGATGAACAACAAAAGCAGAATCTGAGTTCAATGTACACTGCACTGAATAAAGAAGTGAAGTAGAGTGCTAGGAAGGACAAAAGACAATTGTATGACACACACACCGGTAACTGAATTACAACAGACTGGCTGCAAGCGAAACAGACATCGGAACACTATATCAGATAACTAGGTCTCTAGATCTCTATTCGGGAAGAGATCCACCCAGATGATGAAACCAATAAAAGATGTTCAAGAGAACCCAAGGGAATAATAACAATACATCTAATACTATTTCACTTCAAAGGTGTTTAATATCACTGAGAATAAACACTACGTAAAAATGAACTTTACCAAACTAGTGGGGATCATAATTAACTGACACATGAATAATGTTAATTGCTTTGAAAAGCCTTCTGACACAGTATTCATCCATGGAGACGGACTAACAAGACAACATAGAACCAATCACAATAGCACATGCATTTATTTTTCGATATACACCACGCACAAACACCTCATTAAATTAACAAAAGACAATTCAGCGAAGAAAACTTTCCGATGAGTCAGTGCTAAAAGAATACGATAAAGTGGAACTGTCAGAAATAACCAAACATTCAGGAATCCATACAACCACTGACTGATTTAAACGCTTTTATAAACAACCAAGCAGACTAATGTATGTTTGTAAATGAGTTAGAACAGAACATGCATAGATCGCTTTATGTTAGCAGTTTCACAACAGCAGATGAATCGGTAAACGACTCAAACAGGTAATTTGTGAATTGTATATCTTCGATTACACGTTTTGTCATCTTAGTGTTCACTATCAGTTGTTACTCTCCCTTTTTTACTCTCCTTGTAACGGCAGAATACGAGCGACTTGGTAAAGGAAAGTTCATTTGAAATTTGGTATCTCTAGATAGCTAAATTACGTACACCGTTTCTGCAACGCACCATTTGCACAGATCTTCCATGTTGTGCCTTCATATTGTGTTTCTTTGTGTACCTTTCACGTCTCCCACGTATCTTTGCAACGCTATATCACTTGCTTTCTCTGACATCAAATCTAGTTCCCAGCTATTTGATGTTTTTATGTCGATGAACGTCTCCCTATATACTGATAAGTCTTATCAGTAGCACATATCACATCCTAAGTATTCAAAGTACTGCTTGACCTATTAAAGTTATGCTGCTATACCTTAGTCAATATCACAGTCTGTACTATTCATTCCATAAGAAGCTATAAAATCATGTACAGTAAAAGGTTTAGCAGTCCTACCGAAATTTATGAACCCAATACACTCTATCAGCCCCAATAACGTTCGGTGCTTGTTTGAAAATAAATGAAAATTTCTACATATAAGAATATGGATTGGATCCCAGTGGCTTGATGGTTTACGAGCAGGCCTTGTAACCGGAAGGTCCTGGTTTCGAGCCCCATTGGGTGAGTACTGCTGAAGTGCCAAAAACTAGGACGAAACAGCTGTCCAGTACTCCCAGATTTCACAATGGTTCCCTAACCAATGTCAGTTCATGATGAAATCCTGCAAACCAACACTTGAAAAAACTTATATATCATTCGAAGGGAAAAAATACACTCACCTGATTCAGGATGTTGAGCAAGTTCACCACCGAAAAGGTCTAAGAAGCTAATATTTGAAGGATCAGAATAATCACTGGATACTATTGATTTTCTCCTTCTTACTGTTGACAGCATTTTGGATTGATGAATTATAGGCAAAGGGAAGTTGGACATTTCCACGATGAGACGACAAATTTGTGCAAAAAGATCAATGAAACTAACTGATGATGTCGTAGATAATGACTGCTGTTCATACTTTACACGGAATTTTCCATCAGTCTCTTTTTCATTGGCACTTGTACATTCCCTGTTTACCTTCGATTCCTCCTTTATGATGAAAACATCGTCTTGGTGTTGGTCAATACAGATTTTATGCACAAATTCATTCATCTGAATGTGTCAAAGAATCAATAATGATGATAATAATCAGAAAATAAAACTTAGATAAAAAGAAATCGCAAATCAATAATTTGATAGACAAACAGGTATGTTAGGGAATAATGGAGTAGATTCGAAACTCCACACAGTAGCCACTGGCTCTATTATGCTGGGAATTACCTGAAGTTCTAGTGGGAAGCCGTGACTGATGAGGTTCACCAAGTGAGATAAGAGGACAATTAGTCGCTTATCGCTGCGCCAAATATATATAAATATATATATGCTCGAGAATTTAGCTAGTGATTGTCTTACATTGTCCCTTTGTTAACCATGCCGGATAATGTTCAGAGATGCGTTTGGAAAGCGTGCGCAAATGATCAACGGATATGTGAAGGATAAACTGCCGCTTTGGGCCACCTCTATGTGTGTTTATAAATTCACCTGCTCGTGTGGAGCTAGTTATATTGGCCGCACAAAGCGCACGCTTTCCAAACGCTTCTCTGAATATATATATATATATATATATATATATATATCGCGAATTGACAGAAGTTGAAATTGGTGGGCCATTGTTTCTAGTCCCAGTGGTTGAATGGTCTATGAGCTCACCTTGTAATCGGAAGTGAACCCTTGCAAACACGTGCTGATGAAGACTCCCAAACTAAGACGAAACAGCTGTCCAATAATCCCTGACTTTCCAATGGTTCTCTAGCTGATTTCAGCTCGTGATCAAACCTGCATCCAATCTCATAATTATCTATAATATCTTATTCACCTTGAGGATTAAGTGTTGACAATGTTGCATACAACTGGCACGCATCAGCATATAAGTCTACGCGCTGCATGGATGTGTATATGACAGCCACGTGGAACAAATAACCGTGAAATCTGTTACTCTTTAGTGACTAAACACAGCTTCTAATACGGATTTAAAGAGGTCATTGATGACCTAAATATATGAGTTGTAGTGTCTTTGAATGCAACGCTGGCTGATGTCGAAGCTGGTGTAGAAGCATCATATCTTTGGAGTTAGGAGATATGCCCTGTTGACGCTGGGCACTAATTCTTGACCATTAATTCGAAAAATCTAATAATAAAGAGCCCGTATTCATCTGTTTCATTTGTATCGCTTCACAGTATGTGGAAGCAGAAATTCTAGAAAGTCATGGGGTTACTACTAAAAAGTCGATAATGCGGTGGTTACATACACATTAAGAACGAAAAGCTCTAATTGAAGTAGATTTGATTTTAAACGCATTGAGAACATTGTGAATGTACATTTGATTCAATGTAGACAATGAAATATCCCATAAGCGTCTTATGATTCAAACATATATTCGTTATTCAAGACCATCATCCACCTGAGCTACAAATCTTCTCCATCATATCCAAATTTTATACTTACCTTACTTAGCTTATCCTGTCCTATGTGTCTGAATTCAACTCAACTTACGATATATATATATATATATATATATATATATATATATATATATTCAACTCAAGTGGATGCTTTTGATGTGAATGCGGCAGTATTGTTGCAAGTTAACAACCAGTCACGACAAAAGTTGTCAGAAGATACAAGCGTATCTTCCCAGAAGAACTCAGATATGTTCACTTCATATTGAAGTCTGAGCTAAAGATTTTGTGTAGAAGGACACTGAAAGTGTTAGGGCAGGCAGCCTATCGTTGTTAGCCTTGAAATCGTGATTGATGCATGCACAAATGTGACAACCTGATTGGGCGGCTCTCGATTGGTCTTTGTTCGGCTTCAATATCTGAAGATTTGTGAATTATATATACCCGGTATGGTTAATAATGAAACGTTTTTGCTGTTGTCCCAGTTAAATCTAACTTCCGTGCCTATCTCAGTGCAGGAAGTATTTTCAAGTGGTCAGGTGATTATAGTGTCGTGTATCTGGAGGCGTATTCTAGTCAAGTTAGACGACAATCACAAATCAGTAACACTCCACCGTCATAACAGAAAGATTCACAATTAAACCACACAGCTAAGCGAACGCAACCATATCAAAATAAGTTCGTATATAAAACCGAAACACTTCAATCTATAAGATGAAATTCTAATCGCAACATTTATCACTTGTGGTGAAATTTCATGCATTTATTCCCCTTGATGAATTTGAATAAAGCAAGAACGAAAGTGGTTTGTGCAGAATAATATGGTACCATCATTTATTTCGTAGGCTTCTCATTAGCTGCTTACAGCCTAAATACATAATGAGGTTTGCGTACAGAAAAGTTTTAACATACTTGCAAATTTTTTACATGTTGCCAGTTGACAAAAAGTTCCACAGTAAGTGAACAGTGCTCAGAAAATTGCGCTTATATAGTTTTTACACATGCAGTTCAAGTTTAAACAAAATAGATGTATGCATACAATGGTAAAGGAGTTACGTAATAAAGACGAAATATGAGTTAGATACAGAGTGACTAATAAATTAGGTAACAATGTACTGAGTTCAACTCAAATCATAGAAACAAGAGACAAGCAAAATTACAGAATATAAAAGCGGGTGAGGTTAAAGACAAAGATTACGTAATCAGATGAGAGAATAAAGACATTCAGTTACCAGGGCAAAGAGAGATTAATAACTGCTTCTTTCTGAACACATAAATCTGGTTTCAAGCGTTTGATAGAGATTGCTTCGGCAAACTTGAGGAGAATGGAACTCCTTTGTCTATTGATAAAATAGACAAAGGAGTTCCATTCTCCTCAAGTTTGCCGAAGCAATCTCTATCAAACGCTTGAAACCAGATTTATGTGTTCAGAAAGAAGCAGTTATTAATCTCTCTTTGCCCTGGTAACTGAATGTCTTTATTCTCTCATCTGATTACGTAATCTTTGTCTTTAACCTCACCCGCTTTTATATTCTGTAATTTTGCTTGTCTCTTGTTTCTATGATTTGAGTTGAACTCAGTACATTGTTACCTAATTTATTAGTCACTCTGTATCTAACTCATATTTCGTCTTTATTACGTAACTCCTTTACCATTGTATGCATACATCTATTTTGTTTAAACTTGAACTGCATGTGTAAAAACTATATAAGCGCAATTTTCTGAGCACTGTTCACTTACTGTGGAACTTTTTGTCAACTGGCAACATGTAAAAAATTTGCAAGTATGTTAAAACTTTTCTGTACGCAAACCTCATTATGTATTTAGGCTGTAAGCAGCTAATGAGAAGCCTACGAAATAAATGATGGTACCATATTATTCTGCACAAACCACTTTCGTTCTTGTGGTGAAATTATGAGTATGTAATGTCATCACATTCAAATGTTATGCGTTTACTTTTATCTCTATTCTTCATTTGTTTAAAGGTAGAAATGAAAGTGGTTTTCTTTGTTGTTCCATCAATTTAAAATTTTTAAAAACACAGGGTAATACTGACAAGTGTGTTGCAACGAACCACAAAAGACAATTGATTCAGATCAGCACCAAGAATAAAGGAATGTCCTTTTTCCATTCTTCCGTGTTTCGAGTGGAACGTAGGGCTTCTAGCCTTAAGCTTTGAAATTTAAGTGACGTTCGGATTGTTTTATGGACTGAGGTTGCTAGCCTCACGTCTAACCTTCCTCTTCATAGAGCTTAATACCAGCTAGGCAAGGCTTAGGTTCGTGTAGGCCAGGAATCGAACCCCTAACATGTGCGTGAGCATTCCATTACTGAATCCCCGACGCATAAGCCAATACATTAGAAATGAAATGTACTATAGTGATCAGAAGTACAAATTAGGAAATCGTCTCCACAAAACAATCCGGGTTATTTTAGAATACTGAGCAACTATTTTCATATACACCCAAATAAACAACCTGGTACAGTCGAGGGTGGATAAACTTCTATCTTTCCCTAAAAATGCACTCATGTGGCCACGAATCCTCAGCCTCTTTCAGGTAAGTCCTATTCACTAAAAAATGAGAAGGCAGATCCAGAGCTCACAGCGGACATGTAGGCCTACCTAGAGGAGATGAAAAATCCTAATTCCTAATTTATGGTGTACACGCGTTCTACACTCCGAAAGGATTGAATGGCGTATGAACCTGTTTTAGGTGCCGAAAACCATTGGAACGCAGCTCCTAATGCCGCTCCACTGCCTTGTGGATTAGGTATCAAGTCGAAGGGTGAAGGGGAGTCACTTATTAAGACAACCACTTGCTTCGGTCGAGGCATTCGGGCAGTATTCCAGCCCTCGCACAAACTATGAGATATTGTTTGGTACATTTCTTAGTGCTTATAATGTACCAAGCTTGTGTTTTAATAATAACTAAATCTGCATATATACTGAATTTACCTCACCAGTATCAAAAGTAGTTAAAAAGTACAAATTAATGAGAAGTATATTATCAATAAAAACTAACCTTAACTGGTGAAAAATTTAAAACATGCACACAAAATATGCCAAGAAAACGTCGAAATCGACCCACAGCTTTTGCTATAATCATTAACTCTTCAGAAATTTGATTATCCTCTGTTTGACGTTTAAAATTAACTGGAATTGACAATTGATCAAGCATTGTCACTGCATACTGTCATATATGTAGAGGCATAAACATATTGGTAAAATGTTGTCATTTTTTTTTTTGTTGTTAAGAAAAATATGAAAGAAGAAGAAGTGAAAAAAGGTGAAGAGAAAACAGGTTTAATTAGCTCACCTAAAAGAAGAAATACAGAGCACTCCGCGATCAATATACAAAAATATAAAAGTAAACTGCAAGAGGATTGCTTTTCTTATAACTGAATAGACTTAATAATGTGATGTAGTGCAATTGTTTAAAACGATTAGTAAATTATGCCGTATGACAAAACAAAATTATCGAAAAACTGCTAACGAAATAAGATACCCTGACTTTATATTATACACAACACATGATCTTGTAGTGTGAGTGTGTGTGTAGACTTAATTATTCGAACACAGGATATGAGCCACATTTCCTGTGTAAGGACTGATAACACTACCCAGCTACCTATGCTGAATTAGATGTGATACGGTTCGAACCCAGGGACCCGCTGGGTAGAAATCGAGGAGTTAAGCTAATGAGTGACGTCTCCACTGGTTTTGCAGTACTAGGAATGGGTCTAAATGCTACAGCAGATTTGCAGTAATCTGCATGCCACAAAACCATTTCGACAGATAGCCAACACTAAAGATGACTCAGGGTAGTGCATACACCAAAAGACCCCTTTTCATCTCCATGTTTAGATTTCGTCTGTAGCTAATCTATTATAACTAATGAAACTACTCGCTCCGTCCTCCTTTACGGTTGTGAAAAATGACCATTGGAAGTAGAAGACATGAAAAGCTTGGCTAGCTGTCTTTGATGGTAGGTGCCTATGTTCTATCTCCCATGTTAAGTGACATAATAGGGTAAGCAATATTGAGGTTAGGCGTCCAGTGAGTGCCAGGTAAAGAGGGGAAATCAACCGACGAAGTTGTGAAGCAGCTGCATCGATTGAAACGGTTAGGACATGTGTTACGTAAGCCTAGGCATCGCCTTCCTCAATGGGCAATGCTAGCTGACATAGGATGGAACAGACTGAAAAAGAGTTAATGGTGGTCAAACTAAAACACTGCATCGGTCTATGAAATCTTTGACTGCCAGTTTGAGCCACGTAGGGAAGCGTAGACTTCCTGGTTGGGGTCCTCGGGATTCTAAGAGACAATGCCTTGAGACTATCGGTGATGTGGCTCAAAGCTATTCTTCATAGCGCAGAGCATTCACTCTTTGTAATTTTGTTATACCTATTAAACCCTATTGTTTTTCCAAGCTGATATTCCTTTTTTCCTCACATTTCTGCTTATTATCGTTCTTTTCTACCTCCTTTCTTCTCTTTTGTGTTCCTCTGCTTCCTACATGAAGTATGGCAAATTGAACTGTTTAACTTATGTGCAAAGTTCTTATGTCAGTCAGTTAGACGCAACTCTCGAAATAAATCAAGTAGTCAACACATTAAACTGTTTTATTCTCTATCTTTAAGTTAGGATTCAATGCAGATCAATCCAGTAGTATTATTTAACACTAGACAATGGTGAGCCACACGGTCGGTCGGTTTTCGACATAGAACTTTGCACATATGTGTGGCAGTTCAAGTCGCCACACTCCCTCCTGTAGCACACAAAGCAAGAGAAGAAAGTAGGAGAAATGCATAATATAGACAGTAAACAGAGGTGTGAGACAAAGGAATAGTAATAACGGAGAACAAAACAGTTTAATTGGAAATCATAAGTCACAAGGAGTGGATGCATCTGCGCCACTGAGAACGATTTTGAGCCATGTCACCAATCGTTTCCAACCATTGGTTTTTACCGTCCCGAGGACCCCAACCAGGAAGTCTACATCTTCCTACGTGGCTTAGACTAACTGTTGTGGATTTCATTGACTGGTGCCATGTTTTCGTTTGACCGCCGCTAGCTCTTTTCCAGCCTGGCCCTATATCAGCTAACATTGCCCATCGTCGAGGAAGGCGATGACTAGGCATACGTAACACATGTCCCAACCATCTCAGTCGATGTAATTTCACAGTCTCGTCGACTGATTTCCCCGCCTTACCTAGCACTCGACGCCTAACCTCAATATTGCTCACCTTATTATACCACTTCACGCGGGAGATAGAACGCAGACACCTATGATCGAACACAGATAATCTTTTCATGTCTTCTGCTCTCAATGGCCAGGTCTCACAGCCATAAAGGAGGACGGAGCGGACTGTTGAGCAGTACACACGCCCTTTGGTCGATAGTCGGATGTCACGTCTACGCCAGAGACGGCGTAAACTGGCATATGCGAACCTAGCCCTCTGTATTCGTGCTGAGATTTCGTCGGAGATCAACCCGTTGGGGCTGATGGTACTTCCCAAGTAAGTGAAGTGGTCAACGTGCTCTACCACTTCACTTCCTATTTCTAATCTAGGGGTCGGTGAAGTCCAATCCTGCAGCATCATCTTACATTTTACAGGGGCGAATCGCATGCCAAACATACGAAGATTGCTGCTCAAGGTGTTCAGTAGACTCTGCATTTTGTCAGCGTCCTCGCCTAGAAGGACTATATCGTCCGCATATTCTAAGTCGACGAGATTATTCCCTGGCAGCAAGTCAATCCCACACACACACAGGTGAACCACACACTTCAAACGTATTTAGATTTTGCAATCAAGTGTTACAATTCAGTTGGCAGCGTACGGAAATAGTAGCCTACATTGGGAAAATTCAAACTCTCTAAGGTTAGTTATCAATCTCCAGCAGAGGTTTATATACTAGGTTGTGTGTCATAATCAATTTACTTCGATTTATGATAATAGCTAGCTGTGTCGGCCTACAGTAAACAAAACAAACTACTAGAACTTTGAATGCAATGTTTCAAAGTTCAGCGCAATGCCTAAGGCTAAAGCTTGACACTTATACAAACAGCAAACTATTGATCAGTTGTATCTTTTAATAGTCTAGTCAACAACTTAACTGATATTTTACTAATACATATATTTATTGTCGAAATTACCAAAAACCTACCTCTCGTATGTGATGTACAATAGTATCTAGACAACCAATTATACTAGCCCATTCTGATGGTGAAAGTTTACTTTCTGATGTATTTCGAATATCATGATGATAATTTTGATTATCTCCATAATTGACTTGAAGCTTTTCAATTAAACAACTGCTTAAGTGTGTAATTAAATCGGGTAGATAACGACCGCATACACTTGGATACATATCAATTGGTAAGCAGTTCAACAAGAAATGCACTATTGAACACCATTGACTTAATGATAACTTTAAGACTGGTTGTTGCCAATTCTCATGTACACCTGATGATGACAATGAAGTTTCTTGCTGCTTCATCGACGTGTTCCTCAGTAGTAAGTCAGTGAATTGACTTTCAATAAATCTCCATAAAAATTCACTGTTCATATTACTGAAAAACAGATGAGCTGTACGCAAAAATTCATCGACCACATTACTGCTGGCGGTATGATTTGTAGGTTGTGTTGAGTGCTTTTTACCAGTTGACTCTGACGATGAAATTGTATCTTCTCTATCCACTACTAAATCGTTTGTATCGTATTCTGAATTCGATGGATTATTTGATGACATGATATTTCTACCCTGGTTATCAATGCCTGGAATAAGCGAATAAATTATTATAGTTAGTATTTACTCGTAGACAACACAAAAATCAATATCCAAGTATTGGTTTGTAGGGATTCGATTGACTGGTTATGAGCTGACATTGGTTAGAGAACCACTGGAAAACCTGGGAGTACTGGAGAGCTTGCCTTGTGACCAGAAGGTCCTGGATTCGAGGCCCAGTGTGTGCGTAATGTGAAGAGTCCAAAACTGGGATGAAACAGCTGTCTAGTACTCCCAGGTTTTCCAATGGTTCTCTAACCGATATCAGCTCATGATGGAATCTTGTAACAAAACTCAATAGTTTATTATAACGAAGATTGAATTCTCACTGAATAGCATCACAGATTAGAAAGTATAATTAAGTTCTGATTCTTGTTAATGGAAACACCCAATTTACGAAAGAAAAAAACTATTGACTAGTTTCCTCATAATCTTCCTAACAGAGCTTGGACAGCCAATGACGTATCCATATCACTGAGATTGTACATACACCCTGTATAAACAGGGATCTATCAACAAGATCATGGATCTCATCTCGCTTTCTTCCTAGCAGTGCTATTTCAAAAGGTTGGTTGTTGGTTTAACGGGAAGCTTCGTGTCGTTCGTTACTGGACGAAGTTAAATAAAATCAAATACCTTCTCCGTTATTCACAGAATACTTTGTGACTTAAAAACCCCAGCTGAGATTGACAGCTCAAATGATAATAGACGTCTAAATCCTCATCCCCAACAGTCGTTTGGTCGCTTGGAGAACGCGATAGTCGTCAAGGTTTCCTTTGATTGTGTCAAAGCTGCATTTCCTAGTATTTTGAAGTTTTTAATCAATGTTTTAGGCTTTGTTTTTTAAAAGAGAGCTGATTTAATACTAGGAAGTTTTATTGTCTAATGTTACTCGTAAATGTTGTGCAGTGGGGGAGATTGAAGTCGTTGGAAGTGATTCCACATATCACACGTAAGAACTTTCTTTGTCTACTTAATTCTATGAAATTTAGGTTCCTTTGATAGATAACTTTGTTCGTCACTTGCATAATCTCCTTGTCCTTTCTGAAATATTCTTTAGTAACGGAAAAATTATTCTTTCATTTATTATAGTTCACCTTCCAACTAGTATAACTTAAGAGTCTTTAACTATGACGAAACAAGTGTCCAGTAGTGATCCAGAAGTTTTCAATTCCTAACAAAATCTAGACACCTATCAAAAATAAACATTGTAAACGGGGGAAGGCTTTAAAAGCTGCTTTACGGTGTGTGAGTGTGTGTGTGAGAATGCATAATACTATTAAGTCTTCAGACTGACCGAATCAATAAGTCCAGCTTAACACAGCTATCCAATCTTATGACAGTAATTAACAATTTTGTATCTTCAACTTGCGTTCTTTCTAGGACTCCGTATAGAGCAGTCAGAGATCTTGTCAGTAAGTTGTTTATATCACAACTGATTCCTGACAAGACTGAATGATACATGTGGATTGCTTGTTTGATGGTGACCAATACACGCTTGCTTAGTTCGAAGAAGTGGTGATTGAAATCTGTCGATTAGATGTATAAAACTGTAGCCGGTAACTTACTTAACAAAGGCTTGCAAAATTTACTCACAATATACGTTTGTTATTGATGAGTTTAAAGTTGGCTATTAGGAAAGTCAGACAGAATAAACTAGCATTTAAAATTCTTGTACTTCTTCAACTAAAATTCAACTGAAAATCATAATCACAGCGCTACAACACTCACTATAACTTTTATATCAAATATGAAAAGAGAGAGGATACCAATCCAGATGCAACGGACTAATCTTTGCAAGCAAATATAACAGTAAAGACCAGAAACAGTCACAAAGTAAGACTGCTGTTCAACTTTATCCAGTGATTTTTTACTTTTCAAACGTTTGCATTCCGTTTTTTCAGTGAACACTATTTACAAGTTTCAAATGGCTAGTTATTTCAATACAATTATTTGATAGTTATCATCCACAACATTCATAGAAGTTTACACTGGATATGCTCAAGTTTCCCCCAAAAAAATATGATAATGTAAACAGGCAAATTAGTGTAATAAATATCGTTATATGTAGATTATGGGATATCTGGGGATTTGGATTAGTTTCATTTCAATCGATAGATTTCCTCAAGAAACAACATCAGTAGGAGAGATTATTGGGAACGAGGAAACAATGGGAGGCTGTTTCATCTTATTCCGGCACTCTTCAGCAGTGAGCACCTATGACCACACTAGGGATCGAACATAAGATTCTTAAGTTACGAGACCAAACTAGTTGACTATTCAGCCGATTGGCCCAGAATTCAATGACCCAATGAATTCTAACTCTGTCAGCTCGTGATAAAGTACTACCCCCCTCAATGACTTTGATAAGCATTCACTTCACCTTGGCATATTGGACCTCAATGGTAACGACTTCACATTACAGCTTCAGTAGGTTCATCAATTAGCCAGCAAAGAGCTACAGATAGATATTTTGATTATGGGATTTATGTGAATCTGGATTAGTATAGTTTTAATAGTTAGATTTCGTCACGAAGCGACTTTAGATAGAGAGATTAGCGAAAACCGTAGACCACTCGGGGGCTGTTTCACCCCGTTCTGGGACCCTTCAGCAATGCGCAGTCATGACCCCATCATTATATTTAACAGGCAACTACAGAATTATAAAATTCAATTGTTTTTGATTGACATTTTCAACTCATATTGCTTCCTGAAATACTGTGAAGTTTTCTCTTCTTTTGGAGTCTCAAGAACATTGTGAACAAATGGGTTAACTCCAATTACCACAAGGCCAGAGCCCGCCTAATGAAGTCATTTAGCAGTCAGTGTTAATAATAACCAATACATTAAAACATTGAACAGGTATAACGAAAATGGAATTGATCTGTGTAGAAATCTAATGACACTGAGAAGTTATTTAAAAGCACCCTAGGAATGATGTTATCAATTGAATTAATCCCATGGGACATTATATGTTCTGTTTTATTAGTATCAATTAGTAACTGTTATCCCCTTTTTACTGGACAAAATCGAATATTACATACTTAAATATTCGTATTATGAGTAGTTATTGTTTCATGTAGGGCAATCGAGACAAACGAGATTCCTAACTTTATCAGGAAAACTAGGGTGGTATACGCCAATTTGAGCCACCTCTGGTGCCATCGTGACGTAAGCCTAGCTGTCAAACGTCGGGTGCGCACAGATTGGCTCTACACCTGTGAAACCTGGCCTCTCCGAGCTGAGGATGTGTAACGACTGTGTGTATTCGATCATCGCTGTCTCTGTAGAAATGCCTGCGTTTGATGACAGAATCGTGTGAGTAACTCTAAAGTCCAGCATCATGTGTTTGCACACAGTGGAGATCACCACTTATTGAGTGTCGTCAACTGGAAGCAACGGCTTCATTGGCTTGGTGAACATGTGCTAAGAATGTCAGTACAAGGCTTCTGTACAGGTCTCCGTTTTCTAGTTCTGAGACGGGATGTAATAGCGGAGAAGTTGTCAGCCCATGATGTGGCGTCGTGGCATCGAGAACATTTGCAGTAGGTTAGCATAGGTTGCTGCATCACGACTCCCTGGCTGGGGTTCGACAGACAGCTCGAATCGATGGCCCGAATCGCAGTCGAATATGGCCAATAATCGCAATCAATGGCGAACGTGCTGTGATTTCCTTCTTTCCTCCTTTTTTTGACAGAAATTCGATGAACGTTGTTTGATCTTGTTAGAAGTAGTTGCTTCCCTTGCGGATGAAGTTTTTTGTCCGTTCTCACTCTATTTCCTTCATATTTGTTCCTGTTTTATTATTTTTGGTGCCTGTATTGTACCAGGTTCTGTTTTAAATAATAATAATAAATAAATAATCGAGACTGTCTACACGATGGCTTGTACTATACCTATCTTTTCATATATCTTACAAAGTGCTGCTGACATTTAGGTTGACTTCCGGAGTTCTGTACAAATTACAATGACTTTTTAGACTGAGAACAATAAAAATAGTAACAAATTTAGCAATCCAAAATTCTATCAGTACTATTAGTTTCTTGAGTTCCAAATGGAAAGTAGAGGCTTCAGTAGCAAATCTTCACTTTCCTCTGTCATCACTTTTAACTGGCTGCATGACTGACCACAGGTTTCCACTTCCCCTTCACATGATCTCCTCCGTGTCACCCTCGGACACCCAACTCGTCACTTCCCCCATTCAGTTTCCATTTAAGGGTCTGGCGTGTAATATCACTCAACGGTCTTCTCAGTATATGTGCCCAATCAAAATTAGGCTACTGCTGCACACAGAACAAATATGCGTCAATAAAACTTCTAGTTAAATAGGAATAAAGGTTTCTAATAACCTTTAACCCCTTGAAATTCATCTTATTAAAGAATCAAAATTAGAAGTTACAATGATACGACAACAGAATGAAAGTGACTTACGTAAACTTGATGGCTTTGCACTATCCCGAATTAAAACATGATCTTTAATTAGACTGATCATATTGTTTGGCAAGAGTTTCTCGTTTAGACTAGGACGATTCACTAAATCCGATACAGTTAAGGTAGGATCACGACGTAGGCTAGACAACTGATTTGAATTCAACCAACATGTTGTCTGCCAACGTAATTTCATGTAATTTCTATACGTATACCATAAAATATCCAATAAGATACTATCTAATATTCCGTTAGTAATATCTGCATGATCAGTAAGACCAACTAAAACACGAAATGGACGTTCTGAAATACTACGCTCTATAACTAAAACAAAAACAGAAATGAAATGGAATGGAATCATAAATTTAGGATGGATGAGTGGGTATTGATAAGAAAAGATGGATCACACACACACTATTGAAGTTTTGAAGATAGGCTAATTAAGATGACTGTATGATAGACAGTTCGGGAACATACCTGGTCAAGCACACACCTAAGCGTACACAAATTTGTGTGAATCAAGTCTCAGTAGTGTGCAGATCGAAAAAACAAAAAGTAGTGAAATCTGCGGATCAATCCATTAATTGTTGATTGGTACTTTACCGCAGAGCTCATTGATTTCTTCACTTCAAGGTAAAGTCACTTGACAGACAAGAAGCATCTTGACGCTCAAAATTGAGTCACATCACATTGATATATACTTGATTTTTGAAACGTGCAATATACAGCAGTATGCTAGGAGAGTAGCCACCCCGCTTCTTATCCAATAGAATAACTGTTTCTGAATTCTTGTACCTACTGCTGATAAATACATCATATTAGCAAAGACACGATAACACTACACTTACATGTCATCTAAAACCTATATGAATTCTCCAGAAGTAAAACACACCCTGTTAGAAATACGAATGAAACACACAATTTTCTAATGACTTGATAAACGAACACCCATTACACGTCTGATGATCTGCACCTTGAAAGAGGAAGTCAGTAGTACTAGTCATTTAACTTGACACGATTATGCAGAGAAAATGTGTTTTTATTCACACTTATGATTCAGGGTAAAATTAAAACATTTGCTTACCTAAGGCTGAAAAATCTGATCCGAAAACAGATTTAGAGAAACAGCTTAAATTGTCTTCATTTGGTTGACAGGGGATCGGTAAACAAACAGGATTCTGGATCAAACGACGAACAGATTCAATTAAAATTTTTTGTGAATACACTTTAAAATAATGTTGAGAAGTGAAATTGTCGTCCATAATATTTCCATTCACATCATGAGCAGCCTAAAAAAAAATTAGCAAAATTAAATGGTCAAATCATTGAATATATGATTCACACTACTCATACAAGTATACTTGAACATCAAAATTATGGAGATTCGATGAGATTATTAATTCTCATTTTCATATGACTCAATGGGGATTTTTAATCGACTATATTCCTTTGATGATTTGAACACAGTCCAACTGACTATCTACAAATATAAGTCGATTTGAATGAAGAATGCACCCTTTTTAATAAATTCTCTTTACTTTCTTACAGTTATAAAATAAAACTTGTCATTATAATAATAGCAAGGTATACGGCGAACACGTTTGACTTTTTTTTTTCCTTCACGTTCCCCAGTGGAACATAGGGCTTCAAGCTAGTGGCTTGAAGTTTCTATAGCAGTGCTTATTTTACAGGATAGGGTTGCTAGCCTCATGCCCAACCTTTCCTCTTCACCAGCATTATTTCTGGCTTAGCGAGGTAAAGGAGCGCGTCTGTGGCCGGGGATCGAAACCCGGACCATGTGCATGGTTGGCGAGCGTCCTAACCGCTATGCCACACGTTTGACTACTGATTTAAATTCAGTTCATCGCTTTTTCAAAAATAAAAATACTATATATTCTGTTATCTGCGTTCGAACCCCAGTGGGTGCGTGCTGATGAAGAGTGCAAAACTGGGATGAAACAGCTGTCCAGTAATCCCAGGTTTTCCAATGGTTCTCTAACCGATGTCAGCTCATGATGAAGTCCGACCGAAAGCTGCTACCTTGACGTGGTGGTCGAGCTTGAACACCGCAATGACCCAACAAGCTATACTGGCTGAGACTTATATCGTTTGAGGTCCTACCATGCCAGAAAGGTTATTTGGATAGCGGTTAGACAAAAAGCAGTTACCCAACCCAATGCTATGACTCAAACTAAATCACAAAATACCATGTGGGATCGATCGGGGCCCGGATTAACAACGACCACGCTTTCTGCTGCCGGGTCACAGGGTAGAAAGTGATAAATACGCTACTGACACACCAAATAAAAAAGAACAAACAAAAACAGGTCGCGTGTGACCGGGCTCAAGCAGTTGTCCCTGGGCTCTGCGGTTACGCAACCAATTTCCACGGTGTGGGCAGCCGGGAAGTAACAATCGCCCTCACAATCCGAAATGCACGCGAAACCTCTCAGACATGATGAAGTCTAGTAACTAATTAATCGAATCCTTACAAACCAATACTTGAACTTGAAATCCATTTGATCTTAAATCCATAATCGTATTCTGTACACTAAAGCATGTGTCCACTGCACACCTGGCTACCCTCATCTTTCCTTTGTGTTCTTAGTGGAACAATGGGGCTTCAAGCCTGAGTCTTGAAGTTTCAACCTTCTCTTTTTACAGAGCTTACAACCGGCTCAGCGAGGTTCAGGAGTGTGTCGATCCAGAATCAAACCAGGACCATGTGCGTGGTAGGCGAGTGTTCTACCACTAAACTAAGATAAATCCTATTTCATTACTCCATAGATAGATTTCTTCAGAGTATAAACTGAAACCGACCCAATGTGTATATTAGAGATCTTTAAGGGTTGGATATAAATAACCCTAAAAAACGTATCTTCTGAGTCATGCCCCTATATCAACAAGAAAGCAGTAACCTAATTTCCTTCTTGGACAACACTAAAGGATGTATGACTTTATTAAGGTAACACGTGTGTACTTAATCCATTCGTAACAAAGAATGAAGAACGACAGTCTTATAAGGAGAATGGGATCATGTCGTTCACTACAAATAAGCCAGTTAGTGTTAGCCAAAACCAATATATGCATATCGGTAGTTCAGTGATAGAGCACTTACTAACCACTCAATTAGTTCGGGGTTCGATTCCCTGCTGACGCACTCCTAAACCTTAGTTAGCCGGTGGTAAGTCCCAGGAAAAAGGAAAGGTTGGGTGTAAGGCCAGCGACTCCAGCCCGTGAAAACAACACGCAGAACACAAAGGAATAGAAAAAACTAATGCATTCCAACTGAAATCCCTACTAGATTTCCAGATCAGATTCGAAGGAAGAGTTGTAAAACACAAACAGGTATTTACGAACAAACTACTACTGAAAAAAATTAACTACAAGGTCGTAAAAAGCAGCATTAACGCTTGTGAGATCAAGTGATTTCAGCCACTCCTGGCATAAAATTTAGTTTAAACAATATATTGTAACACTGAAAAGTCTACAAGAGTAACACTTGTTAATCTTTAGTAAACTATAATGCATAACTTACCATTAAATGTTCATTATCTTTTATATACATGACTACATCTGCCCATGTCATTGATGCTTTACTTACACCACCCTTGACATGGTTATCTTCCCCATTGACAACCATTCCCTCTACTAACTGCCCACCTCTGAGCCATGTAAATAAACGACGATTCAATGATGCATCACGACGTAATAAAATAGCCAAAGATGCTGTACACAACACGGCGAAATCTTTCATAGTCAATGAATCACCAGTAATAAATTGAAATGGATTTGAATTTGTCGTCGAAATGGAATGGAAGTGAATTGGTAGTGCTAATAGAAGGAAATCAAGAGCATCACGTTGTACCAGTAGGACACTGTCACCGAATAGACAACATAAACTTTCCACCTGAATAAAGGAATAAGAAAAAGAAAATAGTGAAGTTAGACAGAAACATAATACACATATATTTGTTTAAGTCGATTTTGTTCTTCCCATCAATTGATTAGACCAAAATATTCGACCTATGTTGAAGTGTCAGCTTCTAATATGGACGCTTCAATGATGTCCGCCATCATTACTGCACAAGATATGGCTCTCATGGTCCAAATAGTTTAGTGGATAATGCTTCGGCGTATGAAACAATGGGTGTTGGTTTCGCACCTCACTGGGAACACAGCATCATTCACTGGGGATAGAAGGTGCATTCAGATGGTGAGTCCCAGACAGGACGAAATGCGCATCCTGGATTCTGCTGATAGTCATCATCCACCAAATAGGAAAGATATATCGCTAATACCCAAATTTACTTATAGCCGATATGAATTTTAAAGAGATTGCACAGACCTTCAAGTAACGCATTCATATTCATCAAGAACAACTTTACAGAGCGAAATAAGAAACACTGCTGCTGACAGCCGTATACAGAGTTATCCAATAAGTTTTAGCCTTTCAAAAACAAACAGAAGAGATACTGCCAACATTTAATCACTAAGTATTAGGCTTGTATATCAATATACTAATTCGAATATCTTTGATCCTAAAAGTAACACATCAGTTAATTCTAAAGCCTTATTTTTATGCGGTCAAAGATCATTTTGAACTTCTGAAAGGCAGGAATTAAGAAAAAAACGATTAAATCGAAAAAAAACACAGTATTCTGTCGCCTTATTTTTCAAAATTAACAAAATCTAGTAGAAAGAAACCATGCGATTCAGTGAATGGTCCATTTTCTGTGAATGTATTTACTGCAGGTTGTACAGACTTACAATCTAACTGAAATTAAATAATAAAAGGATTATAACTGCAACATTTTGTTGATATGGTGTAGAGAAAATTCAAACTTGGATAGCATGACAGTTCACAGTAGTACATTCTGGCGTCCAGCTACTACTACTACCGGTCAATTTACTTAGTAATTGAAGAAGAAGAAGAAGAAAAACAACAGGACAGACTGAGTTGAAAAGCAGGCATACAACATACTTTTCAACTAAACTACAACAAAATGAGTACGAATAATTATTATAATAATAATAAAGAACCCGACAATATTCAAATAAAAAGATATCGACTACTATAATTTGATGAAGAAAAGAAATAAATAATAGAAGTAGTGATAGTGATAACAATAATATTAATGACGACATGCATGTCAAACATGCACAGGATAATGACAACACCAACAATAAGGAATCTAAATCACCATCAGTAGTACTTGCATACAAGGAAGAAACCTCGGAAACCTTACGCAGACTTCTTAACAAGGCAGGAATAAAAGTTGCATTCAAACCCCCCAAAAACTCAATTAGAAACAAGCTTTGTCGGTTAAAGGATCTTGCGTAGCCAATAAAACAAAACAATTTAGTTTATATAATACCCTGCAATGATTGTCAGGTCAAAGTAGTAGAACAGAGTCAGTCAGACTAGCGGAGCATAAAATACCTAGCTAAGTCTAGATTAGTTGACCCAAATAAGAAATCTAGAGAATAGTTCAGCTATAGCACTCACTACATGCAATTACACACAACCATACAATAGGATGGGATAAGACGACAGTTTTAAAACCTAATGTACCAGAGTGGAGAAAGAGATTGATAACGGAAGCTCCATTTGTCGAATCAACTGCAAACATGTGTAATAAGAATGATTCAAAACCTGTCCACTCGGACATCTTGAAAACTATAATACCCCTACGACAAATAGGAGAGAATAAAGAAAACTATAAAACGAAAGTTTCGAAGTTGTGTGATTATAATTGATATGATAATGAACAATAAACTGTGTTCAAAACGTCGTTTCACTGTGTGATATATCTAATAGAACAACACAGTTAAGCGAACAATATTGTTTTCAATTAGATATCACTAGGTTACACAAGGGAATTCCCAAGTCCAATTGCCTTTAGGTGATTTCTTGACAAATGTAATCTACCGTTTCCATAAGTGGCACATTCGTGAATAGTGATGATACATCCATGGGTAACATGCGTTTATACCTTACATTAGTCTCGGATATTTTAGAAATAAAGTCGAAGACATCAGTGAAGTGGTTAGTGAAGATTCTGGGACCTTTGCACAAAGAAATCGGACGACATAGGATTAGTGATGTCTTCGACTTTATTTCTAAAATATCCGAGACTAATGTGAGGTATAAACGCATGTTATCCATGGATGTATCATCACTATTCACGAATGTGCCACTTATGGAAACGGTAGATTACATTTGTCAAGAAATCACCTAAAGGCAATTGGACTTAGGAATTCCCTTGTGTAGCCTCAAAGAATTACTCCTTAAATGCACAAGGAATGTGCACTTTGTCTTCAATAATTCATACTACCGACAAGTAGATGGAATAGCTATGGGTTCATCACTAGGCCCAATATTAGCTGACTTCTTCCGCGCAAAACTTGAAAACGGGAGATTGAAAGATATCATCAAGGAGTTTGATATGTATTGCCGTTATGTCGATGATACATTTATCTTAACTGATGGGAATGTAAAACATTGACGACATCCACCCTTTTCTCACTTTTACTTGTGAAGAAGAGCAGGATAGTAAACTATATTTTCTGGATGTCTTGCTAAGTAGGCGAGAAGATGGGTCACTCGGGAGAAGCGTGCATAGAAAAAGCACATTCACAGGGCAATACACACACTTCCTTAGTTACGTGCCCATTAAATATAAAAGAAATATTGTTAAATGTCTTACGAGCAGAGCAAGAAAGATATGTAAGGATGACCTCTTACAAAAGGAATTTGAATAAATTCACGATTCCTTGACGAGGATGGGTTATCCTAGTAGTTTCATAAAAAAAAAAACATATGAAAACATCAGAGAGAAAACCTGAGACTATGACTGCACGTAAAAAACCTCAGGATTACTCACACTACCACCACAAACACTGAATTAGACCTTGGTAGACTTTGGTACTTTTTCGCATTCATAATTATTTTGTGTTTATCCTGTTTTTTTTTGGTTTTTTGTTTGTTTGTTTGTTTAATACTTATTTTAAACGTCGGTAAAATTAGATGCAAATATTGTAGATATGTGCTGAAAATTCCACACTGTACCACTAGTACTGTTTCTGGAATAAAGCAAATTATTATTATTATTCGTTAAGTTACAATTTAATGGTGACTTATCAGGTGAGATTTTATTCCAGAGACTTTCCAGGAGTATAAGACGAACGTTTTACGCAGCATACCTATGTTTGTAATTCTCTAGCCAACGAATGATTGTAACGCAAATGAAGGATAAGCTAGATAGTTTTGTCACACCTATGTGCATTTATCAATTCGACTGCACCTGCGGTGACAGTTATGTTGGGCGTACTACTAGACAGCTTAGCCAAAGTGTTAGTGAACATCTCCCATCGTGGTTTGGCAAAGGACAGACAAAAACAATCCGTACCTCAATTTTGTCACATTTAGTCGATAGTGGTCATGTAGTGGAGAAAACGAGAGCTTTCAAGGTAATTCACCCTATCCCACCGAATCTTCCCAGTAGAGTTCGTATCCATCTACTGCACACACCCGAGGCGATAAGCATTCTAACTATTAAACCTAAACTATGCATTCAAAAGAAGTTTGTACAGCCATTATACCTCCCTTGGCCTATTAAGACATAACCAACTGATGACTTCTACACTACTCATTAGTTATATTTTCAACCCTCTCTTATCATCCCTTAATTTTATCACACCTTCATTCAAAACATGTTTTATTTACTTCCCTTACAATCAAGCATCACTTAATCGGTTCATTTGTTTTTCTTAGCCTTTATCGACTACTTCTACCTGAACATTTGTTTGTTTAGTCATGCTTGTTATCACAGATCGCTTCACTTTTTCATCCTTATTATTGACAGGACTATTATTATTATTACCATTACTACAATTATGACTAACTGCACAATTTATATTCACCATCTTATCATCCTATGGACAAAACATCATGATTGGTTTACATTTGAATTTTTATTTGTCAAGTTATGTATATTAGAGTTAAGCCTGATGAGATCTAATTGAAAGCAATATTGTTCGCTTAAATATGTTGTTCTAAATTTTACTATGGGAATATTTAATATATCTAATAAACAAATTAATATGGAAAAGAAATAATAGGTGAAAAAATGACTGGCCTTAGTTAGATTTATTAGGTTATGCTCTCGGTTTAGAAAGAAAAATCCAAATAAAAAGGAAAATTCAAACTACACAGAATTCGTTACTATAGTGATTGGGTGAGTACAATCGATGCACAAATTCTGTTTACCGTTTAATTTCGATGTAATCCCAACGGCAATTTTCATGTTATATTTTTTGAATAGATAGGGTACAATTAAGAGGGAGAGATGATAGGTGAATTAGAGAACAGTAGTAAAATTCAGAACATGCATTTCCTCCTATTTCAAACCCGTCAATTGGTTACACGTGTATCCCAGGAAGTGGTCAGTTAGGAAGAAACACGAAGTGAATTTCTTCCTATGTATCGGCAACTATTAATTAAATGTAAACTAATACTAAATGAGAAAACATATGACAACTTTTTTGTGAATACCTCCATGGTGTTGACTAACGAGAAAATGTATTGTATGTTGATTTTATTGAGCTGGTAGTTGAGGGGTAGAATACCTGCCAACCACTCACGCAGCCCCGGGTTTGCTTACCGTCCGAAGCACTCCGAAACGTCGCCTAGCCGGTAGCAAATTCAGAGTAGAGGGAGGCTTGAGAATGACAACCTCGGCTTAAAACGCCTGAAGCCCAATGTTCCACTCGGAACACAAAATGAATGCAAGTGATTGTTGATTTTAGTACTTCATTCGCTTCAACTTGTTTTGATTGTACTTAATGATTATTTTTCACCATCCTAAGTAGGTAAGCTTTATGTAGCGTATATATTTGAACCACTAATACAAAAGCGCCAAAATATACCTTAAAACCATCCTGTTTGTATCCAATCTACCTTCATCAGTCTATTTCACGGTATTGGCAATGAGGCGCCATCTAGTCTTATGACAAAAGAGAAAAAGATAGAGAGGAGAACGACGGCACTTATTCTATCCCGTAAATTACTCCTTTTACTAGATTTAAATTAGTCATGTGACCATGCAACCTCGTTTCGTACCGCTCTGACTGGCCTATGTCTTAGCCTCCGTTATATAGTATCCTTCATTTGTTTTGATTTTCAAATGTTAGCTTGCAGGGATTTGATTGGTTTCATGATTTCATCATGAACTGATATCGGTTGGAGGACTATAGGAAAACCTGGGAGTACTGGACGGCTGTTTCGCTAGCCTAAATTGAGACTCTTCACCAGTACGCACCGAGGACTTCCCGACTATAAGGCAAGCTCGTAGACCATTAAGCCACTGGGAGGGAAAGGGCTCTCGAGTGGTTGCGCCACAGGATGATACTGCATGGTGGTCTCGTCTCGTAAGAGGTAGTGTTGGGTCCTCCTGAAAACCAATATCCAGTCAATGGGTGTACCACTATGTTTTGATTTTGTTAGTGAAAGTGTAACATTAGTAAAGTATCTAGAATGTTGTTACTTTATTACTGTTCAAGTTGTGACAACAAAAAAACAACATGTATTTCAATAATTAATAACAACTGAAACGACAATAGGCGACTATAATTTAAAGTATACTTACAAGAATATTTTTATCCAATCCATAGATATAACTTTGAGCTTCTAACGGTTTACGCCTATTTAGATGGCTAATAACAAATGAAATACCATACTGTCGAATAGAAGGAGACTGAATTAAAAGCTACAAAAATAGATGGAAGAAAAACAATTTCCAAGAAGATAGTCAGCATTCAACAAGTGAAATTACATAAATAGAACTTGAGCACGATAAAAAATTTCTCAAACAGAATGTAGCAACACAGTAACTTAATGAACATGTATAAAGATCAGCAACGTATTCATCTTTACTTATTACGAGATTATAAATGTGATACTATCCAAAATATCGAATTCCAGCGAACGGAATTGTTCCCTATTTATCCGTCTATGGTTGATAGTTGAGTCTAGAGGATTAGAGTTACAATTAAGCTAAAAAGCTAAAGACATCTTGCAGTACTCATCACCGAAATCATAAATACCGTCGATGGTAAGTCAGAAGTAAAATTTGTATATTATCTTGAGTGAAGCAAAATGCGATAGTGCAGTATGCTATGAAGGCTTGGAGTGTTAGATTATGTCTTGTCGTGAACAGATGTAGACTGTCAAATAATGCACTTAAACCAGTATTAATAGCAGCAACAACAACAGCAGTCGTAGTGATAAGCACTTCTATCTGTTAATAATATTAGCAGCATCAAATCTTGACTGCATAATTGTAAAGTCAAAAATAAATGTAGGCGTAATTCATTTTGCATTTAGCAAAATCTCATTGTATAATTCGAAGATTATATTAAATAAGTAATTTCCAGTTGACTTAATAACACAGGTTAACAGAGGCATAAACAACAACTGTGACTATCTGACTTTGAAGTGCAACAGAGAGGAAATAAATGATGTTATAATACAGCTGACTATGATGAAAAGGTGGATGAATTTCACGTTGATAAGTTAACAGTTACGAAATTAATCGTTTAAGACTACTAAATCGGAATTATTTTAACATGTCCTTTAACTATTTGGCTACCAAAAACAGAAACAGTGTATTCAGATGATCAAACCTCCTAATCACCTCATTTCGACCGGGGAATATTGGCAATCAACAACCACTTATGTTAGTTGGGGATATAAATCGTTCAAGATATGCTCAACCCTCCGTAAAACACTAGGTAAATCTGAACAATCAAAACATTACCTTCCACAAGCATGTATAAAAGAATGCTGGTCCCACAGAGGTACTAAACATTTCTAGCATTCGATTACCACGTTCGAAAAATTCCGCTCCTGGTTCCAAACCCGGTAACAAACCCTAAGGTAATATAATATAATTTTAAAAATTAATATCATATTTATAAGTTATAGAAATATACACACATATTACGTTACAAATTTTAGATATGCATAAAACAAAATCTTGAGTCCAAACCAATAGGCTTTGCATAATCTACTTATAACTGCACGCATTAGTCTACAGGACCAGCTATGCACTTGCCCAAATTCATTTGTTTTAGAACTGCAGCTTCGCAAACCCAGCATTCACTTAATTTATCATGGGTTCAAAACCCTGTTTCAACTAACGAATATTTCAGCAACCACTATCTTCACACTTTATTTGTAGCTTACTATCCACAGTAAGTCTGTACATAGAGACTGAGACAACAAAATGAAGATGTAAAGGCATAAGGACAGCTTTAAACCACTCATATTGGTATCAATAACAAATAAATAGCCCCACTTTACTATAATGTTTAAGTATAAGCATAGAATGCGTTATAGATCGGGAAAATCAGACTATTAAACAGACAAAAAATGACTACATCCAGTATATTTCCACCCGGAATTAGATTGACCGACTGAATCTGACTGATTGAGCATGAAATAAAAACCTGAGTCACAACAGGATTTGAACCAGTCGCTTGCAGATTACTATCCCGGCACCCTACCTACTCAACTATGAGACCCAATTGCAATGGACTGAATGTTATTTAAACACCGAATGGGTGAAGAATAGACATTCTTGCAGTAGGTCATAGTGAAACTGCCTTCTAATGATTTCAATGTTGCCTTGGAAGTTTTGCTTAACCTAATATCACAATATTGACTATACAGCTTTTTGGACCTACTACGGCAAACTTATAACAATTCAAGTCTTTCCTTATTTTAACTTAACTAATTCTATACTGTTTCCTAAGTCACGTTAGAGTTTTTACTTTATGTGTACCGAGTTGGCTAGACTTGAAGACTACGAACTTATAAGTGAATTGGTGTTATATAAATTCACAATTTCCAAAGCAACTCAACAAACGCACATAAGTTTGTGTATTACACCATATGTCTGCATCTGTCGTATAGGAACTAATGTAATCGAACACTGGAAGATCTCATAGTGTTCAAACATGTGGCCAAAAGTTAGAAGTAAAGCATTTAAGACAATAAAGCACAGTTCCGCAAGCGTATAATGGAATTAAATGTGTATAACATCTAAAGTCTGCTCGAAATAGGTTTGAAAACAGCTGGCATTTCAAATGACTGCTCAATAAGCTTTGAAAAATAATATTATTGATGTAATTAATTTCATATTTGTCTGAATAATACATATAATCAAACGCATTTTAAAATGGATGTCTACCACACAAAACTAACTGAAAGTTTAAGAGACATACGCACTATCTAAGTTCAAGATACTACTTAATTACATAAATTGTTACCACATGGAACTTATAAAAGTGGACATACATCATAATTAAGTATTTAAACGACTGTTATACACTTCGAAAAAACAATTCATACAAAAACAAACAATTTAATATATGTGATAATATGACGAAGAATAACTAAGAATTCAAGCGGCATTGGGCAACTGAACTTTTACTACGTGCATTTAATGACATAAATAATAAAATACGTGCCAACAACTCAATGTACCTTCAAAAGCCCTAGAAATGGTGGATGAAGTGATTTCCCAAGAGGAAGTAAATGCTCCTCATAGATGTTAAATAGTGGCGGTTTAACTGTCATAGCAGATGGTTCAAGAAGTGCGAATAAGCCAGAACCGTAAATAGGAAGATCATTGGCGATACGTTCAGGTCCCAAAGTACGAAAAATTACATCGTAGCATTCCAGAGCTTTGCAGTGAACACCAGCAGGTAGAGCAGGATGAAGACATTGAGCAAGGCGTTTACCAATAACAAAACTTCGGGGTATGTAACCAGATTTCGTGTTTGACTGAATAACCTACAAATAATTTAAGAATAGACTGAAACAAAGCATTTCGCTAAGATTTGAATAGATGAATAAATTTAAGAGATTTACAGTTAGTCATATTCAGCGTATCTCACCATAAATGTCTAGTGACTAAGGCATATTTTTCGGAATACACACATGCACTTACTGGCTGGCTGGCTGGATTCAACATAGAACTTGGCACCGAAGTGCAGCAGTTCCAGTTGCCACGTTCCAAAGAGCACACAAAGGAAATGAGTGAAGAGAATCAATAGGGTTTTGACAAGTATAAGAGTGAAACATAATGCTTCTAAGATATGTTGTGAAGCACAAGGTCACTGGTTATAAGCCAGGAAGATAATATTGGTTTTCTTACACAATATTCCATAGATCGGAAAATCAGTTCATATCTTGTAAATAAGTTGAGGTGAAATAAGCATCAAAATATATTTTTAACAAAATGGTACAATGATAAATAAGTAAATACAGAGTACTACTGAAGATAGAAAACAAACCATCATTTTACACTGCTGTATCAGGAGTATGTGTTGCGTTTTTCTTGGAAGATTAAACATGTTGTTTTCTTTGTTGTGTTCAAACTGCTTACTCGCAAAATCAAGGTGTGATTTCCTTGTCACACCAAAGATTATTGCTTTCAATCTAACGACAGGCAATTGGTGCAAGAAATGTCTATTTCCCACAAGAAAACAGTATATTTGCCAAACTGACCCATAAATAAAAGCTTGAGATTAACCCTTGATCTGTAAAAAGCTAGCTTATATTTAGTAGTGACGTTTATGAAGCTTTGTCTTACCAACACTATTTAATACCGAAATAGGTTAGGACATGGACGCATTTTATAAAGTTCAACATCAAAAGATTTTTAACGTGTGAAAACTGATGACAGATTTTAAAACAAAGCCACATTACTGTGACCTGTTTATTACTATTTCTTGGGTTTCAACAACGCATCTCCACTCTCTTCTATTTGGTGCTGTCCTCTTCAGCTGGGCACACGATTGCCCACAACCTCTTATCTCCTCCTCATACGATCTCCTCTGTGTCACCCTCGCATTGACGACCCACTCGTCGCTTCCTATTGGGATTCCACACGAGGGCCTAGCGCGCGACGTCATTCAATGACCTCAACGTATGCCCAATCCATCTGTTAATTAGTGACCTTGTAATATATTTACCAAACCTCTCCCCGGAAAAACATCTCTAAAACTAAAAATAGTTTCGTCTGAAGTTCAAAAGACTGCAACAAACAACTGACAGGTTCACTCAAAGGCACTTAGAGCAGGAAGCGTCCAATACTTGGGAAACACCAAGGTGATAAAAATGGAACAGGAACAGTTGTGTTCGAGCCGATAATTCTCTGGTCGAGTCAACTGCCTAATTCATTAAGTCACGAACCTGCGATTCACCGTATGAATAAATAGCAGATCCATTCTATGAGTAATTATAATTCCTTAAGGTATGTTGTGACACCAGACAACAAAAGTACAGAGTATGAAGACACTTAGTATTTGTTTTAACCCGAAAATACCACATCTATCTGGGTTTTGAGGCAAATGGGACTATTATTTGTCTGGAAAAACTCAAAATATATACAGTTAAGGTCACAATAACAAAAAACACTAGTAATTCCGGAGATTTCAAAAAGTTACCACTAGTTTAGTGTCCTCTTCAACAGCCACGTAAATGCAAAAATCTAATCATTCACGCCCTTGGTAACTTAAATAATCTGTCAAAATAGTTAAGTAGTAGTTAAGTATGGGCTAAAGCCTATTGCGATTACCAATTAAAACTCAGAATGAATACCAGAAGGTTAACACATCTTACTTTAATAAGGCGTCCAAGTGCAGATATGAGATCAGCCCATTCTGCAGAATATTCGAAACTTTTCAGTGATTTGTCGACTAAAGCGACGAAACTCTTATATTTAGCATCCTTTAATAAATCCGATTCGTCCATACGACCTTCACATTCAAATTCAGCAGACAAACTTATGGGTAATATTGCATGAAAGAAACATTTCAGATTTATTGGCTGAGGGTAGAAGGCTTGGAACCTATGTTAATCCTTTTCTGTGCTTTCTCAAACCCTTCTTGAATGAATCAGGTGAGGTTGCAGACACTTCTTTTAGGAGTCGGTCCCAAGAGTTTATGACTGTGTTAGAACCAGTTCTCAAATGCAGTATGATTTCTTCTTGGCTTTTGAACACTCGTGCTATGTCCTCTGAGGTGTTCCGACCTGGTGAGAAGGAAAAGAGAGAACAGGTCAGGTCCGTAGTCATTATTTAAAATTTAAACATTGTAATTTAATCTCCTCTCTGTCTACGGTATGACAGGGAGAAGAGATTTAAACTTTCTAGTCATTCCTCGTATGATAAGCTAGTCATGCCTAGAATCATACGTGTTGCCTTCCTTTGAACCCTTTCCAGAATTTTTGAGTCCCCTTTAAGACAAGGAACTGCGGCCTAGATACAATTTCCCGGTCGTTACCTCACCAGTGATTCTAGTAACGGCTCTGCGAATCACCCATAAGTATCTGAAACTGCGTGCAGCCACCGCTCGACAGTGTGCCGTAGTTTTTAAATCGTGACTTACTATGACACCTTGATCCTAATGAGTCTGAACTGATGGAAGTGTTATTCCCTCCAGTTCTGCTTGTCCGATGAGCATGGTTGAACATTTCGCTACATTGATCCAGAGCATCCATTCTCCTGACCATCCGGACAGTTTGTTGAGGTCTTCTTGCAACATGAGCATATCACTGTTTCCTTTTAGCTCTATCCAAATTTTTTAGTCATCGGCATATAGGACTATAGGGGAATCTGTGAGCAGAGATAACTCATTGATATACAAAATAAATAGAAGACGGCCGAGTGCTGTGCCTTGTGACACTCCGCTACGCGCTATTGTCCAGGAGGAGAGTTTCGAGTTGATCCTGACATGTCTGATATGTCAATATTGTCAACTACCTTGGAAAATTGACAGCTATCCTTCAGGCTATGGGTTGCAAATTTAATTTGAATTGGCTCTATTGAATCAGCTAACCATCGAGCTAGCTTGTGGCATGGTGAGTCAATCATTGACAAGATTGGTCTTAAAGGCACATTTGCTTTATGGATTTTTGGTTGGCCGTACATAGACAGCAAGCGTCCGCATTTTGACTTGAGTTTATTGTATGTTTCGCTGTCGATTAGTTTCTTCATTAGAAGTTCTTTGAGACATTTATTTGCGGTATCTTCAAATGACGTTGTGGCATCTTTTTTGTTGTCTACTTGGAATTTTTCTTTGTCGTTTAGAATTGTCTGCATTTTATGTATATAATCAGCTTTGCTCATTATAACAACCCCAAAGCCTTAATATGACGATTTCATCGTTCTCATGTAGTTTCTTCAAAGATATTCTATGCTTTTCGGTCAGCATTTTCTGCTTGTCCATTGGCGATATGTGGTACTGGTTACCAATATCAACAAGTTCAGACTTGAGACATCCCCTTTAAGGGTTTCAGGTCATAGAGTTGGTGGTATAAGTGTTCGAATTGTGCTTCTGTGTCTATACGACTGATGTGCTTCTTGAAGACGTGAAACTTGAAGCCTAGAGATCAGGCTTCTAATTCGATTTTGCTTAATTGTAATTTTGATAGATTACAAAAGTAGCGTTAAGATGCTTCCGAGAGTTTTTCAATTAGCTTTTCTTTCACCAACGCTTTCATCAGCTGAAATTCATAATCCTCGGATGTTTTCGACTGTAGTTCTTTGATAAAATTCGTGAATTTAGGCCAGCAAATAATATTAAGCTCACTCAGTAGGGTATCATAGGTAGCCAGGCGGGATTTCATTTCGAAGAGGTGCTGGTATGAGGATTCGATGTGAGATTTTGTTGTTCGACGAAGATTCTTTTGAGAAGGTGGGAGTTCAGCCGATCGCACTTGTTTCAGGAACTGCCATGGGAAACAACCTGTATGCAAACACTGTTCATGGAACCTGATCTTTGTTGATTCTCTACAGATTTATACAGAAGTATAGGAGAAAAAAATATAAGAAAGAAAAACACCTAACTGCTCAAAAGAAGAAAGTGTTTATTTGTCTCCCATTCAAAGGAGATGCAGTGTCACCAAAGATTGACAAAAGAGTGAAAGGTGCATTAAAAAGAAACTCCCCCGGTAGCAAAACTCATAACATTATACAGCATGACTTCTTCTCTAAGCCACTCAAAACTGGGTAAATACCCTGCTGACATCACCTCCAACTGCGTTTATGAATTTACGTGTACTTGCGGGAGCAAGTACATTGGAAGGACGGAAAGAAGGGCTTGCATCCGGTTTTCTGAACATATTCTTAGAAACCTTTGCCTAAAAGGAAGCAAATATTCTCAGAGCGCAATTACCAGGCATATTGTTGATACCAGATATCTCGTAGAGATTTCTAAGTCCTTCAATATATTAAATAGACAAAGAACAACAAATTTACTACGATTTGCCGAATCAGTCGCAATCAAACGATTTAAACTAGACTTATGCATACAGAAAGATGTGTGATTAACCTCTTATTCCATACCGTCGCTTACAACAAAACGGCTTTTATTTCAGAAAACCATACACATACCATCTCTGCCACCAGATGCTTGGTTGGATTATATTCAAGGTCTCCTTTGACGCGGTAGGTCACACTGCTGGATCCACTTTCAAATTTTATGCCGGCTGACCAATTTCACATTCAGTTCCCAGACCTGAGTGGAATTTTACTACCTACTAGTGTCTAGTGATTTAAGTACTTAAGCATTACTTGTGTAAAGAACTGATATAATAGAATTAGTAATGTAGAACGACTTTAGCATATAATCCCATTTTAAGGAATCATATCATTTACCAAACTACCATGTCTGCACAGACTGCATGCTCAAGAACCGTTTTTTACTGACGTTCCAATAAGTCACACGAGCCATTCGTATCTTTTCATACCTGCTGTCATAGCCACTGCGCAAAAAGCCATCAGTGTAGAGACAGAGCTGCAATGTTCACACCAAAATCCAAAATAGTTGAAGGAGCTTCAGAATTTATTGTTCTAATTAACAAAATGTAACTTCGCCTAGTTAACTAGCTTGCTAATTTTTCAGTCAGCTCCAAGCCTCGGTAAAGAGGGGGTTTAGATGTAGTGCTAACAATCTTACACCACTAAACCTATCAAACCGCTAGAGAAACTTCAACACACAAAAAATGTATTCAAGATGCAAAGAATTCAAAGAACGATCTTATTCTTGGAGAAGCGAAGTGACACAGAGGGCTGGTGGAAGCCTGCGGAAAGCCAGTCAGCCAAATCGTGTGTCTTCCATCGATGAAAGCAAGAATGAGAATGGGGACGTGGAATGTCCGTACAATGTATGAGGCTGGCTGTTATGGATACCGAGGTAGCCAACGAAATGCGAAGATATGGCTTCGAAGTACTGGTTATCTGAGAGAGCAGATGGAATGGATGTGGAATGTCAAAAGTTTCAACTGGAGAGTCAGTATTCCACTCCGATCTGATCACCCAGATGACAACCACGAGCACACTAATGCAGTAAGTGGATATAATGATGTCACCAGTAGCAGCCAGAGCCCTAATGCATTGGAACCAATTTCATCCAGGATTATGACTGCGAGATTCCACTAAAAAGGAAAGAAGGTTACAATTATCCAGTGCTTCGCACCCACAAACAGCTCGGAATCAGACAAGAAGGAAGACTTTTATAGACAACTATAATAAGTAATGGATAACACCCGAAATGGTAACATCAAAGTCCCCATGAGCGTTATTAACGCCAAGATGGAACCTGATAATACAAGAAGTTAACTCATTTTGTGTCGACGGGGTCTGGTTCGGAAAAATGAATGAAAACGGAAAATTATTCGCAGACTTCTGAGTTTTCAATGATTTGGTGATCGTAAGCAGCGTGTACAAGCACAAAGATACACACGAAGCAACATGAGTTTCGACTGACGGACACACCACGAACCGGGTAGATTTCATCTCAATAGTGCTCAAACAAGCGGATACGCAGCCTGTTGGACACGAAGTTGAGAAGGGGAGCAGATGTGGCTTCAGACCATCATCTAGTTCAAGAAACCCCCAAAATGAAGCTGAAATACTGCGGAACAACTGGAGATAGACGACGATTTTAGTTCAAGATTCAGAAACTGAAGGACAAAACTATAAGGGATGCCTTCACTACAGATCAGGTCAGAGCAAAGTCAGAAACATCACGTGGCATCACTGAGGAAACCTGTGTGGAAGAACATTCGGTGCTCTCTGAAGGTGATGTTCAAAGAAGCATGTACAGATGTTCCAGGGGGAATGAAGAGACACGATGAAAAATGGCTCTCAATGGATACCTGAAAGCTAATAAAAGAGAGGCGGATGGTAAAACAGAATGGTGATGACTCAATGCAAAGATGAACAATACTGGTTTCTTAACTAAGATAAATGCTCACTGCAACATATTCTAGTACTTTGCTGGATTTGAATAACATCGTCGTGATCAGGTGCCTAAGGACATATGAGGTGTGCGTCATTTTGGCCCATTATTCAGTTTCTTTTCACAAACTCCCCGCTTTTTACTGTTAATCTGAGGCCACATCATGTGCGTTTGTACAACGGCAATTCGCGGGATTATTTTGGAATAAGATAGACGTTGTGTCCGACATCTATTAAAGCTGCGGACGTAAGGTTTAGAAGCGGTTGCTATACCACTTAGGCAGGAATCATCGATGTCTGCAAATAAGGGCTTCAGAGCATATTTCTATTTTGCCCCAGACGCAAACAGAATCTTCAGAACCCAATAATGGTGAGAACAGGAGACCTAGCTCCTCTATTGTGAAACATATTATAGAGACAGGACATGAAATTGACGCTTAAACATCTTTTAAACCTGTAATGAAAGAAGGCAAGAGTCAGGCAACAGATCATTTATTAAGGAAATCAACGCATATTTATATATTTCCATGTACATTACTATGGATATTTAAGTAAACAAACACAGTCTTCCGATTGGTTGTTTCTCACGTAAAGTTAATCTTTCATCTATTTGTGACTGTTTCTTGAATGTCAAATCCTCTATATGTTAACTGCATCCGCCTACGCAAAGTCTGCTGTGGTCGGTTTTGAATCAATCTTTGTTCACATTTTCTCACGACAAATCTTGGGAACGTAAATATTAACGTAAATTACTGTCTACCAATTTGGCTAGTAGACAGCTCTCACCACAAACCTATCTATGAAACGTATTTGTGGCGTATTCTAAAGTCTGTAGAACCCTTAGCCGGCAATTAGGAAGTTTGAACCACCTTTATGAGTTCAAAATCAATTCGTCATCACAGTAAACCTACCCTCCTTGGTAAAATTTGTTTTGATACCAGCCAGGGTAGATGTACTATTACCTCTCTTATTTGGTTTAGTGATCTTCATTGTTATTTTGACCTTCAATATGTCCTTTAAATTCTACCTAAATTTTTCTCACCTCTTAACTCTATTAATTTTATGTATACACACATATAAACATACAACAGTTCAGTGAACCGCAAAGTGGCATATAAAGTACTATTTTAGTTTTTAAAGGTGGAACGCTATAAGTAACACTGGTTTGAGTTAAACGTCCTTTTGACAAATTAAATTCGTCTGAAAATACTGAGTGTTGGGTAGCACTGTAGGGTACACAAACTACTGAGGGAACGGTAACAGTTTGCGTTAGAAACATCAAAAGCAAAGATTTACAACAAACTAATCTGACGAATGGCAGTATTACATTAATTCGTCAAATGATGGGTGAACGACCTTAACCTGTTCGGTGTACTGCATATATTCGGTATCTTCGTATTGTGGACATTCAAAGCAACGGTTCGGCGACTGACGCCATAACCCCAGTCGAACCGAAGCCTGAAATTGGCAGTGAAAAACCAGGGCACTCGGTGGAAATCCTAGACATAGCTCCAGAGTATAGGCTGTGCATCACTGCAACCGTTACGTTACATCTGTTCAAATTAGCAGCACTAATGCCAGAATCACACACTTTAACACCACTTAATTTCTGCGTTGCCTCGAATGTAAACAGCTACCTCAGCTCCCCCAATACCACCGATTTTAAACTGTCACGTATTCTAGAGGTTCGATACAACTCGTAGGCATTTTCTGGCTTTCGCTGTTGTAGAGAACCAATTACTATGCTTGAGCGACTTCAGTTTCGTTTTTCTGTTAGCTCTGGCTAAAAATAACGTTCATTACTGTCGCACGAAAATCTTTCCTGCTGGACATAATCTTTGAGTATACTACTTTCTAATTCTTCAAGCTGGCCCAACTAACCTGGCTACCAGACCTCTCTCAACACCACCACAACTAGGGAAGTCAGAATATGACACCTAAGGCCACCCAAAGGTGTACTGATCAACAACTGTATAAAGAGAATATAGGGAGACACAACTATACCACAACAAAGCAGCTTCACCTTTGTCTTGTGAAAATCCTTTCACTTGCAGTACAATTCAGCCGGCATAGGTAAAAAGTTGAACACTCAATGCGGATTGGCTGAGGTTAATTTGATTCGTTGAATTTCTCTGATTCCCACACTATATCTTCACGTTTTAGCAGTTAATAATAATAATAATAATAATTTTATTTCTGGAACAGAAACCAGCCATTTTTACAGGCATGAACAAATGTACACTAATTAGAACTCATAGAATATATATGATTTGTTAATCTAGAAATAGATTGAATACTGGTAAATTTGAGAGAAATATTTAAAAAGAAATGTACAAATAAGGCAATAGGTAATTTTCGAGATATGCTTTCAACTGAATAATTCATGAGATATAGCATCAAATCAAAACTGTAATTGAAAAAAAAATACGGTATGTCAATTTCACGCGGGAATTATAAACGATTACGTTAATTGTGGAAGGTAAGTAGCATTTTCGTACAGGTGCTGACGTGAAATATAAGAGATGCGGAATGAACAGTAATTGTAATTAAATGATTCATAGAGTGTTTGAAAGTCCATAAAACTTCAAATTCACCGGTAAGTACACCATAATTGTGACATTTCCAGTTGTATATGAGACCAACTTTGAACTTGTCAGCAGATTTCATGATAGAGGTGGTTCCGTTATTCACCAGGTGGGCTAGCAATATTCCGAGGATAGCGGCAATGTTTCAGTGCCTTCGTTTAAGGCAGTACCTTTGAAAAGAGAAGAAGACACAAGGAAACCGACAGAGAGGTGCAGAAGTATATAATAGGTGTTAATAATTCAAAACATATGTAAAAAAAAACATGGGGCTCATCATTTTTTTTGTTTTTTTTTTTCATTTAAAAAATACTATTTCCCCCTGAGGTTTTCTAGTGATGGAATTCTGGTCTTTCTTGCGAAAAGAAAAAAAAAAGTTTAAGTGAAAAAAAGATGATAATTTTACCTACTTATATAGGTTAAATAGGAGTTAAACACAAAAGTCAAAGTGCGTGAACTATGTAGAAGAAAAGCGAGGGCTTAATAATAACTACTGTTTTTCTGAAGTATACATTTAGGTGTCCTTCTGAAGTAGGGGACTCATGCCATGTACTTGCATTCGAGGAGTTTGTTATTTAAACTTCAGCTTTAGGCAAATTTTCAACTTCTGTTGTCTTTTTTTTAAAATTTTATTTATTCTCTTATTCTACAGAAGCCATTCGAACTCAGGAGCCTTAGCAATAGAGTGCTGTCCCACAGATAAGGGTGGTTCTCATATGTCCCCACCATCATATCCGCTGACTAGCAATCATCAGGTAATTCTTCAAACAAGGGAAGCTTCCTACTCAGATCACATGCGTCAGTCCTGAAAATATAGGTCTTGGCGACATGGAGTTACGAGAAGTGAAAACAAGAAAACTCGATACCTCCATCAAACCTCTGAGCCAGCTACGGCTTCTCTCCTCTCAAATCTGTCCGTCACTGGCACTTGTAGCCAATCCCTGTCTTCTTAGTTCATGAATAGTTCTCATCCGAATATAATGAACACTATCTTTTCTGCGACTTCATTCTTTGATTGTATAATTGCATTTATGCAGTCAGAAGAGGGATAAATCATAATAAGAATAGCTGCCAATAGTAATCAGTACATTTGAGAGGTTGAAAAAAGGTGACAGGACTACACAGTGGCATAATGAGTGGTGATCAGGGTCCAGATCGACGCAGAGGAACTTTATGTTACTGTGGTGATTGACAGTTTCTATCTCTGTACTGTTTAAGTACTTACTGTTGTTTGTTAATATATTTATTATATGATTTGAATATAATTCCGCCAAATACAAATTCCTAAATTCATCCCTCTCTGTGTTGTTGTTCGAATTCCTGTAATTCGGTCATTGCGAAATAAAAATACTAATATTACAAATAATTATCACATTTTGGCGTTGCTATGGAATTAAATAATCTTGGAAAGTTTCCTATGAATGGTTCCCCGCAGGAAATCTCTGATTATCTTGAATGTTTCGACGCATGGTGCATATCGAAGAATGTTCGCGATGACAAAATTTCAGCTCATTTTATTACTGCTATTGGGCTAGATGCGTACAGCCTAGTGAAGACTCTGTCGTTTCCAGATAAACCAATTTCTCTGTCTTATGATAAACTCCGTGAACTTCTAACAAATCACTTCCACATGACAACTTTCGAAACACGAGAGAGGGCTCAGTTCAACAAACTTGTTCGTGCTCCCAACCAGAAGATTAGAGACTTTATTCTTCAACTTCAGATACAAGCTTCAAAGTGCAACTGTGGAGATCAGCTCCATACTCAACTACGTGATCGTCTAATTGCTGGAATCAATATTCCTAAGTTAGAGAAAAGTTGGTTCAGATACCTTCCTGAACCTTTCAAACTGCTAAGGATTTATGTATTACATATGAAGATCTCAACAGTAACTACCCAGCTGCCACTACGTCAGAGTCTGATGTCATGCTGTCCAAAGTTGATAATAAAAGTGTACATAGAAAGAAATCCAAACTGTCGTTCAAATGTAATGGAATGCAGACAGAAAGCAAGAACATCAAACCGTGTTTTTCCTATGGAAAGATTCATCTACGAAACACTTGCCGTCTTCAGGGTGCTAAGTGCCATAAATGCGGTAAAATTGGGCACATCAAGTCTGTTTGCAGAAGTTCAAATACTTATGCTACTCATGATTCTCCCAAACTGTCTGATAAAATGAAGTCAATATCTCTTTCAACTTTTCACAATACTCAATCTCATCTAATGAGAACCTTCACTACAAGTTCAGGCAAGTCTCACTGTTTTATAATTGATACTGGGAGTACTGGATCTATAATTTCTAAGAAAGATTTACTATCGCTTTGTAAGCATGCTCGGGTAGACCCTACTACTAGTTCAATTACAGGCATAACTGGTCACAAACTACCTCTTATTGGTGCAACTAACATTTGTTTGAAGTCAGACAGTGGCAGTTTTGTGAAAATCCACTTTCTTGTTAGTGAATAAGGTCCATCTTTATTGGGATTGAAAGCCCTTAGATTGTTAAATGTCGACATCTCACTCTGTACTGAGTTGTTTAATGAATCTTTGTTCAGAGAATTAGTTCTTCAATGTTCAAAGAGTGTAGGTGGCATGAAGATTCAACCCATTCATCTTGGAATAGAGGGTGATCCTATCTTCCTAAAGCGCGGATTAATTCCATATGGTTTGCGAGAAAGAGTTAGACAAGTTGGTTGAGCAGGGCATACTTATGCAAGTTGAATCTTCGAATTGGGCTACTCCCATTGTCACACCACTAAAGGCTGATGGAAAAACATCGAGAATTTGTGGTGACTATCGTCTTAAACTCAATAGTCGTCTTCTACAGCAAAGTTGCACTACGCTAGAAAGCGAAGACATTCCCTACAAGCTACATGGCTCAAAATACTCTTCCAAAATAGATCTAAAAGATGCTTATTTGCAAATTCCTCTTGACGAAGCGTCTAGTGCATTAACAACCATTAATACTCCATCTGAATTGTCCAAGTATAAGTTCTTACCTTTTGGTTCAAAGGTTTCTCCTGCAATATTTCAAAAAGTAATAAATCAGATGATAGATGGATTAGATGGTGTTGAGTCTTACCAAGATGACATTATAATTCATGGTCCGAACATCGAATTGCATAATGAACGTCTTTTAAAACTATTCAGGCGTTTCTGTGAGAAAAATGTTCTTGTTAATCCATCTAAATGTCATTTTACTTTGTCGTCTGTATCATGCTTGGGATACACAGTACACTCTGAGGGTTTCAGACCTGATGCTAGTCGTTTGGCACCTCTAATTCAAGCACCGTCACCTAATAATATACCATCGTTGAGATCATGGATCGGTACTCTTCAGTTTTACTCCAGATTCATTCCCAATTTCACTCAACTGTTATCTCCACTTTTTAATATTGTCTCCAGTAAACAATTTAAGTGGGAACAACAACATGAAGATATCTTGCGAAAAACTTTGGAGTTTCTTAATAAACAAGCTTTCTTAAGACCTTTTTCATCGAAAGATCATTCCGTTCTCAATACAGATGCTTCTCCTACGGGTATAGCTGCAGTACTTGAGCAAAATGGACAACCTGTTATTTGTACTTCAAGACGTCTAAATAAGAGTGAACAAGGGAACTCACAAACCCAGAAACAGGCTCTAGCAGTTGTATGGGCAGTAAGACGCTTGCACAAGTATCTCTTTGGTACTAAGTTTCACATAGTTACTGATCATCAGGCTTTGAAATTCATTTACAATCCAGAAAAATCTTCGAATAGATCATCCTCTGCTGTGGTTCAAAGATTGAGTTTAGAACTAAGCGCATATGATTACACTATTGAACACAGATCGGCTAAGGATATACCTGATGCAGACTTTTTATCTCGTTATTCATTATTTGAAAATTCTGCTAATGATACTGATTGTTTGTTAGTCCAGCCGTTACCTGTGGATAGAGTTCGACTTATAAACGATACTCGGAAATATTACGGGTGCATTATAAATGCAACAAAAAGAGGTTGGAATATTCAGTGAAAGCGAAGATTTCCGGACTTTTATAAGCGAAGAGATGAGATTTCAGTCCATCCTGAAGGATTTCTATGTCTGAATGACAGAATTATTATTCCTCCGACATTAAGATCTGCGATTTTGGATGGTCTTCATTCTGCTCATCTGGGAACTGTTAAGATGAAATCATTAGCACGCCTAACATGCTGGTGGTCGGAAATTGATGCTGACATTAACAAAAGATCGAAGAGCTACTCCAGCTGTTTGCATAAAGTGTCCTATGGAAAGTCGTCGTGGAAACTGTGGCCTACGTCTTGTGAGGCTTGGCAGCGTATTCATGCAGATTACTGTGGTCCATTCTTAAATTCACACTATACTTTAGTTATTTGGATTCTTATTCTAGATGGCCAGAAGTTATAAATACAGATAGTCCTAATGCAAAACTCACAGAGCGTTGAGAAAGATATTTAGTCGAGAAGGAATTCCAGATGTCTTAGTTACTGATAATAGTACTCATTTCACTGAGAAGAACTTCAATGATTGGCTTAAACATATAGGTTGTCGTCATCTGTACACAGCACCACGTCATCCTCAGTCTAACGGTTTGGCAGAATATTTCGTACGAACATTAAAGAGTGCCATAGCATCAATGAGTCCTAAGAATTTTGATGAGCTAGAGAGATGTGTAGATAACTTCCTACTTCAATATCGCAATGCGGAGCATACAAGTACCCATGAAAGTCCTGCTAAACTGTTCAAATCTCGAATTTTCAGAAAGCACCCAATGTCCACGACTTCTGATGTATATTATTACAGAGGGAATGACTGTAGACCTTCTGTTGGAATCATACTACAAAAACTGGGAAATCGAGCGGTGAAAATATTAGACATCGAAGATGATTCAATTCATAACAGACACCTGGATCAAATGAAAATAAATGAAGTAGGTCATAATTCAGAAATAAGTCCAGATGATACTGATGAAAATAATATCACAGAATCAGTTAGAAGATCTCAGAGACTTGCAAGCAAACCGAGACCTCATTATAAATACGCAAGGAGACATTCAACATATGGCGGATGTGGTGATTGACAGTTTTTATCTCTGTACTGTTTAAGTACTTACTGTTGTTTGTTAATATATTTGTTATATGATTTGAATATAATTCCGCCAAATACAAATTCCTAAATTCATCCCTCTCTGTGTTCTTGTTTGAATTCCTGTAATTCGGTCATTGCGAAATAAAAATACTACTATTACAAATAATTATCACAGTTACCTAAGTGTTTGGGAGGATACATGAGTCAGAAAATACCAGGGAAACCTAATGTAATGAGTAAAATGGTTTGATTTTTCACTGGAAGACAATCTACACTGAACCTCTTGTCTTCCTACCTTCGACCTTAAATGAGAGGTCAGGAATGATGTTTTCTCTTTTTTGTTCTTCAGTACTAGGTTAAGAAGCTTGCGAAAACTATTACTAGTATCGGTATTAGGTTTCCTGATTTTTGTTACTCATATCAACGTTACACATTATATCAGGAAGAATTTCACGAAATGTGAACTTGTACATAACTTGATCCAAATGAGTAGAATATTCCATATTCTTCACTGTGGTGTGATTATCTGCTTGCATGCTCTCTACAAAAAATATAACTTTCAGCAGCCGTAAGTGTTACATTCTCATTTTGCTAGTTGTGGGAATGTTAAGGGCAGTCTCGCCACCAAGGTGGGTGCACCGCGAGAAAGAGGCAGAAGTTACTGTGGCTAGCTCTCAGGTCCAGCAGGGCTGATCACCGCACATCAGTCGTGAGTGTTATATCTGATCGAAACCACCTGGAAACGAGTTCAAGGTCATTGAAGCAGCCTAAATAACTTCTTTCTTAGAGATGTTCCAAGTATAAGCCAATGTGACAGGTTAATGACACAGCAGCTTCGCCATGTGGTTCACATTGGGTTCTTATTAATACACTATACCCTCTTTGTGCTTTGTAAGGCTATATTTATTTGTTGAATGATCAACGCAATTTCATGTGTTCGACTCGGTTTCCTCACCTCTTTAACAAACTGCCGTGCTCTCGAAAACAAACGTTCGAAATATGAATTAGCTTTCTGAAACATTACAAGCTGTCAGTTGGTAATTTAAATAGCTATTTTGGTAGAAAAGTCGGTTTCTAAATTGGATTGGTTCACATTTTGCCTTCTATTTTTTATAGTTGACTACAAGGAGGTAGAGTGGAGCATGCTGATCTGCAAATATGGTAGTCGTCACGAATGTGAATCTCTCCGATTTGTGGAACAGCAACATGCATTTTCGACAGCTCGAAAATTAAGCATTAGCCTAGATCTTTAACAAAATACAATGTAACAGAAATATTTTATGACCTAAATTGAAGGTGCAAATGATTTACAAGTGGCTTTCTACATCTTAATCAACTTACTCGTACAGAGCAGCATGCCGCTACAGATGGCAGTATTGGCTAACCTCGGTACAGTAAAACGAATTTGCCTGGCTATGTCCTATATTCGTCTGCATGTAATACAATTCACTTCCGGTGTTACGATGAGAATGCTGAGAAAATTACACAGCTATTTTACTTATTTTAAATAATTATCAAATTTGGCTATGGATCAAGAATAAAATTCGATACCTTACACAGCATGTTTTATGGGGAATTGACTTCAAGCTTAATTTTTTCCCGTATATTTGTAATCCATCTAGCACATACTTGGGTGTTTTTGTTAATGAGGAGAAAATATTCCCTTTTTAAATGTTTCATTGAATGACTAGTTAACAAACTTTTTCCAAAAACTAAAACCGAAATGGAAAACAACTATGTAAATTTATGTTATTTAAATAGTATATATCCTTGCCCGTACAAGTGGTGCATTTCTACATGGATAGGAAAAAATATATACTATTTTTTTATTATTACGCTATGTCAAAGGACGGGATAAAAGTCTTAAAAATTCGGATACATGAAGGAAGAAACCAACCACGTGATGCTAGTTCACTAAACAATCATCAAACGGAAGCCAATCCGTGATATCTAACTGAACACTATCAAGGATAATCAAAAAGATAAAACCAAATAGGTCAAGTAGCAAAGATATGTGGATGTACATATTTTATGAGTGAAAAATTTTGTCGAAAGCTTTATTTAGTCGACAATAATATATTTCTTTGTTATGCTAAATGAAATTGCGCAGTAAGAAACAGCATTCTAAAAGGTGGCCAAATTCTATTCTTGAATTATTTTTCCTTCTGCAAGTCTCTTATTGTGTTCATTTTCCAATAAACCATATTACTGTACAACAGACTGTAATTAAAACCATTCACGGAACTTCGACTCAGCTATTGTTTGTTAGGCAATATTTAAGAACAATAAACAGGACAGTGCTTAAAAGCTGCAGGCGTTATGTGGAAAAGGCGACCTGTCTGTCCCCTATGAAATCCGTATTATGGATTTGTTTAGACTTTCTGAACCGAAGTGATCCTGTTGAATGTATTGTTTCGTAAACTAAAAGGCACTGCATCAGACATACTGGTCCGTGTATTGCAAGCGATTCCCTAGAGCACACTGACCTAGCAGTCATCGAGGAAACAAATTTCCAGTCAAATGATGGCAATCTCGACAATAGAGTGTATTAATAATTTATACTTGAGCTAAAGGGAGTAGCATCACTCAAGAGGCAAAAAACGTGTTATAATGACCTAAGTGTTTACATTAGAGGTCAGTCAAGTCTGTACTGACCATTGTCAGTAAGATCCTTTAGTCTTAGGGAAGAGGAACATTAGATAGTTAAAGTGATCATGTATACTGTCGTCTTGGTGACAATTTCGGCGGTAAGTGGTACAAAATTTATCGTGTCCCAGAAACGTTCGGTAACTAAAATCTTATTCGGACTGCATCAATCTATAGCTTTTGGAATAAAAGAGAGTGTTATATGTCTCAAATTACCATAGGAATCTGTAAGTTCTAGCTGCATGCAATTTTTCCTGAGGCAATAAACATTGTTCGAATAATTGTGAATTGCATTTACGTGGAATCATGTCGTGGAAAGTTGAGATTTTGTTGTTTCAATTAGTTGAACATAAGATTTTCAATGCAAGTTAATATCAGAACAGATCGTTTTTGATATTGGGGGGGGGATGGCGAGACATCATCAGGATTCAAAGGGGTCCTTAGGTTTCATTTCACTTTCCTCAGGGGATTGTTCTCGTTTGGTAAACAACCATTTCTCCAGACACTATTCACATAATCACTGCATCCACGTGTGATTGTTAGCAATTCAAGGACATCAAATGATCTGGGAAACATCAGAAAGTGAATGTATACATATATTTAAATACCTGTATGCAGCACCTGCTTTGAGGAGCTTGACAATCCGTTGAATGGTAGATGTACTTTGCAGTAAGTAACGCTAACTATATCATTCCCACTGTTGAGTTTGCGCTAGTTCTGATGCTGCTCGAAAAGGTGCTTCCATCACTGCACGACCAAACTTCAAGGGAGAAGGTGCAGGGGAACAACTGATAAAACCTCAGCTGTTTCTATGTCAACTATCAATTTGTTTTCTGTCCGGATTGAAGCACTTAGTGGCCATTTGAATTTTCAAGAAATAGGAGAGCGACTGTGAGTTGTGCTGTGATTGTATATTTCATTACTCTCTTCATATCCTCGGTAATGAATGAATTCTTGAATAGCCTTAAGTATCATAATCCGTCTTGACCAGTTGAGTTGGGGCTAGGAATAGCCAAGCGCAAGTTTAAAGAGTCAAAAAAAGCCTGGACAAAGCTCGGGTCTAACAGAACAATGATTTTTTTGTTAGTTGGAGCCGACCAGAAGTGGGCTCAAAATTGTCCAAGCAGTCCAAGCAAATATTAACTCAATGAAGGGTTTGGAGAAATGATACTGATTTTGTCACGTATTTATGTTCAAGTGAAAGTCATACTGGAATATGTAGTTGACGTTTTAGTCAGAGGTGGATTTCGAAGGTGTAAGATGTTACAACGTGTCAACTTGTAAGATGTCTCATGGACCTCCGAAAGGTCCACGGGATCGCACTTTGACAAGAGGTTGACCAAAATGGTGGATGGTCGGAAGACAGAAGCATTATATGTAGTTTAGATCAGGAAAGTCTTTTGTTTTGAAGGAATCTAGTCCTAAGCTAAAATTTTTATAAATCCACATATGCATAGAAAGTTTATTGTGAGGAGCTAGGAAATAAGGAGCCTGACTGAAATCCTTCTATTGATACTGAAGCAATAGTTTGTTCACATTTACATGATTAGCACACCGTTTTTACAGGCATGATCATATATGATGGAATCACACAATGATTCATTTATCAACGTTCGCACTTATTTTATTATTGATTAAGATGTAGCAACGATTATTTATAGAGAATTAGAGGATATAGGAAAATCGTTAAGCCCAAAGTTTAGGGGAAAATAGTTACGTGAGATAAGTAGCAAAGCGTCAATATTGTACATACTGTTATTCTGAAATGTATAATAAGGTGTCTATCCAAAGTGTTGGGCTCATACCACTTAGTTGCTTTCGGAAAGGAGTTCATGTCTTATAGTAGCCCTACAAATCAAACACCACAAGTAGGATTCCCTGACACACTTCCCGCAGCCTATGAACCAAACTCGCAACTTCAGAATGACATCTTAATGTTCATGGATAAACTCGTCTTTTCACTACTTCACATTCCCCTTACCCTACTCTTCTAACCACTATTAATTTCCTTATATTATTACTGATATATATACATGCATATATGTCAGTGTCGAATTTCAATGGCTATCTGCTACTAAGTTTTACTCACTTATTTTTTAAAGTCTGAATAATCTACACTAATTATATCTATTATTTTCACTACCGTCTTCCTTTTCGACCACGCCGGATGGCTAGTGGGTGAAAGGATCAGCTGTACTCACACCGTCAACATGGTCTTTACACACAGCATACTACAAACTACATTAATTAATCCTAGCACCACAACTTTCGTAGTCAGCCATTGCTACGACAGTCTATTGGCGAGACGAACTACACAGAATTTTACCAAATACCAAGAGCCTTTACCTTACAATCAAGAAGCAAGAACAAAGAGATTAGTTGGTTTACACTGGCTAGTGAGAACGACACTGGATATTGAATTATAGGAGCGGCAAACTGAATGGCATGACAATTCCGTTGCCATGACAGCAAACACTACAGATTCTTTGGGGAATGTTGTCTGGTGGGGGTTATCACCTGCGATTAATTTTTGCTCATGTCTCAACGAATTTCTCTCCAATAAACACGACTTAAATGAAAGTAAGCTTTACGAAAGTATTACTTTAAGTGAGACATTAATACAGGTTATAGTGTACTTTGTGTTGGGATGGGGGATTCAAGGCATATAGTGAAAAGTATTTCTGCTGATTTGAAAAAGCCAGTGGGATTTAAAACTGTAATTTTGTTCCTTAGCCTGCCAATAATATTCGTAGTTTTATTTGATTGAGCCATTAATTGAAGCTTATGCTAGGCAGATGCTTCAACTGTATATTGCCCTTGAACCCAATAAAAGATTAAGTCTCCAGGGTAAGTGTGAATTTTTATTCTAATTCTGAAGAAAAGTCGGAGATATATTTAGAATTATATGGTAATATAATGGTCCGAGATATTTCATCAAAATATTTGACACATGTTGCTGACAAGCTAATAAGGTTATTCACATCCTTAATAATTATACTGCCTTAGAATGACAACTAATCTAGATGGCCCTTTGTCTTTGGGATTTATCGATGTATTTCACTTAAAATTCAAGGAGCGGGATATGTTGGAATCTGTACTTAAATTCTGGCGTGGTAGGGAACAGACGAAATTTGATGCATCTAAATGTTGGTATGTTACTTGCCTATTTAAAAAGTGAATACCTGAGTTAACTTTATAGTGAATTAACCAATTGTTTTATGTGATATAAATATTTCCTAAGTGCAGCTGCTTTGATCATTAAATTGCTATTACCTCACACACAAGTCTTGACCGTTGAATGCATTTGGTGATGGGCGGCTGTGAAAACAGTTAAATGATAAGAGAAAATGTGTATCTAAAGATGATAACATTGGTCTTATCCGATAAAAGTTTAGGTACTTGCTGACTGTTTGGGAACTCACATGTTCACATTTCATTTTCATGGATTATGGAACACTTAGTTCTTTCTGGTTCTCCTCCGCTTTACTAATATACACCTTGTATATCTTTGTTTTCGTCCATCTGTTGCACTATTGGGAGTTTCGTTTTTTTTGAATGAACTGAGTTAGTTTGCACAAACTGGTGTTCTGGATGTATATTCATTAACTTATAAATTCCTGTTTGCTTTACTAGTATCATGGGTTTGTATATGACTATTATTTACTTAATTATTCTTCTTCCCTTTTAGTTCTTTCCATTGATGTTTAATTATACTCCTCGTCCATACTCTTCCTGATATACAGAATAATTTTGTAAAGTTTTATGTTTATAAGTCAGTCAGTTGGTCATTTTAAAAATTCCTTTTGATTTGTTGGAGTTCCGAAATTTTTCGTCTAATAGGTTTAGCTGAAGTTTACGCATTTTACTGAATTTGAAATTATTAAATTTCTCACATTTTAAAAGCTCGTAAGCATTTAAATTTTCTCACTTACTTGTCATAAGGCATTACTGATAAATATGTGTATAACGTAAATTTTAAAATTTCTTTTAGGGACTTTCGTCTGAGGAAGCATCTAGGCACGCGATATGATGCTATTCCAAATGTTTTCGATTGGGACTGTAGTATTACGTTACATGACCGCAAGGTAAGTTTTATCAAGTTGAATTCTTTTGACGTTATTACTTAAGAAGTATACCCTTACTAAGGAAAGAATTAATTCAGGTATCTAATCAAGAGTGCTTATCTGTTCGTTTTGCTTGGTTTTGGAAAATGTGATGAGTTTATCATTTATTCCATACACACTACCTGAAAATGCTTTTCTTTTCATCAGATATTTCAGTTTTGTACATAGTTAAGATCACAACTTAATTGATTTAAAGTGCGAATATTGCAGAGCGGAAAATCTCAAAAGCATTTTTCCCGTAACGTGTTTGATCCCACTGACACGCACTGAAATAAATCAAGAGTTTATTTTCAAGCGTGAATTAATTGTTGTATTAAAATAGATAAATATTCACCTTTGTGTGGAAGTTTGTCGTTATTTTGACCTTTAACTGCAGTTTGCTCAGTGGTATGTAATGAAATTCGTTGCAATGAAGTATTCTTTTAAAAGTTGGTTGCTTGATGAAAATAATCTACCAACGTTTTACCAATGACTTAAATTTGATGCACGTTTGAATTGTATAGGCTCTTTTGCCATGTGATATTTTCGCTCATCGATTTTATATTCACTCAGTAAAAGAAAGAGTTCGATGAAAATAGCTTAATTGAAAAAGTGAAAGAAGGTGGTTCTTTAAATTTTATCCCAGTTAGTGACTTAATGTCCACCTGACTTAATAATCATACTGTCGATCACGAATCAGTCTTGAGAGTTGCCTAATGAAGAGATTAAGCCGTAGTAAATCAATAGTAGTACTTCATTCACCGATTTTCATGTACTGTCTTACAGATTAGTAATGACTCGTAGCAATATGTTGTTCAGAATCTATTCAGTCTAACTTTATCGAGCATCTATATTTCACTAATGTTTCACCGTTGTTATTAATGTTAGTGCAGTACATTTAGGAGCTTGCAAGAGTTTAATTATTGAAGGCATGTATATTCTATTTTTCCAAAGGCTACTCAAATTAATTCTAGAGAATATGCACATTGGCGTCACTATGGGAACGCATTTGAACTTCGAGAAACTAATTACAACACTATCAATAGGAGTTTAGCATCTGGAAGAGTGTTTAAAAATTCTGCTGGCGACAAAGGGGTTTATTGGGGTTACTGGGGTGACATAGTCTGTTCACCATATTTATCATTTGGCATTGATACATCTGAATACCCTGAATTAAGTCGTCGTGTAAATGGCAAACATGCATATTCTGCAACAACAATATCTGAAGTAAACATACGTAAAATATTTTGGCAGTTGTTGAATCAACAACAATGTCCAATTTCTATTGCTGCACCTTTCTTGGAGCCATCAACTACCGAAGATGATGGACAGGTTTCTGGTGAAAAAGTTGAATGTCAGCAGGATAATTCTTCAGCTGATAATAAAGAATTCATTGCTACACAGACAACCGACAAGTTCATTAATGGAGATGCAAAGTGTGAGTTGCATAAAACTTTTTTGAACTGATTCAAACTGAATTTTCAGCATAGTACTTTGAACAAAAGTGAAGTAGTTCAGGTTTTCTCGCTTCACAAAACACAAATGAAGGTACAGAAAAACAAAATTCAAAATATAATAAGCAGAGAAGGGCAATAGGAAGAATAATTACACAGAGATTAATGGGAATTCAGTGAATCTGAAAGATTACAGAGAGCTGATGAGATGGTTGGGACATGTGTTACGTATGCCAAGTCATCGCCTTCCTCGACAATAGGCAATGTTAGCTGATGTAGGGCCAGGCTGGAAGAGAGCTAGCGGCGGTCAAACGAAAACATGGCACCAGTCAATGAAATCCACAACAGTTAGTCTAAGCCACGTAGGAAGATGTAGACTTCCTGGTTGGGGTCCTCGGGAAAACCATGTTTAACCTCGATTGTTTTGTTTATTGACGCTTGTCAGAAAGGCGCATCTTTCACCCTGAAGAAATATACTTTTCCCCTGAGATTTAAAATACGGTTAGAGACTAACCAGCTAAGCTGTTCAAGTTACAACTATAGACTAAATGTCGCTTAGCACTGCTAATCGATAAATTTCAACCGTTACATTGGACTTGGAAGTTAATATTATTGTTTGAAAACCAATTTCTGTACTTGTTAAACAGATAACAAATTGTGTTACACATTTCTTTCTATTATCATCCACTCTTTGGGGGAAGAATGAAAAAGTGATAAGAACAATCTAAAGATAGGTGCTTGACCACATAGTCTTTTTAAACCTGATAAAATATTACTATCATAAAAATGAATAATTTTATTATGAACTATCAGATTACCGACTTATAAGTGAGTTTTAGGATATTTTCTATCTTACTCACTTGAAAAATAATATACTAGTTCAAATGGAGGTAAAGAAGGAATTATAAAATCACCATGAAGATATCATTTATGATTATGTGGATTACTGGCAGCTGTTTATATTTACTCGGTTAATCTCACCTCTAATTAATGCAAGTTGTATTACGAAGTGATGATTACCATTAAAATCAAAATATGATTAACACTATTTGTTTAGTGACTTGACACCACTGGTCACTCTCTAGTGACCAATCTGTGTATCAGTTACAGCCACACAGAAGGTCAACCATCAACCCAAACAGCTCAGTAGTAATGCCACTTACTGCAGCACTGAGTGCGCATAAATCGTTGGAGATACATCAGTTCCTCCGAGGTTAAAGATACACCTTGTAAACGAGTGTCAACAAGCATAAAACATGGCTTCAGAGCTTCCTGATGATTCTTCCAACCATCTAAGGCATTATATATATATTTCAATACTAAGTCTTCACTGTAAGCTATAATATTAGCAAACAGCCTTATTCACTTAAACGTAAAGTCCTCTCTTTCTATTTATTTCATTTCATTATTAGCGTCCACGAAGTCTTTGACTGTTTGTTCGGGGCATATAGGGGTGCACACTGCCTGGTTCAGGTCCTAAGGACGTTAAAAACCAATGGATAGAGACTTTTGGTGATAAGGCTTAAAGTCCTTCTGAACGGTACACATTCATCGGTCGGTCGGTTTTCGACATAGAACTTTGCACATATGTGTGGCAGTTCAAGTCGCCACACTCCATGTAGCACACAAAGCAAGAGAAGAAAGTAGGAGAAATGCATAATAGAGACAGTAAACAGAGGTGTGAGACGAAGGAATAGTAATAACGGAGAACAGTTTAATTGGAAATCATAAGTCACAAGGAGTGGATGCATCTGCGCCACTGAGAACGATTTTGAGCCATGTCACCAATTGTTTCCAACCATTGGTTTTTACCGTCCCGAGGACCCCAACCAGGAAGTCTACATCTTCCTACGTGGCTTAGACTAACTGTTGTGGATTTCATTGACTGGTAAGGTCATGTTTTCGTTTGACCGCCGCTAGCTCTTTTCCAGCCTGGCCCTATATCAGCTAACATTGCCTATTGTCGAGGAAGGCGATGACTTGGCATACGTAACATTTGTCCTAACAATCTCAGTCGATGTAATTTCACAGTCTCGTCGACTGATTTCCCCACCTTACCTAGCACTCGACGCCTAACCTCAATATTGCTCACCTTATTATACCACTTCACGCGGGAGATAGAACGCAGACACCTATGATCGAACACAGATAATCTTTTCATGTCTTCTGCTCTCAATGGCCAGGTCTAACAGCCATAAAGGAGGACGGAGCGGACTGTTGAGTAGTACACACGCCCTTTGGTCGATAGTCGGATGTCACGTCTACGCCAGAGACGGCGTAAACTGGCATATGCGAACCTAGCCCTCTGTATTCGTGCTGAGATTTCGTCGGAGATCAACCCGTTGGGGCTGATGGTACTTCCCAAGTAAGTGAAGTGGTCAACGTGCTCTACCACTTCACTTCCTATTTCTAATCTAGGGGTCGGTGAAGTCCAATCCTGCAGCATCATCTTACATTTTACAGGGGCGAATCGCATGCCAAACATACGAAGATTGTTGCTCAAGGTGTTCAGTAGACTCTGCATTTTGTCAGCGTCCTCGCCTAGAAGGACTATATCGTTCGCATATTCTAAGTCGACGAGATTATTCCCTGGTAGCAAGTCAATCCCTGAGTCGCTGAAGTGTGTTAGGGTTAAGTCCATTAGTATGTCTATGATGAAGTTGAATAGGAATGGGGATAATGGGCATCCTTGACGGACGCCAGTAGTCGTCACCACTTCAGATGACAACTTGCCATAGGCCCTCACCTGGCTGCATGAGTGCGAGTAGAGTGCCTTAATCAGTGCAATGTATTTTCTCGGCATTCCCTTCACAGCCAAGCATCACCAGGGAACCTCTCGGTCGACGGAATCGAATGCCGCCTTTGGGTCAAGAAATATAGTGATTGTCGGACGCCGGTAGGAATGCCTATGTTCTAGAATCTGTCGAAGGGTGAAGATATGATCAATACACCCTCTACCTGGCCTAAAACCTGCCTGGTTTTCTGGTGTTTGTGCCTCCCGAGCACCACTCAGTCTACGCAGTATTATTGAGCCTAGGATTTTAGATACTATATTAGTCAAGCTAATCCCTCTGTGATTATCACAAGAAGACTTGTCTCCCTTCTTGTATATCGGGATGATCAGTGACTTACACCAACCCGATGGGACTTCGGTTTTCCGTCAACTGATTTCTGATGTGTAACTCCTCTATAAGTACATCAGTTTTTCAGATAAAGCTAACATATAATACTGAGCAGATTTTGACCACTGGGCGTAAGAAGATTATATCATTCACACAAATCCAAAGCCTGCATTTACTGTTGTTAAATATCAGTGTGCATTACAGGGTTGTTCAATGAGTCATTTTCTTCTGTAATATAGTCAGGTCAAGAAGTGATTAGTAGAACTGGGACAACTCCTTGATAGTCTATTGCATTTGTATATGGTTACTATCAAGGTTAATGTTAGAAGTCAGAATCAATTGTCATTACATAGGTAAATACAGTGACAATGATTAGACTCAGAAGAAGATTAAAAACAGCAGTATTAAGTAAAGTAGCTGTGAAGTCAGAGTAATTATTATTTGTCACTTTTACTTCCTCTGTTAACGCTTTCATTACATTTTTATATGAACATGAGATATACTCTTTTTTCAGCTTTCAATTAGTTAGGAAATCAGTTACTTGAAAAAAAGTTCTCACTTACATTTGACTAATGCAGTCGTATATTTGTTTTGTCAAATTATTATAGCCAAAGAATCAGAAGAAGGAGAGTTAACAATTACAGAGGCTGACAAATCAAAGCAAACCTATAGCAATTCATTTGAAGCAAAATTTGAAGATATTGAGTATAGTAAGTCAACTTTAATGATTACTGGTACATAATGGTTGCTTTTAATGTTACGTTTGTGAACTCAAAGTGACTCTATGAAACTTCTCTCTTCAGTTCTACTATAATGGAGACAATTAAAAGTTTCAAGTTTGATCACGAGCTGACATCACGCCTGACTTGGTGGATCCCTCTGGCTGGTCACCACTTCTCACTAGAACTCCAGGCAACTTTGTCCTGTAGCCAGTCACTAGAGAGCATTAGCTGAATTTTCAACACTTTGTTCGTACGGATGGTGACATTGGCTGGTGGTCACGCTGAAATCATGGGCTATTGGATTGGGTTCCAGTAGCTAGATGGATTCGAACCCCACCGTGTACGTACTGATTAAAACAGTCCCAGACTAGGACGAAACAGCCGTCCAGTTCCACTTGATTTTCCAATAGTTCTTTAACTAATGTGAGCTCATGATCACACGCGGAACAAATCAAATCCTTACAGACTAACTCTTGAAATGACTTGAAAGTGTTACTAGAAATTAACAAAAATTACCACATAAGATAAATAATGCTTGGAGTAGTCATGCATGAATTATGTCATTCTCTACTGTTTTTATATTTGAAATATTATCAACAAAGTGATAGTATTGATGAAATAGGAAAAACCATTTCAACCGGAAAATATCCTATGATCAACTTGATGAAAACATGTATATGGTATATTCTGTATTTTGTATTATCTGCTGTAGGTCACCGGAAATAGTTCTTTTCACAAATTAATTAAAAATTTTTCTTGCTGTGTAGTCATTTTTATAAGTTGGTGGACTTGTATAAAATAACCCCTGAATTCATTCATATATAAAATCCTCTAATATATATATTGCATTAATTAGTGCGTATAGAAAGTAGATAATTGTTTACTTCTGGAAGACAAGAGATCAAGTCAAATTTTTAATCATTAGTAAAGAAGTGATCCATAATTACACTGATGATAAAAATCCTTTCAATTTTAAAGCAATTAGTTCCCTTTATGAATTTTGACAACACAACAGAAGACATAGGGTATCCGAATCGTGTAATGCATTTGTGCAGCACATTTTGGACGCACTGATCACACACATAGTTATTATACACAGTTATATAGAAGGCACGAGGGCATGAATCATTACAATACACGTCGGATTGTGTATAGGTCAAGCCCTGTGGGTTTGGGCTACAGAACATATTCCAAAGTGGCTGCAACAATAAATAAAATCGCCGGATACAACTGATTACGGAAACAGATGTCCAACATCATTTATAGTGAAGCATATTATAGAGAGTATAAGGTTGATTTCAATAATACCTTTAAACCCATATATTAAATAAGGTTGGGTCACATACTTAAATTCGTTGAAGCATTGGCCATAAAAATATATAAACCTGTCTTACACGTCCAAAAGTTATTTGTTATTACTCTAAATCTGCCTTGGTAATCCAATTTAGAACCAAGGTTCAATTTACTTCATAATATTCTCAACCTCTTCTTTGTTTTTTGTTTGTTTTTTTCTTCCTTTCTTACCCACACCTTTGCCTCATCTCCCTACCTATTATTTATGAACTTGACCTGTAATCAATCTGACCTGTATTGTAATGATTCATGCTTTCTCGCCCTCTGAATAACTGTGTATGACATGTACCCGGGTGTGTGATCAGAATGTACAAAATGTTTTGCGCAAATACACATTACACGCCTTTCAATTTTGTCATGGAATAACATGAATTGTAATAGATTCATGAGTAATCTTCATCTAAACATCAGTGAGAAACAAAACAAGTTGTTCAACGAAGAGGATTTTTTTGAGTATTTTTATTTTCTCTTGCATTTTTATGCAATTTTTTCACACAGAAGAGGGGTGTATTAATCAATACATAAGAGAAGTTGAATAAAGGTGATAGAGTTAAGTAATGGGATAGATCATCTAAAGAATGAGTTGTAATCAGGATACACGTCGAAATAAAGGAAATAAGGTATTCTAAGAGGGTTAGAAAGAGTCAGAAAATAAGAAGAGAAAAAAATCCATTTGTTGAAAATAATTGAGTTATTACCATAATAGTAGAAGTGGTTGAGGCGATTGCTGTCTAAAGGTTAAAAACAAATCTATGTTCACAAAAAAAAATAAAAGAGACAATAGTGGTGAATCTTGCACTGCCCTGATGATTAGACTTACAAAATGTCATGCATTCTCCTATATCTTCACTTCTGTGATGCGACATTTTATTGTTTCATCTGAATATCACTCACTTTATTATATTTTTGTTAATTTTTGAGAACATATTTTCTGTAGTCACGTAATTTATTGTATTTATGCACGCTTTCTAGTGAAACTTTGTTTCTACCCGAAAATATTTTTGAACTCTGTTTTTTTCTCTCTCAAGATTATTCGTCTAATGATCCTATAAATAGTCAATTCTTTTAACTCTTAATAATTTATCAGCTTAAATTCTTTCGCAATTTCGCTGCTCTTAGTTCCTGTCAGTTACTCCTTGCCATCGTCTAAAAAGTGTGTTTAAATCTTTCATGTAATTTTTACTTTTGTATTGTTCAGCTTGTAACCATTTGAGAAGAAACTAGGGAATAATAAAGAAAAGCAGCTCATTATCCTGGTATATCCATCGTTCTTGCTTTTTCAAGTTTACTAACTAGAAGAATTGTATGAAGATTTCTCTTTTTTTAATACCGAGCTCAGGTTTTTCTATACTTTTGTTTATAGCTTCAGCAGATTCAGAAAAATGTGAAAGCGTATTGTCGCCATTCCCTTTGTAAATCACTGTGAAGGTGGAAGAGATTGGCCAGTGTCAATAAGGTGTTAATTTGTTGCACTCTTTAGAAAGCCACTACACCCTTTTACAGCCATACTAGATAGTACTTTTGAACTCTTTTAGGTAGAATATGCGTCGAACAACCAACGTACATGGCTCCACAACAGTATGTGAAGGGATATATGTGCATAGGCGTGGTTATATATGAGATCTTGCCTTTTAGACTTCTAAAGACCAGAAAGCTACTGGTCATTATTTGCGCATATATCAACGAACCGAATGAGCCTTTCTTATGTGTTGAGACTTCGTCAGCTACTAGTGCATCAGGGTTTACTCAAATTCGCAAATAAGTGAAGTTGTCAAAACGTCCAACCGTTTCACTTTTTTTCTCTTAAACTAGCAGTTACCACAGACCGGTCCTGAGGCATCACTTTACAACTGACAGGAGCGATTCTCATGCCAAACAACTTACCAAGATTTCCGCTTGAAGTGTTCAAAAAATTTTAAATTTTATTAGTCTTTTCACCTAAAAGGAGCATATCATTTTCCACGCTCAAGATCGATGAGACTTTTCCCTAGTAATAAAGTAATGCCTGAACTTTTTACTAGGGTTTAAGTTAGGTTCCACTATAATGTAAAGTCATAAACTAAGACAAAGCAACGATAAACATATTTCTAGTTTAGAGTGGTTTAGTTAGTAGACAGCGTCGATTTGTGGCATAACGTTGTCATGTGTATTCTAAGGATTACTAGTGTTAACATATTTATCCGCTTTTCAATGCACCTCAGCCTACTTTACAGTTTTACTGCATTTCTCTTCTCTTAAATGTTTCTGAAGCGTATTTACTTGAAATGATGCAATTCTGTGAGAACTTCTACCTATTTTTAAGTCTATCAGTCAGTTATAAATGTCTTCAAAGTAATAAGTATGTTTGGACATATTATGGCTGGATGTGAAGTATTAAATGAGAAAGACAAAAGGTTAACTTAGGTGCTGAGGCCTCACTTTCGGTAAACAATAATCAGGTTTTGAAAAATTTAGATGTGGTCTGCTAATTGTGGATTTGATGAGTGTTAAAATGTATTCTGTGTTTGATCAGGGTCATAAAAGTTCACTGGTTTAAGGCTGTTTATGAGATGTTCATGATAAAAAAATAGTTATGCTCGCTAGTGACTGGCTAAAGGACGAAGTTGCCTGGAGTTCTACTGAGAAGTCGTGACCAGTGGGGGGGGGTACATCCAATCAGGAGTGTGGATACAGTGCCCGCCAATGATATTGGTCAATGGTAGCGCTAAAATCACGAATTGGTAGACTCGCCATTGATTCTGGTCTCAGTGGCTGAATAGTATACGAGATTGCCTTGTAACCGGATAGTCCTGGGTTCGAAATCCAGTTGGTGCCGATGAGTCCCATACTAGGATGAAACAGCTGTTCAATAATCCCTGGTTTTCTATGGTTCTCTAGCTGATATCAATCCGTGGTTTAACCTGAAAAAAACAGAATCCCTACAAACCAATTCTTGAAAAAAATATTGTATTTACACTTAACACCTAATGATGTTTTGAAATTTTTGTTTTGCCTAAAGTGACAAGTCTAATTGTCACCGTCTGTATGTTACTATGTTTGTTTGTCTGTCACACTCAAAATAAAACAAGAGAAATAATGCGTTGTAATTAGTGTCTGTTAGTTTACAAACTTATGTACTACAACAGTCAACACAAAAAGACGCAATCTACTCTCGATGAATCATGTTTATTTATTGGATGCTAAGTGAACTACCGATTCTGAAAAAAATGACTGCTACAACTTTCTTCTGAATCGTAATTTACTGCCTACACACTACTGTGATTAAAGGTTTTTAACTTATATTTTTAGTAACATTTTACAATCCTTTCATTCTTATTATTTTAGCTCCGTTAGATGTCGCAAACACATTCAAAATGAAGTTTCTTCCATTGAATAGCTTCTTAGACTTACCTACAAGATATCGATCATTATTTCTCAAAGATGATGATTCTCCTTCTTCAGAGAGAAATCGTTTCCGAATAGTCTATATCGGAAATAGTTTAGTTCATCTGTTGTCTGATCTTCATTCGAGGGAAATGAAGCGCAAAAATTTGAACGTGAAGTCACAGGACACTGAGACGTCAAAGGAGAATTCAGAGACAATAAAAGATGAAACTGAAGTTAGAAAAGAAAACAATTTAGAAAGTGACTTGTTACCTACTGAGTTCTCTTTCACTGATCTTTTGGAAGATGAAGCATTATTGATTGTAGAATCTGTGTTGTAAGTTTATCAAACCTTTTCAATAATAACAATATACCCCTGAACATTATGGTAACAGATTTTAAGCCATGTCATCTTGTATCATCAATTATTGATTCATTTGTTTTCTTTTGGGTAATTTGTACTTCCCGTTGATTGATTGTTTTATACAGGAATACTCAGTCACTGTTGACATGCAAGACTCTTAGTAGGGATGCTTTGGCAGTGTCTGCGGATTAAAATAAAATTATTTTGGATGATGGTGACGGGGAATAGGAATTAACTAAAAAAACAAATAATAACTAAAAAACCTGTTGCCTATTGGATAATACTGTGGCGTTTATAACGATGCGTGCAGTATTCGAGTCTCAGTGGGAATGCAGGAACATCTAACTGACGGGCCACAAACTGGACAAAACATGCTTCCTGAATTCCAGTGCTGGTCACCATCAACCAAAATAATTAGTGGTTCATACTATTTCAAGGATTTCAGTAGAATAGTTCAAGCATACCACATTTAGAGTAACAGTCAATAAGTAAACGAAGGACTACTTCACGGTTTTTGTAGTTCAACAAATAATCAATTAGTTTTATTACTTTGAAATATTCCGAAATGATGACGAGTAAATTAAATGCGGTCATTTTTGGATTTTATGTTTGTCTATGTATCAACCAACAGTCCACAAAAGTGTCTATGATGATGATGCTGCAAACTATAGTAACGATGATTATTCAATGGAATTTTAATAGAATATTCCACCTACTTAATTCTACTATCTAGTTTGTTATCTTTGATTATATGAATTTATTTAATCCAAGGTACATTGTTGAAATTCGTGCTGAACAAGTCAAAGCCTATTGCGAACATGTGAAACAGATGGCATGTGATCTGGATTTCGAAGTAAGTTCACCACCGATATATTGAAATTATGTCAAACAGCATTATTTTGACAGAATGGTTTTAATATAATCATTTGGGTTGGTAATTATTGAATTATTGGATTAAAAATCTTGTTTGAAATACTATTTACTAGGTTCTTAGATAATAAATAATGGTGCTTTATTTCAGACACATAGTACAGAAATTTCCAGTATATCTAGTTGCAAGATATTTTCTCTTCGCACAGGACCTACATTTAAAATAATAATAATAATAATCTGCAGTATATTATGTGACGTGGCGTTGTTCCATGTGAAGAAAGACCCGATTCTCTACTGTGTTTTCTATCTCCCTTGTGTGTTTGGTGGTAGGTGTAATAGGGTGAGGAATATTTAGGTTAGGCATCAGTCGAGTGCTAGGTAAGAAAGGGGAATCAATTGATGAGGGTGTCAAGTTACACCGATTGCTATGGTTAGGACATGTGTTACGCATGCCTACTCTAGGCATTGCCTTCTTCGACAGGCGATGTTAGCTGACACAAGATCAGTTTGGAAAGAGGTAGTGGTGGTCAAACCGAAAATTGGCATCAATCCATGAAATCTCTGATAGTCAGTTTGAGCCATGTAGGGAAGTTCAAACTTCCTGACTGGCTGTTTTCGGGTCCTCGGGATGGCAAGAACCAATGAAGGCTGGAGACAATTGGTAATACGGCTCAAAATCGTTCTCAATGACTGGTGCAGATGCGTTCACTCTTTGTGATTTATCATATACAATAATAGTCTACTGTTCTTCCATATTGCTATTCTTTTTCCCTCACACTTCTGTTTGTTATCTATCTTTTGGACCTCCCTTTACTCTCTTCTTTTGCGTTGTGTTACATGTAATGTGGCAACTCGAACTGCTACAAATCTGTGCAAAGTTCTATGTTGAAACCAGTCAGTCAGTCATTTGGATATTAAGAAGAGAAAAGTGGGGTTCACTACAAATAATGCTTTTAGAAAGACTAATAATAATAATAGACATTCGAGTCAAATAATTAGATGCTTTTGTATTACAGTTCAGCAAACTACTTTAGATGATTGCCTTATGATAAATAGGCTAGACTTCTTTATTGATACACAGTCAATGTGATCTGACTGATTCGTTTTAATTATCATGAGGCCATTTTTAGAAATTCTGTCAAACAAGACCTATCTTAACGGTCAATAAGCCGATATTCCAATGGAATTAATGGGTGCTCATAAACTTGTTAAACTTGACTTACTATCCTTTACATAGATGCATATCATATTAAATTTACAAGTCATTCATAGTATGGCTTCCTGAAGTGCCTTTTTAATATGTTTATTCACATATTTTTTTCTGGGTGTCGTCTGAAAATTTCTCTGTTTATATTCTGCATTATGCCTTCTTCTGAAATGCAGTATGATTAACCGCCGTGGTTTTCTAAGTGTTGAGCAAAAAAATAATACTACCCGAATACGTGAGGACATGTCATATGTACAAGTTAAATAGAGCTACATTGTATAGAAATAATTGTTGTTATTTATTATAGTACTTCTATACGTTCCCAGCGGAACATCGGGTCTCAAGCTAGAGCTTTGAAGTTTTGTTAGCAGTTGTGTTTGTCTTTACGGGATGGGGTTGCTAACCTCATGCCCAACCTTTCATCTTTACCAGTCTCATTACAGGCTTAGTGAGGTAAAGGAGAGTAACGACTGGGGATCGAACCCCAAACCACATTAGTGGTTGGTGAGCATTCTACCGCTGTACCCCGATGCGTGTAAAAGTTATAAGTCTGAGTAATTGCTTTAACGACTAAACATTACAGGAATAGCCAATCTTATTTGTATCAGCTTTGATTCAGCGACGTCAAGTGAAACAATGTTTGATATAATGGTTAACAGTTAAGGCTACACAAAATTACATAACAATAGCTGTACGGAAGAAAATTCTCTGAATGTTCGTTTTCTCAACGACTATTTGACCTTAATGACTACATGACATTGTCCTAGATTTGCTGACAAAACATTATGTACTGAAGTACCTAGCCACTTGATATGCGACCAGCTAAAGGACTATTACCCTGGGATATTCAGATTTCACGGGAAAAAAGGGTGTAGATTACTTCCGAAAAATCTTTAACGATAATCTAATCGACTAATTAAACCGCACATTGAGTTAGGCGTAAGATCGAAGACACAGGGTTTGTCTAAAGTACGGTACTATATTATACACAAAATAATGAAATGTGATATATACACCTCAAATTGTGGGGATAAATACCATCAAATGCACAGTCACTGTGAGTCAATAAACAAAACAACAAAGTTGTGTGAAAAGCGATCTGCGTGTAGACTAAATAACCTGTGAATGCCTAACAAAGAATAAATGAATTCGAATAAAAAGTGATCAGTAGAGAAGGGTGTATATACAGGACATACGACAGATAATGTTTAACTGTGATAAGAAAGTAAATACAATGCGTAAAATGGAGTATAGATGCATTGAGTCAGTTAAACTTCAATAGCAAACTACAATCTAGGTTATTGAGGAACAAATTATAAACCCATACTACTTAATACTGATAAGTAGCATAAAATGTGAACACAAAAGAAAAAATAAATCACAGAATGGAAAGGAATTAAGGAAAGGGAAACCTTTTAGTTTAGATAAAAATAAATCCTATGAGTAATGATCTTCGGTTTTGGTTGCACCAGTCAATAATCACTAAGGGTTATATAAGTGCACATGTCGAAATTTTAAAATGTATGTGCAAATATCAAAAACTGTGAAACATATTGATTTATTTTCTTAAGAATAAACATTTCTAGAAGGTGGATTAGTACCAGACCATATACTGCATTTGTTGCTATCATATATTTGAAAACAACTGAGGAAGTTGATATAATATGAATTGGAGTGAGGTATAGAAGACGCTTTTCTCTTTCATTCATTCATCTAACAGACTAAAGGCATTCGTTGTCATCCATTTACCTTAACAATACTCTCAGAACTGATTTAAAGTATCCTGGTTATTTGAGTAGTCAGGGCTGTATGAATCTGTAGTTACTTATGCTGCATTGCCATTCCACCAATTCTATTATCACCAGGGTATGTATTTCATTTCGATGTGAGTAATTTGTATGAATATGCAACTGTTCAAGCTGCCAAACTTTGGAGAAGAATACATAAAAAAAGTGGAAGGGGAATGTGATGGAACTACAATAAACAAAAACGTATTGGAAAAAAAGTTTGACGAGGATTGATGAGAATTTTCAGAATAGGAAGAATAACGTGAAGTGAATATATATCAACAGTGAGAATGATTTCGAGCCACGTCACCAACAGTTTTCAACTATTGATTCTTAGCTAAAGAGGACTATAGAGAATGGGACAAAGTGGAGACGTGCTGTTGAAGCCCTGTGTTCCACTTGGAATCCAAGGGAACAGTAATAATAATAATTATGGTAATCTCGAGTATCTCATTCGGGCAATATGTGGCTTGCTACTTGACAAAGATTGTTGTCACCTTTGGTTCTGACTAGTCTTAACTCTTTTCCAACCTAGACACATCATTGAATATCGCTCACCGAAGATAGCAGTGGCCTCATATGCGTAACAAATGCCCTGGTTATCTCAGTTGAAGATACTTAATAACCCTAAAGACTGACTTTCCCTATTTGCATTAAACTATCTACTTTGATCTTTCATTATTACTGACCATAATAAATTATCCAATATGTAGAACTGACAGCACACAGCAAAAGTTAAAGATTCCATATTAGTTTGTTTAGTAGATTTATCACACAGTGAAACAGTATTATTTACTGGATGACGTTTCGAACAAAATTTATTGTTCATTATCACATCAATTGTAGTCACACAACTTTGACACTTGAGTTTTATAGTTTTCTTTGTTTTCTCCTATTTGTTGTATGGGTAGTAGAATTTTCCAGATATCGGGGACAGGTGATGAATCATTCCTTTTACATGTATTTGTAGTTGATTCGATAAACAAAGCTTCTGTTATCAATCTCTCCCTCCATTCACCCTGTGACATTAGATTTTGAAACTGTCATCCTATCCCATCGTATTGTATGGTTGTGTGTGACTGCATGTAGTGAGTGCTATAGCTGAACTATTCTCTAGATTTCTTATCTTATTCGGGTCAACCAATCTAGATTTTGCTAGGTTTTTATGTTCAGCTAGTCTGACTGCCCCTGTTCTACTAGTTTGACCTATGTATTTGACCTGACAGTCATTCCAGGAGGGTATGAGATAAACTAAATTGTTTTGTTTTATAGGCTCTACAGGATCCTTTAACCGACAAAGCTTGTTTCTAATTGAGTTTGTGGGTTTGAATGCCGTTTTCATTCCTGCCTTGTTAAGAATTCTGCGTAAGGCTTCCGAGGTTCCTTCCTTGTATGGAACTACTACTGATGATTTAGATTCTTTATTGTTGGTGTCGTCATCAATATTATTATTATTATCACTATAATCATTATCATTATTATTGTTATTATCACTATCAGTACTATCATTATTTATGTTTACATTTCCTTACATATTTCTTGACTAGTTTATTCGGGTAATTATTAAGTTTCAAAGCTTCTTTTATGTGTACCAGTTCCTGTTTTAGATTTTCCTTGGTACTACTTAGATTTTGTGCTCTGTCATTTAAACATTTCACCAATCCTATTTTTACTGACATAGGATGGGATGATCGGAAGTCCAAATATCTGTTTGAGTGTGTGGGTTTCCTGTAAACACCATTGTTTAACTTCCCATCTTCTTTCCTTTTTACGTTGCAATCTAACATTGGGAGCTCACCTTCCTGATTTTCCAATTCATAAGTGAATTGAATTGCTTCAACCTTCGAGTTTATGTGTTCGAAAAACCTATCTATATCTTGTAAGTACAGTGAATGTGTCATCTACGTACCTCCACCATACTTTTGGGCTGGGGATGAACGTTTTAATCGCTATGCTTTCCCACTTATCCATGAATATATCTGCTACCACTGGGTATATTGGTGATCCCATGGCAACTCCCTCAGTTTGTTTGTATATTTTCCCTTGGAATTTAAATACTGTGGAAGTCAGGCATAGCTGTACTCCCAGCATTATGTTCTCAAGTGGCACTTTTGTCTTAAATTCGAGTTCTTGGTCAGAAATGAGTTCGTTTCTGACTGCCTCCATAGCCACCCAGCAGATAATACTGTTTCACTGTGTGATATACCTAATAAACAAACTAATATGGAATTACTTACTACCACAGTGCTCAAGTTTTACACATATGTTAAAAGTCAAAGATGACTTGCTTTTTCATATCTTTCACTTTGAACAGCTATGTCTCAAAGCTATAAAGAAGTAGAGGACAAAGTGCTTCACAGTAGACACATCCCTTGTTGGACAAGCCATTTGGTATTCCGAATGAACAACACTGAATTTTTTCTCTGCAGACGATACCTCTCCATGTGCTCTTATACTCTTACATTCGATTAAGGAAGTGCTCCTTGATTACTAGTAGCAGGATATAGATTTTTACGTAGACACTATGAATTCATTTAATAAAAGTCAACAATGACTAATGTTCACATCGTGCATTCTACATTCTACAATCATACAAATACTTATTCATTCTTTTGGTAGCAAGTTTATAGCTAAAATGTTAGTGAATTATTCAAAATTCATACGGGTTATTTTTTTTTTCGTCAACGCCTACAATTTAAATGATGCGCATATCTTCCTTTTTTTATTATACTGATTTTTATCAGGTTGCAAAAGAAATCAATCCTCTTGAAGATCATCATTTATATTTTCGGTTCAAGAGGAAATCAAGTTCTCCAAGCTTATAAAGTCTTCATCGAACAATGTAATCAGTCAGATAAAAATTTATGCTGATCAGCTTATTCGTTGTATGTTCCTCAATATGTTTCATTCTTCATGAAGTGTGAAAGGATTCACTGAAAGCCAACAATGCACTAAATAAAATTATTTATATGAAGAATATTGTCCTTTTTGTTGGATTTAGCAAATTGAAAAAGAATACATAAAAGCTTAAAATCAAGTACTGCTTATTCATCATGATGAATTTGTATATTGTCATTTAAGTAGACCATCTGGCTACTAGTCATTGGAATCGCTCTAGTGTTATTCGAATCAACTACTGCGACTGTTAACACATGTTCGTTTCTCCTGAGTACGAATCTACATCGCTCTCCTGTTCAACTTTCACCAATATACTTATTTTAGGTGGAAAATGCCTGATTAGCAGATACACTTCAAGAGAAACATTTGTATATATAATTGTAACCAAATAATAAATAATTTTCAAGTGTCGATTTGCGGGGATTTGACTGATTTGAGGTGTGATTGTGAACTCACTGCAGTTAGAGTGCCATTGAAATCCAATAGACCTGGACAGCTATCCTGAACTATTTCAAAGCGACTTTGCCTCGTAACTTGTAAGTCGTGAGCTCGATCTCTGGGGGAGCCATGGGTGCGCATCGCTGAAGAGTAACAAACTACGATCAAATTGTTAGCCGTTACTCATCGATATTGTGTAGCTGAAGTGACTGCGTCATCACACTTGAAGTCATAAATGAGATTGATTGATAATCGAAAGTGTGATTGAACTTCGTGTATTTCAAGGAATGAAGACTGAATAATAAACTAAAGTCTCATCATACACATACCCAGTAACCCAAAGACCGATTCACTTGTATGATTGTGTTCGGGAACTTAATTTCAAATCATCTTACCGGAGAAATGATATATATATATATATATATATATATATATATATGGAAAGATTCTATGACATGTGGAAGTGGACTAAATTTCAGGAGATCAATTGATTTACTCAAGTGCAAGTTAATCTGCAGCGTCTTGCGATTGATTCAACTGAAAGTAATGAGTGACTTAAAGCACAGGAATAAAGACTGGCAACTTGATGCAAGTTGTGATGTGGAATCGGCTTGGGCATTTAAAAAAATATGCGGTTCGTGGTGAACAACTACTGCGGTTTGCCTGTGATATTCAAATTTTTCAAACCTAACATTTTGCGTTCAGATTGAAGGTATCGAAGAGTGGCAGAGTGTGACAAATACAGACTACTCCTATCACTTTTATCAGACTCTAATTGGAATTGTGTAGGATGACTGAGAAATAATCATTCATGATCAGTGATGATGGCGAGCGAATAAGGAATGTTATGATCATCGAACCCTGCAACAACTCAGGAAATTACTTTACTGAAATATTGATTGTGTATCAATAGATTCATCTGCTGACTACTTCACTTGAGAGATATCAGTGAACGCTGTCACTTCAACAGGTAATTGGGTAATTTGTGTACACGACTGCACAATCATTTCGACAGGCCGAAGGTAACATTGAATGTTTCAGTAGAAGCTCTTTAGATGCATCTCCCGTCTTATATCATAACATTGCTTTCAGTCTTGAGAAGGGGGCTAAATTTGTTCGTTGTGCCTTCCTAGACTGTACATCTGCTTTTGACTCGGTCCCTAGGGACATCTTATTAAATAAACTTGCTGCAAGTCAAACAGAATGTTGGGCTGTTAACTGGTTACATTCCTATTTGTCAGAAAGAAAGCAGTACACGTGTATAAAGGGAAGTCTTCCACTTCATTGCCTACTGGAGCCGATGTCCCTCAAGGCGCTGTCCTTTCTCCTTTTCTTTTTTCTTCCTTCTTACACGGCTTGCCTCAGTCTGATGAAATAAACTTTGTGAAGTACGCTGATGACTTAACTGTTTCAATGGCTGTTAATTCCCAGCTAGATTGTACCATAATAAATAGCTTTCTGTCGGGAGTCAGTAAATGGTCTAAGTCTAACGGTCTTAAACTGAATCCTTCTAAATGTCAAACTGTTAATTTCAGCTTAAGATGTAAACGGCAGTTACAAGAAGCCGTCGATTCTCATGACAGTTGTAAGATTGATGACAATGATATAGGAATTAAATCAGAAATCAAGTAACTTGGACTTATTCTCTCTTCTGATCTCTCCTGGTCTTCCCATGTCTCAGCGATCTCCAGTAAAATATTCCGCCTGACATTTTACATTAAGAAGTTAAGGCAGTCGGGTATAACTCAACCCCTCCTCTTACAGTTCATAAACTCTTGCATCCTACCTATTCTTCTTTATTGTTCACCATTATTCTCTCCTGGTTTGCTTAAAAAGGACTATTTCACAATTCGTAGGATACTGAAGACTGTCAGTAGGATGAGTGGTGTCCCAGTGGACTACATATTTAACGTCGTTGTCGATAGGCACTTGACTTCATGCAGTAAAATTGCTAAAGAGATTTTGTCTGACTTGGAGCATCCAGTTCACCCTCAGCTTTCACCTTGCATCTCCTCAGGTAGAACAAGAAGTAACTTCAGAAAACTGTATGCTCGCACGTCTAAGTATAAAATTTCTATGATACCATACTTGGCACGTATTTTATGTGATGAAAATAGCGTCAGGTAAGAATTGACTAACCTTTTTTTCATCTAGTAAATAAACAATCTCCTCCATCCCTCCCTATGCACCTTCAGGTTTTACTTTTATTATTTCTATTATATTTATGGTCCTGTTGCTTCTTTGTTTTTACTTTCATAACTGCAAACACCAACTTGTCTCTATGACTGCTGTAATCTTTGTTTTTTCCCTCACCATATCATGTAGAGAGAACATTATATTCAATATTTTTTAATCATGCAAGGATTTGTATACCGCAACGACAATACTGTGTGAAACAAGCCCATGGCAAATTCCACTTGTATTATTAATATTACCTTAGCTGCTATCATTATTATTATATCCATTTTATATGCTGCAATTTTTTTGACATTATCCCTATTGTAAATGTAGAAAAATTTTCTGTGTGATTAATTTTATTTATAATTTGAGAAAATTAGATGCAATATTGTGATTAATGCCGAAAATTCCATTCTGTATCACAAGTAATGTTTTTGGAATAAAGTAAATTATTATTATTATTATTAAAAGCCAAGCATTATCACAACGCCTATAAATTACGGACATAAGTTCTGCTCTTACCAAGAAGATGGTGTATATTTGTGTTCTAGGATCTCTTCAAGAGAGGCGGTTGAATCCACTTGACTTACCAAAGTATCTGATCAACCGAATCTCTACTTCTCATCACACTGTGGGCGAACATAAGATTTTATTATGACTCACAACACTACCACAATGACTTTGTTCCCAGTCTATTCATGTTTTACAGTTTCCATTAATTTGCAACAAATTAAATATGAGCAAGATGTAAGAAAAGTGCATGAATTTGTATCTTCATTGAGAAGAGAACAGTTGTGGAGAATTGTGGACAATCTGCATTTCGGAACTTACTTCTCCTCGAATAAGCACATCTCGTTGAATCTAATTCCGAATTACACGCAGCTCTATCCTCTCAAACTGTTTTCGTCGTTTTATTGTTCAATCAAAGTGTTTGACAAGGACAATAATTTCGAACTAGAAATTGTGTTGGAAAAATATTTATTTTTAATGATGTTTGTGGGCGTGAGGTTATCATTCGCTAACTGGCTTAAGCACTAGGATGAAAGCAAATCTACTTCAGCTTGAACAATTGGTAATTAACATCAGCTATCACGCAATGGATGAATCTCATATCCTGACACATCGGAAACCACCTGTGGATCCCTGAATTCCAGCATCATTCTGATTATCAAGTAGTGATATATATATATATATATATATATGTATATAAAGCTCTGCATTGCTCAGGTAATGTAACAGAAATATCTCCTATCAAATGTCTGCCACGGTTTCATATGTTTGTCTCCTAGAATGAAATTAATTTTCGCATAAACTCTGCATCATATTCATTCATTATTACATTAATTCATGTGATTCAATCCTGCTCCTTCAGAAACTTCATGCATCTCTACTGTGTGTGTGAAGTAATCTGATTCAGTAAACTAATTCCTATCTCAATCTACTCTCAATCATCAGGAGTTTCGATGTTGTTCTCACACCCACGACAAGACTTCCTCGATACATCTCTCACAATCACCACCAATTCACTTCATCAGATTTTGTCCAACAAGAAAACAATAATATATTCTAGCAGATATTATGAGATATTCTCGATATCCATGTTGTCCTCAAACATACTTCTATTCTTATTTCTGTATTTCTACTTGAAAGCACTTATCTTCACTCAGCGTAAGTGTTCTTGGTTCACACCGATACCTAGTAAATCGTGTTACATTTAAGTGAGTTTACGAGTAGTTCATATTCAGTTTCTCATAAAACACTGATGGACAATCAGTAACACATACATATAATTCTCACTCACATGTGAATGTATTCACTTAATTAAGAAGTATTCCATAAAATGAAATCAGCATGATACTGATTGACTGTATGCCTCATTTAAATCAATCGAGTTCTAAGGCGATACCCAGAGCTTCTAGTTATTTCTCAGCGATATGTCAAGACGAATTCAACGCTACACATTTTGACGAATCACCAGCTGGAATAGGAAAGTGAAGATCGTTTCGTTGTGACCGCTCAATGTGCTCACCCTATTCACATACAATTTCTCGATTCATACTTAACTATCTCCTCGAATTAGGTTAAATATGAGACATCGCACTGAAGATATATGCATATAATCAAACACTGACAGACACAACTTGACTTCGATAAATTCAACACACATTCCAGCTGTGCACCACTCATTCCATTCACTCAATTATCACTGGATTTACGCAACAATGAAGTCAACGCTTTGCTTGTCATGAAGATTTTATTACTGTCAGAGTTCAATGACACAAGGAGACTGAAAATTCACAAATACACTTGA